TCACCCTAAAACAAAAGTGAAAAAGATCATACTTCACTCAAAGCGGCTTAACTTCAAGGTCTTTTGGATCTTTGTAAGTAACTAAAGAATGAATTACTTTAGCTGATTACCTTTATATTCTTAAGACAAAATTAAAAGTTTGTCTTTTTTTCATTTCATCTTTAGAAAAGAAAAAAAAATTAACTTCTTTTTCTATTTGAAGTTAGGTTAAAAGAACTATCTTGACCAATCCAGAGAAAATCTGCATCATTTATTCAAAATATGATTCGATCCTTCCATGCAAGTGCAACCCGTAAGAAAAGTCAGAATACCCACATAATTCATGTTCCAACATGGATATGGTGTTTCGGGAAAAAAAAAATGTGGAAGCTCTAAAAAACGGAAGTGTTTAATCAACAACTGGGTATGAAATCTATAAAATATGCACCGTAATGTCTGGCCAATTACATAGGGCCCTAGATAATCCAAAACATACTAATTCAAAATAAGTTGTCATAAGTTTAAGTTCCAGGAGTAAAAGTGAGATATAGAAGAAAGTTTGAGAGGCATTGATGAGAGGAGTACAAGATGAGAATTTCAAGGCATTGACCCTATTGGACACTGACAGAAAGATGAAGATGTTTAGTTTCAATTTTCAATTGATAACCACTTACAGTAGAAGAACCAAGGATCCAAGTAGAAGTAAAGATGGCAAGTTACACTATACGGCTTAAATTAAATAGCGAAGGTAGAATGAGGGTGAAGAGTAACTTCAACTCAACTCTGTCGTAAACCAAAAGAAAAAAGGATGGAAAGTTGCAACCTTTTCCATACTGATGTAAAAAAATGCCTTCTCCAGGACCTTGTTTTCGATAGACTATCATGACTCACAATTAACCAAGCACAAAGAATAAACAAACAACCAAAACACCACACACAAAAGAAAAGGCATACACCATGAACCCAGAATTATAGTGGTTCGGCCAAAACTTGCCTACGTCCACTCCGGTGATTACTGAGATACTCCACTAGTATGAAAGCCCCTTTGGTTTACAAGAAAAACCCCATTTGCTGTTACAAATCCAGGTCTTAATATCTCTTGCCCCTCACACTCTCTCAAAGTGTTTCACTCTACCGTTCATGTTAACAGTCAGTCCCCAACAAGCCTATTTATAGTACATAGACCGATGGTTACATGCCTATTTTCTGATTAAGTTTCCTATTCTATATGGAATAGGAAAGTACACTTTCTTTTTCTGATTAGGCTTCTCAAATTCCTAATCTAAATTGTACAAGGAAACTTAATCTTTCCTAATTCTTTTAGGACAAGAATCTCTGCACCTAGCTTCCCTAATACAATCCTAAACAAATTAGGACACCATCATTCACGAGACAAATTCCTAACACATACAGACCCAAGTTTCGGTCTACAATTTATGGGGTCTGCACAAAATAAAAAATGGAAATGAATACTATCCTTCCTAAGATCATATTTGAATAACTCATGCTGAACACTATTAACATAAAAAGAACCATGCAAGCAGGATCAATTAGAGTGGAAAATCTGACCTAAATTTTGTTCCAAGAGATATTAGAATCGAAACAAAAATCAAGTGGAAAATTGAAGCTTTTCTATCCAATCCAAGATACTCATGCTTTCCAAAAGACAAACACCAAAGCTAACAAATTATGAAAAGTAATAAAATTGTAACAAAGTGTTGAGAGTAATCAGCAAAAGGTTATGATTAAGGTGTTTGAGTGAGAAAAAAGGTTAAGGAGATACCGGAGTCGGAATCAGATGGCTGGGAAGCAGAGGCATCTCCTTCAATGTCCCTATTGAGGGCAGCCTGGAAGGCCTCCACATCCGCCCCCGAATGCATGGTTTCGTCCTTCGCACAATTCAAACCAGAAAAAAGAAAAGAAAAGAAAAGCTTCAAAATTTAACACATGTAGAGACTTAAATTAAGAGCTACAGATGTGACAGAGACACAGAGAGAGAGAGAGAGAAGAGAACCTCATCGTCTTCGAGCAGCTTCTTCATAATGGAGGGGTCCATGATGAGATTAAGATATATGCTGCTGGTTCCCCACTACTCAAAGAATCAAAACCTCTCTCTCTCTCTCTCTCTCTCTCTATATATATATATATATATATATATATATGCTGTTAGCACTGTGAAGGCAATCGAGCACGGCCACAAAGGCAACCTGTAGATTTAGAAGAAAAAAAGCAAAGGAGTTATCGAAAATAAGATGGTCATAGAAAGACAAGCAACGAAGCAATTGAATTGGAGCTGCAACGGATTTACCTCTCCAATTCAGCAAATGTTGATATTTACAGCCACATCAATCAAGCATCGACTATCGAAGAAGAAGAAGAAGAGAAGGAGGGAGGGCGGCCGGCCGGCTGCGTAACTGGGTCCCACAGCTCGCGGGTGAGGAATTGAACAGAAAAAATCAAAGCAAGGAAGAAGAAGAAGTGAAAGAAAAGAATTCAAAACACTGATTCTGTTTAATCGAAGAAGGAGAAGGAGTAGAAGAGCAAATCAAAAGGAGGAATGGAGGAGGAGGAGGAGAGAGGGCTGTTAAAGGGTTAACACGCGGTTGGGCTCTGCGTCTCACAGATGGGCCGGGGGTTGGCTTTGGAGGTGGGCTATGGGCTGTTGCATTTAATTTTATTTTATGGGCTGGGTTTGGTTTTTTTTGTTATGACCTCCACTGCTTATGACTTGGTCGATAAAACCGGTGAAATTGAAATTCGTCTCGGTGATTTTCGGAAGGATCGGGTAGGAAACAAGGTTTTTAATAGAGTTCATTGATGCAATGTCAATAGTGCTCTTTTCGTGTTTGTTTGAATGTGCTTTTAAAATTATTGAAAGCGTTTTTAGTGAAAATGTTTTTAGAACCAATCCTTAGTAAAAAAAGCAAGTAAATTCTGGAAAATCACTTAAAGTGCTTCCTAGAATAAGCACATAACTAGTGGTTCTTGCAGAAAGCACTTTACGTGCTTTTGGAACCAAAAAACATTTTCACTAAAAGCGCTTTCAGTCATTTTAAAAGTACATACAAACAAGTTCTTATTTATGTTGTGGAAGTTCTTCAGAGTCTATTGTGAATTTGTTTCGTGATTGTGCCCATGTGATTTGCTTTCGGCTTGCTAGTCTCTTGGACCTACGATCGAGTGGATATGGCAAAAATTTATTACAAAAGATTAAATGATGTTGATCAAAAGACGCAAGATAGAGCAATGTTATACTTACAATCTATTTGTACCACGGTCTTATAATCTTAGATGGCATTCAATGTGAAATTTTAGATGGATAGCCACATTATTTAAAACAAGGGGCATTTAGATTCAGGTCCAAAAAATCAGCTACTTTTGGATTGAGTCCAGTTAGATATTCTTCCTAGTTTAGGTCTAATTGATCTCATCTTATTCCCGTTTTGCCCTTTATAGTAAAAATAAATATATATTTAAATTTCCTAATTTATGTATTATTTACTCAAATTTGAATTTCAAAATTTGATTCTTCGAATTCCTCAGTCTAGCCACAATTTAAGGAAAAAAAATTTAAAAGTAAGTTCATGTGTATGACTATAAACCCACGACTTAAGTTGAAATGAATGATATATATAAAACATATGAAAAAACCTATGAACAAAAACCTGTGATATAGGTAGACTATGAACAAAAACTTGTAATATAAGCAATGAACAAAAACCTATGGTATAGGTAGATAAATACTTTTAATTTGAATTAGAATATCAAGAATTAATGTGTGTGTGCACTATTAATCCATGGTATAAGGTAGATAGAACAAGATAACCTATGATACAGGTAGATAAACACAATTAACTTGAGACAAATTATCAATAATGTGTGATAGGTAGATAATACAATTTATCCATGACACAGGTAGTATAAAACACACAGAGGTAGATAAGAAAAAAGATGTGATATATATACCAAGAAGATCCATAGAAAATGATGAATAACAAGATGATGCTAAGGGAGTAAAACACGAAGAGGTTTAGAATAGAAAAAAAAAAAAAAAAAAAAAAAAAGAACAGAGAAACATGGAAAAAAAAAAAAAAAAAGAATTAAAGCATACAAGATTGGCTAAATTCTACAAATCAAACCAACAATAGAAATTTGAGGTTGGACATCTTTGATCATCTACGCTTGGGAGCAGGGAGGAGGGAAAAAAAGAAGATATCATGAGGGATGAGAAGGAGACATCGTGAGGGAGAAAGAGAAGGAAGAATAGGAAACGTTTTAAAGAGAATTAAATTCCTATACTTAATCCGATCATTAAGCATAAGATAATCCTATGAACAAGGATTAAAAATCATCATAAATATAAAAAAAGTAATAATATATTAATTACTTAATTAGTCAATTTAGGGATAAATTTGGCAAGAGAATAAAAATAAGTTGATGTGTACAATGAGCCATTGGACCTAAGTCAATAATCAAGCAAAATTGGACTATACCTCATAAAGGCTCACAAAATTGGACTCATGTCAAATTTTCCCTTAAACACAATCGATTTTTTAATTTAATTAGAAATTAAAAACCTAAAGAAAAATAAAAAATAAAAAGAAACCCTAAAACCTAGCAATGTGAAGCCCGTTTGCTTCTGTCGTCCTCCTCATCCCTTCCCCTCCTCCTTCCTTCCTTCCTTCGCATACCCTTTCATAGTCACCATTTTCATAGTCAATATCACTACCTTATTATTCTATGGAACATCAATCGATATGTAAATATGCCAAGAATAAATATAAAAAGCTAAGGATATTAAACTACATGCAAAGTCTAATATATATATCGTTATACAAACAAGTTCTTTTGAACATCATCTAACTTTAAGGGTTGATCAACAAGTATATTGTACATCAAAATGACTTGGAGTATTTACTCATAAACTCAAAGTTAGAGTTCGAATGTTCACATCCGCTCTATCCTCTTTTGTATAAAATTTGAAGAGTACTTAATTATTCATTGTTTTAAGGACAAAAATATCAAGGTCGACTAGCAAATGTAAAATCAACAGTATGTGATCCTTCTTTCATTTCTATTGCTGTTGCAGGTTGGTCTCCTTGTCTTCTAAAACCATTCCCTTCATGTGCGGAACCTTCCATCTCCGAGAGCTCAGCGTCAGATTGGTAAGATCTTGGGGAATTGAGGACGCTTTCAAGGTCGGATTGATTGGACCTGAGCTTTTGGTTGTGAAGCAGATGCAAGGGTGATGTACCCCGACTTGGGGTATTTTCCCCGCTTACAAATCCTGAGGAAGAAGCATCTCCTTTAGTATTCCTCAACTTCTTTCTTTGCTTTGCAGCCTTTTGCCAGTTCTTAAGAGCCTTCGCCGTTTGCTCCTCAAAAATTGCTTTCTTCATATGAGATCCCATCTGCAATTTAACATAATATGCATGCATGCATGCATGCATACACATAGGTTACTAAATAAAATATAAAATTCTTAATTTTGAACAATAAAGGGCAAAAAGAAACGTCTTTTTTTCTTTTTTTCCTTTGGAAATTAAAGTTGAAACTTTTAATCAAATTCCTCAAATTTAGAGGCTGTTATTTGAAAGAGTCCTCACTTAACTAGCTGGTGTAATATATGGTCGAATCAAAGCATGAAGAAATGTTACAAAAGGGCAGTTAACTCACTTGTGTAATCAAACAATAAAGAGGGAAGGTAATGTAACTGCATAGGATCTGTAGGGCTACCCCAAGGAAAACCCTTATCAATATCAGAGGCAAGTTGTCGTGGAAGCATGATGTGAACCCAAATTCAGACTGCATCCATACATATATAAATATTAGTTATAGTATATACATAGTTGGGAGGTGCAATAAGATATAAATATAATTTTATATGGGATTGTGGTAACTTACAGATATCCAGACGAAGTACGCCATTTGGAATGCGTTCTGTGCAACAAAAAAATGAGTTCTTAGATATCATATTGGGCGGTAGCTTCTTATACGACTATATACATATGGGGTTAGATTGAACGACACAAGCTTTTCACACATTTTGACACAAATTTTGTAGGCTCACTTTGTAATGTATTTCAACCATTCGAATTGTTCATATTTTAGTACATATTTATAGATCATGTTTGCAAAAAAAAAAATTAGACAAATCCAAAAACTAAACATGCAAAAAATCATGGTTCATTAGATAAAATTGAAATGAAATGTATGCAATCAAACAACTAAGTACTATTGATTTAATCGCTTTCTGGCATGGATATTTCTTTTAAAAGAGAATCCAAAAAATAAATTGTTCCAATTATTAAACCACATCACAAATTTAGAAGAAGCATTCTTATCTTGTTGTTTTTTTTTTTTTGTCAAAATTCTTATGTTATTGTTTGATGACTGAATGTTTTGTTGTTGGAGATCCAACGACCGCTATTCAAAATTTCAATCTTTTTTTATTTAATTCTTATAGAGATTCTAATTCTTCAATTGAAGTACTTTTAGGACCCCTAAGATTCCCCTGACAACCTAAAAGAGTCTTTTAAAGTAGTGGTGGAGACCCTATTACCTTAGGGTCTTCCATTGTATATGCCTAAGAAGCTTAATTTTGTAAGATAATTTGCCTAAAAGAAGATGATAGGTAATTTGACATGAAAAAATAACCAACTCTAAGCTTACCTGAAATAATGTAAAATGAATTAAGAGAAGAGTCCACTCAGGTCGGTTAAACCAAAAGTACTTGTTGTTTGGCTCCACAACGGGAGCGCCTTTAACAACTGTATTCCGATCATGCATTTCTTGAGCCATCTCCACGATGATAAGCTCAAGCTTTGTACCTACCAGAAGAAGAATCTGCACGAACAAAATTAAATAATTATTAATCAGATCATCTCCATATATAAAAGATGAGAATATGAACAGGAACTTGCAGCTAGCACACTACAGAGCTTTGTACTTCCGCTTTCGAAAAACTAAGGGATTGTTTGGTATCTTTCTTGAAACTAATGATTACTACATAGTTTAATTGCATTCATTTTCAAATTGAATACCAAACAACATATAATATATATTAACTCGATCGTTGCTAATGTGATGATATCATTGTCTTACAATGAGAGGAGCCAACGACAACCAAGTGAGCGTGTACCATTCTGTTGCATTAACAAAGTAGAACAAGATACCAATTGATCAGTATTTAACGATATTCGATTTTCATGGCCAGTAAGAAATCAAAATGTGCGGTTCATGATCTTGGTCTGTGTGTGCTAAAGAGAAGCAGCTTAGAGAGATAGAGAGGGAAAGAGATTACTGTAAACGTTTAGAAGCAAAAAAACGACGGCAAAAATCCATAGTGGTAAACTGCATGCAAAATAAAGAAATTAAATAATTAATACGTTGTTATTAGCGTAAGAACATTATCAAGAAGTTAACAAACACATCATATATTTAGGAGAGAGACCTGATTCCCACGACGACCTTAAAGTCATCTTCCATGGATCTCTTAATATACTTATGGAAGTCAAATTTGCTATTTGGAGCAAAATGTGCCTGCATGCATGCATTAGCCTATTAATGCCAGAAAGAGAGCGAGCAAGGTTCGACAAATGAGTGCATACTAATTTTGAAAAAATAATAATAATAATGCTACACTTAATACATTTTTTTTTATATTTTTTTTGTATCAACTCTCTAATATAGGTAAAGCCTACCAACACACATAGGTCTAATATGGTAAAAGTAATGTGGAGACCGTTTAGCTATCAATATGTGTCAAACAAATTGGTGCTATGGTAACAAGTAATATCCCTCATGATTAACTGTCAACTTTGTTTGATCCATATGGATGAATAAACGGTCTCCAAATTAAATGAAATTTTCTTAAGATGATCTTTAGATAATGATAAGAATTGAACAATTGAAATTTTGATGTTTGTATAATAAATGATGTCACATTGTTATATAAGTTGAAATGACACTTTAGTTACACGTAAGGTGCCAAGCTGTGGAGAAATGTTTTAGAGTATCCAAAACATGGATCAGTACATCACGTATTATAATAAAAAGGGAGGAACACTTGAAAGAAAAAAAACTCTACTACACTTATATTTTGACAAATAATATACCGACTCAAGCTCCAAAAACACTGAAAAGTTTCTCCAAGCTGTGTCCATGTTACATTTAAGCTTTAATTATTACTTACATTAATAAATCCGTGGCGCATGGTCAAATAGTCCACCCTTGTTACTGAACCAAAGAATTGCCTGAAGAATGCCACCTACAATGCACGAAAGAGGCTCTCATAAGGGGGGAGCTTTGATCAAGGTTTTTTCTTCTTTTTGTTTTTTCGTTTGATTTTTGGTGGGTGTGTGTAGTAATTTAGGACAATTTTCTCAACAAGTTTATCCAAATAACATTACTCAAATATTATACACATGAATCAACTCACAATCCATCTTATTCCAGGCATTGTAGAAAAGCCAGAGTGACGCTTCACAAACGAAGTTTGTCGAGTAAACCTGAATCTTGAAGGATCTGCAACATGATCACTATGTCATTCTCAACTCTTTAATCACATTAGTTTACACTAATTAATAATGTTAAATGTTCTAATATTCGTTGTGGCCAGAAGGCCTATAGAGTAAACCACCAAAAAGAAGCATATGCATATATATACATATATATAGGGAAGTGTTATTGGCACTTCAAAAATCTCATTCTACACTCTTAAGAAGTGTATTTTTGTTTCCTAATATAGAAAGTTTGGAATGTAGAATGAGATTTTTGAAGTGCTAATAACAATTCCCTATATAAATATATATATATATATATATATATATATATATATTACATATATAGAAGTATATATATGTTGGCCAGCAGAATAAACTAAGAAATAAAATATTGATACCATTTGTAAACTGATATTCCAAGGACGATGTCTCTGATTCCCAAGCTTTCCATTTCTTCATCTGGTCAACACTCATACAGTAAGAGCATTGTTAAAGCTGATTAATTGATTTTGATTTTGATTAATTAATTAATTAATTAAGAAATATATAATTGTAATTAACGCTGGCTTTATCGTTTCTTCTTCATCTTCTTTTTGAGGTAGGTGGTCCTCATCTCATATCATGATTTCCATTAATTTTTATGGATGAAGTACTGGCCGGCTGGCCGGATACCAAGCCGCAGAAGAAATTACGAGTAGAGAAGGCCAAATGTAAACATGTTTTGACATACATGATTTCATATTATATGATTGATCCCATTCAACTATTTTACAATATTAATAGGCTAATTAAATAAGATTTTATTTAAAAAAAAATTAATATGCTAATTAAGTATTTTTAAACTTGCAAGTTAGACTACCTCCATCCTCTTGTTAGATTTGTCTGACAGACCAATCTTTATATTGCGAGTGAACTTGGACCATATATATCTCCAGGAAACAATTAACATCATCAATGAGAATTTAAACAGTAATTAGGTTGGCACTTTGGTAAAGGAACATATTTCTTTATGCAAGTTACAACTAGCAGCTTCCAAATATGTTATGCTTGTGCTAAGGTACAAGTTCTGTAGTGGAGAATAAGTGAGAAAAACAGTCGGGGAAAAACGTGAGGTAAAGTTGAAATTGAGTAAGTACCCTTGTTTTTTAAATAAATAAATAAATAAACTAAAACTCGATCCTTTAATTATAGGTTATAATATACATTGAACTCTTTTTTATTGATAAGGAGAATTCTCTTTATACTTTTATATAGATAAAAGATTTAGACACTTACGCGTAAAAAAAATTAAAATGTTTCTTTTACGCAATGCCTGGGTATATATAACCACACCAATAAGTGATGCATATATGGATGGAACTTACTTTGGCCTGCGCAAGTGCCATAGTGATGACACTGTAGAAAACATGAAAAACAGCAAGCACGAAGATGAATATATGCAATTGGTGCATCCCAGATGCAGATATCAATGGTACTTTACCCTGCACAGTACATGCATGGACAAATCAATATGGAAATTATATTTAAAAATTAATTGAAGAGTACACATTATATAGCAACTAATAATGATTAATTACGTGTTGTGTTAATATGTAATTAATGACGTACTCCTGCGCAAGAAGATGAATCTCCTGCACTAGGGGCTAAAACCCGACGCCAGATCACGTTTTCAGCATGTGACAGTAACTTTCGTCGTCGATCATCGTCGCCTCCTCCTTTATTACCTTTATCCTTGCCGCCATTGTCACTATACTTAGACTCGTTTAACTGACACGGAAGCATGGTATCACCATACTTGGTTGAGATGCATATTTTTGGAAGAAATCGTGTTCCAACAGTAAGCAGTAGAGATATGAACCCCAAAAGCATTAGCTCTGCATGCACACACAATATACATATAAGCAAATATTTTCAGTTTCTAACAGAGATATCATCACATATCACAACATGTCATCAGATTATGTAATTAATTAAATTCTTGTTTGAATATATATAAACATGTGTGTGGGCTTGTGGGGAGTGGGTGTGGTGTCTAGAGAGAGAAGACATACGACATAAGAAAAAGAAAAAAAAACTTTAATTAGCATAGTGTATCTAATGATAGTAATTAAATTTGAACTGACCAGCTTTTATTTTCTCCAAAGCTTCAAGCATAGCTTTCTTATTGCGTTTCTGGAACCACTGTCATTGTAAAATTAAATTTTATATACAGTTCTCCATGACCATATATGTATTAGTAAATAACTAATAGTAAGAAATATTTCTGGCATATACTGCACGTGACGTATATACATAGGTACATACCTTTCCAAGAGCATGAATTGCTTGTTCTATGATAACAGAAATAACTATGAAAACTGCACAGGCGATGGCAACAGCCCATGTTGGCGTCTCCTTTAAACTTCTTTCTCCCGCAGCTGCTGGTGCCATGTCTGCCTTAAGAAGCGTTTGAGTATGTACTCGATCTCAATCCCGTTATAAATTAAACAGTACTTCTTACACTTGAATGATCAAACTAATTAATCCTTTCTAGCCAGCTTGGCAACTGTTAAGGATAATGAATGTTAGTATATATATACTAGCTAGCAAAACGACCAGTTCAAATTTCTGGGACAGATTTCCTTTAGCTAGGTTAGGGAGGGAGAGAGAGAGAGAGAGAGAGATCACTTTGTAAATCTATATGTGCTTTGTTAGCTTACGAATTAAATAAGCCAACTTAGTGTGATACAACATATGTGTAGCTCATTTTGGTTAATTCAATATGTATAGAATCAATCCCAAAGCTATATAAACTTGTCACATGCTTAATGTTTGTTTGTGCCTTGTCCTAAATGGTAGGTTATCAGTAGTCCGGTTGTGGAACAATCCACTTCATAGTTTTAAATGTCAAATTAATTGTAAATATGGAACAATTTAAAATATTGCCGGCCGGCTTATTGGAGCCAAAAGGAGAATGCATGCATGACATTTATCTTCACTTAATATTATAGTTTACTGATATTTATCTTCACTTTAAGGGGTAGGTTTGAATCTCTTGAATAACAATTAATTTTAATACGAATTTAGCCCCACACATCTTAGTATAAATATGTATATTGTTGCCTCTTGAAATAAAAAAATAAAAAAATAAAAAAATAAAAAATAAAAAGAAGAAGAAGAAGAAGAAGAAGAATACGCGTATCCGAAAATGATATATGTTGCTAATAAAACCAAAACCTATTAGTTTCATTTTCAATTAAAAAGATTCCTTAAATTTGCTCAAAGAATGTAAGTGACATGGCGGAGAGATATTTCTAAATTTTTATGTTTTCGGAACATGAGTTGATACAACACATATCATGTTATAAGTAGAGAAAAAAATTTTCAAGTGTTTATCTACCTGTATTTTTTTTTTTTCGATAATATAAACTAAAAAATCTAATGAGTATATAAACTCACAATGCACTAATTAATTGTTAGATTGCGCTTATATGCATGTGTAGGCAACTCACAATAGCAAAAGCGTATCTTATTGCAAGCACTTAATTAGAAACAAATGAATTCAGAATAATCTAAAAATGCGACACTTAAGGAGTATTGGAGTAAGGTTGGTTTGGGATTGTGGTGTTTGAAAAAAAAACAGCTTATTAAAAAATTTAGAACATAAAATGTGTTTGGTAAAACAAAAAAATAATTTTTTATTAATTGTTGTCGGTGACAATAAAAAAATAGAAGCAATGTATACCATACTTCTAAAAAAAGTGTTTTTGCTTTCAAAACGTAGTGTTCAGTGCCCATTTTGTAAGATCCCACATCACCCAGGGGAATGGATCTTGTAAGCCTTATATGTATATTTCCATCTCTACCTAGCACGAGGCCTTTTGGGAGCTCACTGGCTTCAGGTTCCATCGGAACTCCGAAGTTAAGCGAGTTCGCCCGAGAGTATTCCCAGGATGGATGACCCCCTTGGGAAGTTGCTCGTGAGTTCCCAAAAACAAAACCGTGAAGGTGTGGTCGGGACCTAAAGCGAACAATATCGTGCTACGGTGGAGTCGAGTCCGGGATGTGGTGGGGGGCCGGGCCGGGATGTGACACATTTAATGAAATTTTCAAATAACAAGTATACTCCCACATAATTTACAAAATTATAACCTTTGCCCCTACATTATTCTTTAAGTGCTACTAGACCCACTCCAGTGTCTTATTTTCCCACCCACATGATAATCCCACCCACCATAGAAAATTAAAAAAGTAAAATGTTATTTCCCCACCCACCATTATTCCCAAAATAATCATAATATATTTTTTTAAATAACTCTAATATATCTTTAAATAATATTATAAATAAATAAATAAAAATAGAAAAAAAAATGAAAGAAAATGCAAGACCTAAGACCTAGACATTCATCATCTCCTTCACACCTAATGCCGCTCTGTAGAGACGCCGGATCCCTAAACCACTCTTCTTCCTCCAAAACCGCAGATCTCACACCCAATTCTCTTTTCTCTCCATTGAAGTTTCTCGCCTTCATCTAGCACACGCCCATTCCTTCCTCCAACCTTTTCGTTGATTCTAACCCAAATCTTTCCCAACCTCTTTCCACCAAAGATATCACACCCCACCCACCATTATTTATTTATTATTTTAAACTTTTTTTTTTTTTTCAAAATTTTAGTACTAAATTAAATAGGGGTTTAAGAGTCTTCTTTTAAAATGATAAATATGTTATTAACTTTTTCATTAAATGGTGGGTGGGGAAATAAGACACCGGAGTGGGAATATCACCACTCTATTCTTTTTGACAATTATTATATCATATTAAATACTATATCATTTTTAGTCATTTAACATAGTTACAACATATAAATAAAAGGTTACCAATATATAACTTTCCAAAAAATGCTTGCATTTCCCCACTGGGGGAATGAGCTCACTCCACTACTTTCAAATAATGTATCTTTTCTATAGAATTTTATAATTGAAGTCGTCCAAATATTTAATCTTCATTAAAAGATCATTCTTACAAAAAAAAAATATGAATCGGAGTTCGTTTAGTCATTCAAAATATATCATATACATTAACAATATATTTACCAATTAAAATATTTATTAATAATTATCTATTTATTTGATATATTTAAATGACTAAACGAATTCTGATTTGAATGATTTTTTGTAATCTTCTAATCAAAATTAAGAAATTGATCGGTGATTATAAAATTTTCACGAAAAAGATATGTTATTTGAAAGCCAGCTCATTCCTCCAAAGGAAGAACGCAAGCATAATTCTAATTGTTCACAGTGTTTCCTTCGTTCAATTATTTAATTAATGGTTATGTATAACGATTATTTTTTCTTTTCCATTTTCTCCTTTCTTGATGGATGATGGTTTTAGAACTTCGAAACTACCGAAGTGATGAAGAATATTTCATGAGTAGACCTGTTTTGTTATTTGACCCAGTCTTCTTCCCAAATTTTGTAGTTGGAGTTTTGTTTGCGTATCGTCACTTTGCTGAGTCCACCATGAATCGTTCAAACTATATAGTAATTACATGAGCTTTTTCTCCAAGCATTGTAAAACAAACTTTATATGTCCGATTATAATTGCAAACGTTTCGTCACGTTTCCATTTCTTTCTTTACAATGATTAGGGAGACGTTAAGTACAAGCTAGTGAGCTCGATGTTGATTTATTTTTGGTGATCAAAGTATTTTTTTTGTTTCTGTTTGTTAGATATTTAAAAATCAATTCCATGGAGGAGATTCTGATTTTATAGAGCCATAGATGAAGTGTAACATGGTGTTAACTAAACCCCCATTCATTATAATGTTAATCCTTTGAAAACAATCGTAAAAAACACTTCATTTATAACAAATATTCAACCCATTAGTTTGTTATTGGGAGTTCGTCATAAAATAGTTCTTGAAATTTACTAAAATCTTCTCTTTGATTCTTCAAGTATAAATTTGATCAATGTTGTCCTTAAAATATAGCGCAAGACAAATTCATGTCATCCTTTCGTTAAAAATTATGTTAGTTTGGTCACATGACACGCGGATGAGAGGCCTACTGTTTCAATAATTCAGTGCAACGTGGATTACACCAAATATAAATTTTATACAGAACTTTCAGGGAGCATTTGTGATGAAAATCAAATTATGGCCTCCTGTTTTTGGGAAAAAAAAAACATAGGCGCTCTCTTCTTCTCTCTACCAAAATCCTAGATCTACAAAATTCATAGTCGTCACCCTCTTGCTTCGGCCTGGTTTAGTGGCAACCCACTCCCCCTTTTCCTAGTCTTCATCCATCATCTTCCCATGGATTGTTGCAGATCTATTTTTCGTTTTAGTATTTCAATCAATAAGTGCTTTCTTGTGAGATTATTTGTGAGTATTTTAAATTTGTATTGGTGTATTATTAGCTTCTCCTAGGTCTACTTAATTGTTCATGGTAGCTTCATGAATGGTGTTGAGCACACAATTCATGTTGGTATGGACATTGTCACATCCCGGCCCAGGTGGGACCACTTCCTGGGCCCGACTCCAACGTAACATGATATTATCCGCTTTGGGCTTACCATTCCCTCACGGTTTTATTTCTGGGAACTCACACGAGAACTTCCTGATGGGTCACCCATCCTGGGAATGCTCTCACGCACTACTCGCTTAACTTCGGAGTTCCCATGGAACCCGAAGCCAGTGAGCACCCAAAATGTCTCCTGCTAGGTAGGGATGAGAATATACATATAAGGATCACTCCCCTGGACGATGTGGGATGTCACAATCCACCCCCCTTAGGGGCCCAACGTCCTCGTCGACACACCACGGCCAGGGTTAGGCTCTGATACCAAATTGTCACATCCCGGCCTGGGGCGGATCCACTTCCCGGGCCCGACTCTACCGTAGCACGATATTGTCCACTTTGGGCTTACCATTCCCTCACGGTTTTGTTTCTGGGAATTCACACGAGAACTTCCCAATGGGTCACCCATCCTGGGAATGCTCTCGCGCGCTACTCGCTTAACTTCAGAATTCCCATAGAACCCGAAGCCAGTGAGCTCCCAAAATGCTTTATGCTAGGTAGGGATGTGAATATACATATAAGGATCACTCCCCTAGGCAATGTGGGATATCACAGACATTAGTTTGTTCGTTATAAAATATTTTTTTTGGAGTCATCATTGCTCGTTGTGAAAGGATATCTTCATGTTAGTTACTAGATAAAATCATAGAAAATTAAAAATACATCATTAATTAGATATTGCTAGTAATATGTTCACCCAAAACCACAAATGCATTAAAAACATAATACCCTCTTTATTCCAACAAATAAAAGTATCTCCAAACATGGTCTCTATTTTTTGTTAAATTTTAGCTAAAAGGACTATAAAATTATTTTAGAAGCTTCTTAAAATAATTTTACTCCAATCATACTCACTAGTTAGAGTTATAATGATTGTGAACCAATAAGAATAAAGCGTTTATTTAAAATATTAATTAAATATTGGTAATTAATGTTGTGAGCTCCTTCCTCACTCCCTAGATTTAAGAGCTCCTAAGAGAATCTCTATCTCAAGAGGTGGATAGGGAGCATGATTGGAGATGAATTTTTCCAAATCCTCCCTAAAATTTAGCTAGTAGCTCATTTGGCGAGCTCATTAAAGATGCTATAAATGCCACTAATTGGTAATAATTCGCTTTATCTCAGAGCTCCATAAATACATTTGCGAATACATATGCATCAGAAATTCTTTTGGCTTTAGAGTGTCATCTCAGTCTTTTGAGTTTGGATGTGCATGATTTCAAGACTTGGAAGTGTTACTTTGCTTATTCTTGGGCCAGTCTGGCTCTCAATTCCACCAGTATGGTGACAACTAGTTTAGCCAAGTTGACTTTTTATCTTCTTTGAATAAAAAAACCTATTGGATATTATTCACAAAATCCTCTTTGATATTTGCCCAAGTTGGCCCCGTTCTGCTCAAAATCAAGCCTAACGGCCCCATAAGAAATTTCAAACCCAATTCATGATCAAGTGTTTATTTTTTCTTAAGATCATGATTATTTGTGGTGCAATTCAATCCCTATTAAACCAGGACTCACCAAATTCTTGAGATTCCATCATAATCAAGATCTAATTAAGTTTTCCATTCTTGGTAGGCAAGTAATATCCTCAATGGAATTAGCTTCATCAATCACTTTAGACCTATTGGATCTCCCAAATTTGTGTAGTCTGGTGAGCCATATCCAGCACTGCTTACAACTAAGGGTATTCCTAGTTGTTTTGACCATAGCAATTGCCACGTGTCATGATCCCAAAAAAAACAATTGTCCAATAGACGATGAGCTAACTCCAAAAACTCGTTGTCAATTCAAATTGTAGGCTCTAACTCAGCTAAATGAAGTCGAAATCACTAGTAATCGCCAGTTAGTCATGCGATGGTGATTTCATTCCTAAGCCTTGTACACACCGTTCATCACACTATGGGAGTTGGCCTACTTGAAACTTTTTTCTCAATTCTTAACCACAAGAATGGGGAAGACATCAAAGGCAGAGCTAGTGATCAGAGTGAAGTCGTAACAAGCTAGTCATATTGCAAGGTGCAGCTAGATCACCATAGTCGGGTTTCTTGCACAATGGATCTCTCTCTTTCTTTGGATCAACGAAGTGCAACCTGCCAACGACTATTGATTGATGGAGGGTGATGATGGACTACGATCCTAGAGTGTATATGATCTCCACCAAACATACGTAACACTTTAACTAGTACACGAAAGTGTATACCATGATTCTTCTGTCATACAAGTAGAGAGATTCATTCATTGATAAGAAAAAGAAAAAAAACGTGAACACAAATAAATAGCACAACTCTCTAAGTTTTACAACCCCTTATACAATTGAAACATCATTGTATGGAAATATTTAGAATATTCTAGGCCTTTAACCAGTGATCGTTGTTCACATTCGCTAGGTGTACTATATCGGGTCACTTTTAATCAACGTGTGCCTTTACTCCTTGTTTCATTTCACTTGTCTCATTTCAATCAAATGGTACTAGGAACCCCCAAAAATTATTGATGAGTCGTTATTATTATTGTATATCTTACCCTAATCTTAGTTTTAATTTATTGATTATTTTGTGAGAACTTTGATCTTTTGAATTATATTTCCAATGTAGGACATGCGACTTCCTCTTGAGCAAAGAGTGATCAAACAGATGAATTTTGGAGTGATTCCAATTATAGGATGTTCGTGAGTCTCCCAACTTGTTCGTGTCAAAGTTTTAGATTGTATCTTTTGGTGATGGGCCTTATGGAGATATGTTTAGGACATCTCAAGCTTTAAAAAGTCATGTTGGGCATGTTTTGGAGCTATTTTGAGCCTAGAACATGACTGATCAGTTTGCTGGGCATTTCTCCATGTTTGACTTGGAGATTATTTCCTAGTTTCTAACTTATTATGTTTCTTAGTTTTTAGAAGACCTTTTATAGGAAGGATTTTATTTTGTAGTATAAATAAGGCTAATTATCCATTAGGGTTCTCAACGCATTACTTTGAAGAATTCAAGTTTATTTTCAAAGTGTTTTCTATCCATATTCTTAATAGTATTTTGCGTTATGGTTGTGCGTAACTAATCTCTTTTGGCGAGGCCACGATCCTTAGCAATAATATGTAGTTTATTTTCAATTTACTTACGATATTTCTAGATTGGAGGTCCAAGTAGAGCATGCTTTAGGAAAATCTAAATATGCATAGAATGAGGGTGAGCTTAGCTTCACAATGGGCTAGGAATAATGTGATTCAAATTCACTTTTAGCGAGAATTGAATCTAAGACCTCTCACTTATAAGTAAAGAGAAATATCACTAGACCGTTGTACTAAATAACAATAATTAATAGATTTGATTTTTATATAAATTGTTTAGAATAATCATGTGGAGAACAACCTTGCTAAAACTGTTTATACTACAATTACTTTGTTCTCTTGCAAGTATTTTTATTTTAACAGGTGGTAAAAATCCCAACAATTAACCCACCCACCCCCACATGCCACCCACCACTCCCCACTCCCCAACCCTAGGGTGCGAAAGGAAAAAAAAAAAAAAGTCTTAACGAAACACTCTTTATACTGTTTACTTTTAATGTTAAATACATTTTTATTTTAAAAATTCACTTACAACACATTTTTATCATTCTGATTAAAACTCAAAGATTTCAACATCTTTTTATTAGTTTTCTTTAAAAAAAAAACTCCCTTGTCGAAGGGCATAACGTTTGTTAGTTGAGTAATGTTATTCATATCATGTTTTTATATTACATTTCTATATCATTTTAGATGACGTTTGATGTGAACAGCTAAATCAAATAGCATCACACTGGCCAGTTGCCCGTTGCCATTTGCCATAGCGGCAGAGCCCGTCTCCTTTATAATCGTTAGTCACTACCGATAATTAATAATTAATTTCTTAATCAACATTGGAGAGAAGCAGCATTGCATTGTTATTACCGAACCAATTAAACAAGTCGTCTTCTTCTTCTCCTCCCAACACAAGAGTCGAACAACACTCGTTTCCACTCTCTTTGTTGGTGAGGTGTGGCGTGCAAAATCCAGACCTCAAAGCATTAAGCATGGCTGCGGTTTCGAATTCGCTGGCTTTGACAGGTAAACTCCGCCCCATGATCTAACCACCGCTTTCTTTGTTGTTTTCTTTGCTCATTTTTTCCCATCTTTTTATCGATTTATGATTACTAAATCTTAGTTGTAGAATTAACGATTAATGTGCTTTCTGACAACCGTTCTTGAATTCGATTGAATGATTAATGTTCTTGAGTTCGATTGAATTATTAATGTTGGGTTAGTGTATATGTTTTGGAACATTGCACATTCATAAACTACGGATTCCCCGATGTGTTCTGTCATGTTTCAAGGTTTTTGCTTGAACCCAAAAACAACAACAGGACGAAATCTGAAATCATATGTTTCCCAGTTTTGGTGGTGCATTGGTTTGGTAGCCCCGGAGAAGGCCAAGTTTGTCTACAGCTCTACTGAGCTCCTTTTTTTTTTTGGCCAAGCCTTTCCTGAGCTCCTATTAAATTAATAAGCATTGCACAGGACTTTATGGCTACTGCTTTTGCATCTAACCTGAAACTAATCGGAAATTTGCCGAGAGACCCATGATCTTATACCTTATTATGCTAGGTTTAGAGTTCTCGATGCGATATTCTGTAATCTGGGAGTAAACTGATGTAGCTAACTGGTATGAACATGGTAGTCTAGTTTATTTAAAATATCCCCACCTGGTCTAAGGGTTTTAAATAATATTGGTTTCCATTATCTAAGTCATTAGAATTAGAACTCGTTTAAAGTTTTTTGTGACATTTTCGCTGTCAGAAATAAGTTGATTTGTGCACCGTGTGTCTGTTTTTGAGCTGGATTTGGAATGATGTTTCCTTTTCTGTTCCTGTGAAATTCTTCACCAGGATCTTCTCTGAAACCATCACAACAGTATCTTGGGAGTGTGACCCCGACAAACTTTTCACTGAATGCAAAGCTTATTGGGAAAGTTCAACTTTCTAACTCCAAGCGGTCCATCTCAGTTCAGGCTGCATATAGGTATTCTGTTTGGTCTTGCGTTGTGATCACTAGTATTTTTCAGGGCACGTGCTAGTAGTTTAATGCAAAATGCATGGTTGCTGCTGATTTAATTTCCTTAAGCATGACTTGCTCAGTGATCATACGAAAGTCCATTATTGTATGTCACATTGTGTCCTCCTCTTGTGATCATGGCCCTGTAACCCTGTTTAATTTCATTTTCTCATCATCCGATTTAGTATTCAGTAGTGAATAGTATTATTTTGATTTCCCATCCGTCAGTTGGTGGTGTTTTCATGATCGCAATGTTGAAATCTAATTGGTCCTTCGAAAATCAATTATGTATTTTTAACCTTTATGTAATATTCAATTATATCACATTTTCTTTCAGTAATATTCTAATGTCAATCTCTAATTGTGTAATTACAGTGATGGTGGCAGGTCAAACAGTTCAAGCATCTTTGTCAGTGGCTTTGTATTGGGAGGACTTATAGTTGGCACACTGGGTGCTGTGTATGCACCTCAGGTTACTTTTCTTCTGTGATTAAAAAATTGTTTTTTTTTTTTAAATTTTGAAAATTCAATCATTATTTTGCTCCATGCTACTTTGTGTCTATGTTATTCATCAGTCAATTTTTTTTACTTTTCTTAATGTTTACATTTTGTGAGTAATGACTCATGAGTTATCCACTTTAACGAAATGTAAATGTATACTCTACCGCACAATTTTGCAGTGGATGGTGCTCTGTGATGCGTAAATGTTGCAGTTTGTGGGCTTTTGCATTAAGCTAATGAAACCATTTTTTCCCACTGAGCTTTTTCCTTTTTAATCAACAGATCAGTAAAGCACTGGCTGGAGCTGACCGAAAGGATCTGATGAGAAAATTGCCCAAGTTCATATATGATGAAGACAAAGCTCTGGAGGTGAGAAGTTTCGGTTGAATGGTTTACCCTTTCTTTCCATAATCAGTTACAAGGATTATTTGAAATGGCCGTTTTCCGTTTGATATTTTTTCTTTGGTTTTCCATATGTTTTAAGCATTTGTTGGAAATGCTGAAAAGCTAGTTTGTTGTTATTGTGGGTTTGTTCGATCAATTATCTTCACTGACCATTACTTGCGAAAACGTTTGGTTAATGTTGGCTATAGGGAGACAGACCATTGTGATTCTAGTCTCATAACGGTCATTTTTTATTTATGTATTTGTAAACTCACAACATGCATGTGTTTTTGCACCACAGAAAACACGAAAAGTACTGGCTGAGAAGATAGCGCAGCTAAACTCTGCAATTGATGATGTTTCTGGTCAGCTCCGACCAGAGGATGACCCAGATGAAGTACCTGTGAACTCGGAAGAAGTTGAAGCTTACCTGTGAACTCGGAAGAAGTTGAAGCCGTCGTATGAGTCCTCTGAATTTCGTGTATTTCAGCGTTTCGATATTTTTCTCAATAATCAGTGTAGTGTTTCTTTTCTGTGGGAGCTCATAGTTCTGGTAATGTAATTGTACCCGCTGTGATCCTAAGATTGCTAATATTTGGACAACGCCAAATATAGGATTCTTCTCCTTTTCAATTGTATTTTGGTTAGCTTGTAATTTGTACTGTAAAAATAATATTTGGGATAAGGCTTTGTTGTTGATGTAGTAATTCGTACCGTAAAATAATACCATATCCTTTTTACAAAAACAAGAAACAAAATAGTGATGCTGAACTCAATTCAATGGTTCATGCTCTTCTGAAATTAGTTATCCATGATTTGTGGTTGAGATTTTCAACCCTTAGTGTTGTGGCTATTACGTGTCTTTTTTTATATAAGCAAGACTGTAAATTCATATAAACTACGGAGAGGGAAATTCGAACTCAAGTGCAAAGGAGAGCATACTGCTCTAACTAACTTGGTTGCATGCATTTTTCTTTCTTTTCTTTTTTGGGAAATATGTTTTCTCCTCTTTTTGCCTGTTTTTCGGTCGGATTTATATTCATCTCGTGACAAAAGAAATTCGACGGAAGGGCATTTTAGGAAGGGACGGGTGGAAATAATTTGCGGTTCATATTTTGAAAGTGTTAGCCATAGACATGATCTTATCTCCTATATCTTCATGTACCATGCTATAACCACAAGTTCCTTTAATCCAATTGCAACCATAATTTAAAACAAGGTAAAGTCCACAATGCCAATGGCAAGGAGTTCAACTGTATATATATGTTGGCAAAGTCAGTCCATTAGCTCTAGTTGCTTGCAGCCATGGCCTCACACGCAGCTCTCGCCTCTTCGCGAGTCCCGGCTAACACCAGGCTTCCCTCCAAGCCCTCCCACTCATTTCCCACCCAATGCTTCTCCAAGGTCTCTCTCTTTCTCTTGAACGGAGTTCATCGCATCGTGTTATTTATTGGCTTTGCTAGTTTGGTATAATTTGCAAACTTTTTTTTTTTTTGGCTGTGCAGAGGCTTGAAGTTGGTGAGTTTTCAGGACTAAGATCGAGTTCATGTGTGACCTATGCAAGCAATGGCAGAGAGCAATCCTTCTTCGATACTGTCGCTGCCCAGCTTACTCCCAAGGTTTTATCTTCCCATATTCTTTCATTTCATAAGGCAATATATACAATCTGTTTTGCATTTCATTAGAACATCTCGTATAGATATGATTCCTTCGAATTCTTAGCATGCTTCTAAGCTTCAGTTGATTGACTAGACCAGTACCACAAGCACGATAAAGCCATGTCTGAAAACCTTCACTCATATGAGCACTTAACAAACTGAAATGAAGGTGTGGTAACACAGTACAAACTATAAGTGCTACCTATGCCATGCTTACTAATCGGCTACAGCACGTTGGTTCATTACAAGAGGGTTACGTTTCCAGAAAATGCATTTGTGGACTCTCGGCAATGACCAGTATATTCCAAGAATGCTAACGTTTGATCAACGCTATGTTATTGAGTGGTTTTTCTGCTATGTACTTTATTAACTGTTGTTTGTTCATAGCAGACTGCAGGACCAACTCCTGTCAGGGGAGAAACAGTGGCAAAATTGAAGGTGGCAATCAACGGATTTGGACGTATTGGCAGAAACTTCCTCCGATGCTGGCATGGCCGCAAGGACTCACCCCTCGAAGTCATTGTTGTTAATGACAGTGGTGGTGTCAAGAATGTAAGGGAACTTATGACTATTATTTCCATTTAATATCCTTCTGGAGAGTGGAGAGCCAAAGTACTGGAAAATGCATTACTGAAATTTAATTCAATCCGAATGCAGGCTTCACACTTGCTGAAATACGACTCAATGCTGGGTACTTTCAAAGCAGATGTGAAAATCGTTGACAATGAGACCATCAGCGTTGATGGTAAGCCCGTCAAGGTTGTCTCTAGCAGAGATCCCCTGAAGCTTCCATGGGCTGAGATGGGCATTGACATTGTTATCGAGGTAACCGAATGCTCTACTTAATACTTGAATATCAATACTGAGGATGCCTTGGATAATATTGTAAATAGCAACTTATATAACAGAATTTGAAAACATACAGGGAACAGGAGTCTTTGTCGATGGCCCTGGTGCCGGCAAACATATCCAAGCCGGTGCCAAGAAAGTCATCATTACAGCTCCAGCAAAAGGTGCTGACATTCCTACCTATGTTGTCGGGGTGAATGAAAAAGACTACGGCCACGACGTTGCCAACATTGTAAGGTCAGTATTCTCGGATAGATTAGCAAGACAGAGAGGGGGAAATGCAAAAAGGAAACAGGAGTAAATTCACTTCATATTGTAAAGGTATAAAAGTTATATATTTGTGTATCTGCAGCAATGCTTCTTGCACCACAAACTGCCTGGCTCCTTTCGTAAAGATCCTGGATGAAGAATTTGGTAAGACGTCATTTGTATGTTCAGCGTGAATCGAACAGCACACCTTCTAGGACTAATAATTTGCTCCTCATGGAACTTGCAGGCATTGTCAAGGGAACCATGACAACTACTCATTCCTACACTGGAGACCAGGTAATGGATGGCGCCTACATTCTCCTCTGCTTACAGATTCCATTCTTTCGTTTACGATCAAGCATTGACATTTTGATATCGTTAAATCTTATGATATTGGAGTTATGTGTTATTTAATGCTTATTCCAATTTCAGAGGCTCTTGGACGCTTCACACCGGGACTTAAGGAGAGCCAGAGCGGCAGCACTAAACATAGTCCCCACAAGCACTGGTGCAGCAAAGGCTGTGTCCCTTGTGCTGCCTCAACTCAAAGGCAAGCTCAACGGCATTGCCCTCCGTGTGCCAACACCTAATGTATCAGTGGTTGACCTTGTGATCAACGTTGCAAAGAAAGGTATTTCAGCAGAAGATGTCAATGCAGCCTTCAGAAAGGCAGCGGACGGACCACTTAAGGGCATATTGGCAGTATGCGACGTTCCTCTTGTGTCTGTGGACTTCAGGTGCACTGATGTTTCCTCCACCATAGACTCCTCCTTGACCATGGTCATGGGTGATGATATGGTCAAGGTGGTGGCCTGGTACGACAACGAATGGGGATACAGGTGAGGTCACTAGTTACAAATCTACAAAGGGTTTTCCATTAAACAAAGCTAATGTTGCATTGAATGCCAAGTCTAGTTCGCTCTTCACTATTTATGCGATTGAGTCTTGATCTTTCATGTCGATTATTATTTTTCGCAGCCAAAGGGTTGTGGATTTGGCACATTTGGTTGCAAGCAAGTGGCCAGGCGCGGCAGTAGTGGGAAGCGGAGACCCATTGGAGGATTTCTGCAAGACAAACCCGGCAGACGAGGAGTGCAAAGTCTATGAAGCATAGACTAATGTTTTCGGCAGGGTTTAGCAGCATTTGTTATCAGCAAATGCTTAATTTGTAATGACAATTGAGGAGGGGGAACAAAATCATCAAGTAAATTACAAATTAAGACAATTCTCTGAATGATTATCTTATAAAATAATGATTATCATCATCATCAGAGTTTTCTGTGCAAAACTTTGATCAGATTTTGCACACCAGAGAGAATGAATGACTTTGTCCTGTAGTTCAAGTTAATAAAAAGATTTCTCACATCTCAATGTCTTCTAAGCTAAATCTTCTTGAGCAGCCTAAAACTGATGGGAGCAATTGAGCACAAGCAGTCTACAAAGTATAGGCTAGCTATTTTGTTTTGATAAATTATTGACTTGAGACCTCCGACGTATAAATGGAGAAGAATATCAGTGCTAGTTACAGTTCTTTAATTAGACTTTATAGACTTTGATTGCTCTCCTCATGATTACTTACCAGGAATGTTTGCTTCTCACAGCTAATATTCTATGTTTACTTGCCAGGATTGGGAGGAACTCCATAAATCTGGGCCCTTTCACGAAATTTCGTGTTTATGATCGGAAACGTTCATATTGTAAATTACACTGTAGATATCATCTCTACAAAAAAATTAATTAAAATTAAGATCATTTAATTATTGAACTGTGTAAAATCAATGGATGTATTTGGTTAAACAAATATGAACCGTATATTTATTTACTAAAATTGATTAACTAAATGATCTTAATTTTAATCGGATTTTTTTTTTTTTTTTTTTTGTAAAAATTATTTTTATTGAGTAATTTACAATATAAATAGTTCAAATTATGATTAAAAAGTTCTTTCAATAAGCCAATAAGTATTTTGATAACTCCTCCTCAACTTTAAGGTGTCAAGCTTTTCTCGCGAGTGTCAGGAAAAGAAAAAAAAAAAAAAAAGGCAATTTATAACACGTGAACGACTTTATCTTTGGAGAGTAACAGTGAAAGCATATGGGCCGAGATCTTGGCCCATTGGTCAGCCTTAAAAAGATACTCGATCTGGAGAGAGAGGGAGACTGAAAGCGGAAGAAGTGTAAGAAAATGAGAGGGTCAATGGTGGTGAGGTTGGCTTTGATCTTCACCATTTTGTCGATGGCTGCTTCCATCGACGACAAATGCACTGCTTGCAATGCGGTCGCGGTAAAGTCGGAATCCTTTCCTTCCTTGTCTTCTTCTTCTTCTTTCCCTCTTTTTGTTGGTCAAAATCTTCTTTCTCATTTCCTTGATCTGAAAAATGGAAAGAAAAAGTAGAAAAAAAAGTAGTAAAGATTTCTTGGAATGGAATTTAATTCGGGTTTGAAATTGGGTTGCAGGAGGAGCTTGAGCTGGGACTTTCCAACGTAAGATTTTCGATTATCCTATGTTTTTCGATTTCGCAATTCTACACATTACATCATTAGTTACCGGATGCAGTTTCATAAGATTTGTTTTCCAGGAAAAACCCAGAAACCATTTGGATATGAGACACCGTTTGGACTCAACCGGTCAACGGAGAGGAAGGGTAATCGATTACAGGTACTACCTGCTCTGCATTGCCTTCTCACTCTCAATTTTACGCTCGCTCTTGTATAATTTGTCATGAATTTACAGCCCAAATGCCCCACATCCCCAAATTAGTATTAAAACCCTGAATTTAAGGGGGTGTATTCAATTGGGAATTTGGGAGATTTTAATGGATTTATAAATCCATGGATTTTTATGGAATTTAACTGATTTGTAGAGATTCTATGTAAAATTTTGATTCAATTCCTTCGAAATTTCATGGGAAGATGTGAGATTTGTAGATATTTAAAATACACTACAAAATCTCTCCAATTCCCTCTAATTCCTCAACTTTTCCAAGTTCTTTAAATTCAAATTTTAATTGAATACACCTGGAATGTTATAAACTTCTTTAAAATTCTAATTGAATACATCCAGATTTCTAAGGATTTTAATAAATTATCTTAAAATTCTGATTGAATACACATTAAATTTTAGAGAATATTGAATACCCCTAGATTCATTAAAAGATTTAAAATCCATACACGCCCAAAGTTTCGAGTTTTGCCTATACTTCTTAACATGTGGTGTCAAACTTCGTGAATGGGGTGATCTATGGACTGATTGCATTTAAATGCGTTTGGTGAAATTGTATATATGTACATAGTGCTTAGTCTTATAGCATTGGTTGGCGAGATCATGACGATGACTATTTGTAGTACAAGTTGTTTTTACTTCACTTTCTTTTACAAGTGGTTGGTGACTATTTCCGCAATTGTTTCCAACAGAGTCAGCGAGCTAAGAGCGGTTGAACTCCTCGATGGACTTTGCGATAAGATGCAGGAATACACTCTTCACAAGGTCAATGCAACTAAAAGGTTGCTTTCTTCTTATTTATTTTCGTATTTTGTTGGGAAACATCCAACTCTTGTTTTTGTTTGTAGAAAGAGTGGGTCAAAGTGGATAGCTGGGATAACCTCACGATAAGTAAGTATTTCTTCGTCTATATAATCCATTCTATAGCTGTTGTTTTTTTCCTGATTCATATTTGCATTCTACATGTTATCTTTGTGACTGACATATCGATTCAGTAAGCAACAAGCGGATGTGCTGCCTTTTATTTTAGTCAAAGCGAACAAACTAATGGTCCAAGGGAATGATTAAATAGATCCTAGAATAGTAGAAAATGCAGAAAAGTTTGAAATAAATTTAGATCCAACGTTGCGAGTTGATTATCTGTACCATACATAAAACGAAGGGAGTTCTTATTGATTCAAAGATGAACCATTTCATGAGATTATGATATTCTGAACAGTGTATGTGTGTTTTTCAGGTAAACAAGAAGCTAAAGCATATTCAAAGGATTTGTCGACCTATTGTGGAAGGTGAGATTCCAACTTTTTTCCCAATACCTATCGTTTACGGAAATTTTAATATTTTATCTTTCAAAACTCTAAACTGATTGTACTCTTATGAACAATGAGCATTTTTATAAGCCAGTTAAGGCTCCCATGATTCAGAAGCCTAACCAGTGTATTTATTTTGGACAGATTACTTGAGGATACAGAAGACGAGGTGACTTAATACTCCTATATTTTTGGTGTTGATGAAACAAATAATTAATGGTTATCTGTATTGTACATTTAACATCAATGCTTTTTGTCTGCTAATTTTAAATTATGCTTGCAGTTGACTGAATTGATAAAGAAAGGGTCTGTTAGAGTAGGGGATGTAAGCAAGGTCCTATGTCAAGATCTGAGTAAACACTGCAGCAGGGCAAGGTACACTTTGTTTGCCATTCATCGTTCGGTAAAAAATATGAGTAGCAAAATTAGATAACTTCTAACTCCTCCCAGGCCCCCAATCATATCATACCATGATATCAACAATAGATGCTAACAGTTTTCTTTTAACACTGGGCCCTTACTTAAGGGCCAGCTTGACAACCATTTTGTTTTTAATTTTTGGTTTCACTTTTCGTGCTTGAGACAATAGGAAAGTGTATGGGGGGAAAGGAAGAATGAAGAAGGGTGATGGGAGAAAGGGGAAGAAAATGAAGAAAGGAATGGAAACAAAATCTTGTGAGAACAACGTAAAATAGCTTTTGGTTTTTAGTTTTCATTTTGTGTGCCTTTCCGTGTACATGTCTTCTACAATTCTACCATCATCCTTCATCAACTTTTTCTTCGTCCCTCCTTTCCTCTATGTAACCAAAAGCGAAATGGTTATCAAATTGGCCCTAAATTTCTTTTGTTTTCGATTTTGGGTAACGTGAGCTTAAAGGTTTTGACCACAGAAACTCATCTGCTTTCTGGAATTATTATTAATCCTGACTTTGTCTGGGGATTGTCCCCGGTTAGAAGGTTATTCTCGATAGCAGGCTTCCCCTTTTGTATAATATCCTGAAATTTTTATGGTGTCTGTGTGCAGTGTATCAAATGGATCAGATGGAGAACTTTGAGTTAACCGAGTTTACATACTTCACCAGCAAGCAGAGACGATGAGCCAGTTAACTTTTACACAATGTTTCGTCAGTTTAAGTTGGCTTTGTTTATGAAGTGTTATGCTTGAGAGACATTTTGTTATTCTGTAATACCAGCAAATTTTGCTTCTGAACTTATGCCATTATGTACCAATTTGTGTCAACTAATACAAGACACCAAGTCAATGCATCTCTTATACAACTGAATTTGAGTTGGATTTTTGTCTCGTCAGTCGCACTAGTTCTTTATATAACCAACATCTGCAGTGATTTTAACACGTTTTAGCTTTGTAAACTACTGCATGAACATCCCTGTCAACTTTCGTTTCTCATGACGAAAAAGGTCGAACAAACGGAGAATAGCAAGCAACCTATTTGCCAGAAATCAAACAACGAAGATGAATACTTCCCATTCGTAGAACATAGCTTTGTTAGATGTACAGAATATGCAGCATTACAAACAACCTGACTTTTAGTAACACAACAATCAGCAGCTTATGCCTTCGGGTTGAGAAAAAAAGAGCCCCCCCATGTCCGTTTCAGGCCCTTTCGCTTCTGTACAGAACTCACTCATTGGACCATGTCTTTATTTCATGAGTTACAGTCCAGTACACCCTTCAGTAAATTGAGCCCTTCTAAAGATATGCTCCTTCGAACTCTGGTTTGCGGTATCTCTATTTTAGGGGGAGGGTCCGGTAGGAAACAAACCACAATAACAGTTAAATTATCACATGTGTTGCGCATGAGCGCCTCCCTGACCAGTTCTCTTGAGCATCTCTCAGGATCATTGTGGACCATCAATTCTTTCCTCGTCATTGTGACAGCGCATTGGCTGCTCATTACGTCCCACAAGCCATCACACCCCATTATCAAAAACTCATCATCTTCAGTTAGGCGTGTCTCCTGCAACTCTGGCTCTGCACTTAGAGGACAGGCAGAACCTTTTGCACCCTTCATGTGCCAGTCTCCTAGAGCACGGGCCACAGATAACTGGCCATTGAGATAGCCGTCATATATGACACCGCCAAGATTCTCAATTCTTAGTCTTTCAGATTTACAATTTGGTTTGTGGTCTTTTGACATCTCTACTGCTCTACCCCGCCTCCCCAACACGGCTCGACAATCCCCAGCATTAGCAACTATCAGGGACCTACAAAAGTACAAAGTATGTAAGACTAAGACATGAAACCTAATTAAGATTCACGACTTCTAAATGCAAGGTATTTAGAAGCAATTCTACGCAAACCCAATGCTCATCATTCAATTTCTTTCTTCTTTCATAAGTTACGTAGAGAACTATCACAAACATAGTCAGATAAAGTACGCCTTATCTATAGAAATCAGTATAAGCACGAGATGTCCTAGAACCTGGGAGTTAAACTTGTGCCTAATTAAAACAACTGTAAGAAAAACTAGCAAAATGTTCATCAGCACCAGTAGCATCCCAAATGCAAATATATACTTAAAAAGTAGCAAAAGAGCGGCCTTACCTTCCCCAAATCAGGGAAGTCAGAGCAGTAGTGCCAGAGGAGATGTCAAGAGAATTCGCATCTGCAAATGCATAATCAGCTTTCAGATAAGCACTCTTAATGGCCCTGTTCAAACACCTTGGAAAATGGGAATCCTCAACTATGTATTTAAGGATGTTTTTTCTGATAAACGATGCTGCATCTGTGCCTCCATGACCATCAAATACCTGTTTACATGTGTATAAATTAATATCACGGAAAAAAGCTGTATAAACCGCAATGTACGCCACTTTTCAAGATCACTGTTCAAATTTACAAGAGAGGGAATGGCAGACACCATTGAATTTAATAAAGTATGTAAAAACGTAAAAAAAGACTATTAACAATTGAAAGTCCAGTATACTAATTTCTCAATCCATGGATTCAGCCAGTTTATCTCCAATTAACATATACTAATCTCTCACTACAGGGAAAATATTCATTACAACAATATTAACGACAACATTTTGTGTAAGGGAGATGAAATAAATCATTGGAAGTCAGTGATACTACAGAGTAAAAAATTGTTTAACTTGGAAAAAGACTGATGATGATCAAATACTTCTTGGGCGAAGCTATATGGTGGTGGCCAGGGGAGCACGTGCCCCCTCACATTTATTGCAAAGTAAACTTCTCCTAATATGCTGTCTTTCTAACCATTTTGATGATTTTTATTTGGTCTTTTTTCTAAAAAAATTATTCTTTTTATCTTTTGCAGACAGCAACCTTCCTTGGTCCAATATATTTACATTTCCTAGTTCGCAATTTTTTCTCTTCCTACACATCTCTGTTTATTTTTGGGCGTTGAACTGGAGAAATCATTTAAAAATCAAGGGAAATAATAAAACAAAGGTGTGCAAAATGATAAAGGGTGTACGAAAACCATTTCCCTTAGGAAAACTTGAGTTTTTTTCCCTTCTGAAAATTGATTTATATTAGGGATACAAGTTGAGGGTGCCCCCTATGTATAAAACTCCTGGCTTCGCCCCTGCTTTTCAGTACGGACTAACAAGAAACAACCCTGCCATATACTCTACAGGAACCACAATGATAAAGAAGCAGACAAATTACCAATGTTACCATCAACTATCCTGCCTTAAGAAGGGCATTAAAATGTCTTCTGACTAATGAGCAGTTAAAGTGGTATGGTAAGAAGGGGACACTCACCCCATAGAAAGCTCCAGGTGAAGAGAAGTCATCAGTTTCACCAAAATGATCAATAAGATTATCTATGCATACGTGTTCATCCTCCATGTACTGTTTAGGTCCTCTTTCAGCACAACGTCCTGAACGGAACACAGGGAGAAACCCTGACTTTTGATTGGAGGGCGACTTAGTGGATAAGCTATCATCATCCAACTGGACAAAGGTGATAAAGTCAGTTCAAATGAAGTCCTGAAATTTGATGCCAAAAGAAAACAGAAGGGAATACTGAATACAATAAAAAGAAATTCACTCTTTTAGATGCGAAAAGACAGTGGAAAAGAAAAACAGAACTTGGATTCTTACAATTTTTGGAATTGCATCAGTATTATAAAGATTCCAAGCATGACTTTCCTTTTCAAGTTAATTGCACAAAAACAGAAATCAAAGCAAAACATTACAAGAACGATATGCAAGGATGAAAAACGAGCTCACAGTAACCTTTACATTATCCAAAACACCAATCTCATGAAGCAATTTTATCAAAGACAAGTTTTTACACACAAACCACATACTGCAAAACGAAGTTTGGGTCCTTTTGCATGTGATGAAAAGATATAGTTATTGATCTTTGTTTCATGCTAAAAATGAACAAATTTGTACTCCTATTTTGTTCAAAGAATCTGTGACACAAAGTTGACACTAGGGCTACATGCAAGTTATGATACGGGCATAATGCCGTGACATTTGTGAGCTTGTGGACATGGTTATTTCATTAAGCACACATTAACAAGTAGAAGTAATCATATCGAACCCAACCACTATGAAAGCGTGATTTTACCAGTCTATGTTGAATATTTATGATGACATTGGCTTCCAAACTTCTACTCTCCAGTACACAATTTCTGTAAATTTAATATTTGACCTATCCATCGATTAAAGCTCAAATCTGAAGCCAATTTTGATTAACCTGTTATGTTTTTTCTCTCTTTTAAAGCCAATTTTGATTGACCTATCCATCTATCCGCCTAATTGTTAGATTCTAGACATTCAATACATATTGTGGATAAAATGGATCACCAAAAGTCAAAATTTACGCGAATTTGACATTAGATTTGTTGAGTGATTAACCCATTCTTTTCTTATGTTCTTGTTGTTTGGTAAAAAAAAGGTTTCGGGGGAGGGGAAGCTACCCCATCCAAGGCCAGGGCACGCCACAAACCTCATTGAGGACTTTCAGAGGGGGTCTTAGCCCTTTTTTTTGGTTTTTACAGATCGCCCACCAGGATTGTCGACAGCGGATCTCGAACCTAGGCCTTGGATTGCTTTTGTTTTTGGTAAAAATGACCTTGGATTGCTTTCAATAGGCTACAATTTCTTGTTTCTTATATGAAAGCTTTTTACGGACTCTGTTTGCTCGTATATACTCTATCCATTTACAGTAATCATACACTAGAACAGGAGTTACTCTATGCATTTACTTCAACCATATGAATATTGATAACTTAGCAACCAAGAAAACAAAATGCTTACCAAATCATCTGCTGTCCGATGCCCGATGGAGCTCATGCTGTGCCGCAAGGCTGAGGAATACCGCGGAGGCTTTCGATTTGTCATTTGTTTCAAATCACTCAAACTATCAGAAACCTCATCTTCCAATGCCGCTGCATTATCCTTATTGCACCCAACTTCCAGCACGCTAGAAGGAGCCGAAAATTCAGTACCGGCCGCCATGCTCACAGGCAGATCAAAAGTCATATCACATATGCTTCAATTCAACACAAACCCCCGAAAACGATTCCTTCCAGAATTTTGCAAATGGAAGCAAATACGCAGCAGAAAATTGTTGACACAAATGTCCCAAATTAGAAGCAATAATTACCAAGCTAGCAAACCAAAAGCATCAACAATTTACCATGTACCATTTACTGAAAGGATTCCAGTTTCATCCAATAACCAGAGAGAATTCTCAAAGTAAACGCAATACTTGACAGAGAAATTGGACAAGGCAATTGCTTTGAAGAATGTGAAAGAAATTGGAAAGATATCTGAGCTTTTTTAGAATGATGGAGGAGAGAGAACGTTGAGTTGGTTAACTTTGCTGGTGTATTGTTGGCCACCGGCGATTCTAGGTAATCCACCGGATCTCGTAGCTGGACGTACGAGTACGGGGAAGGATACCGACACGTACGTTTTGCATTCAATTCAAAGATCTGTTTGTTGACGTGGATGTTACCGACAAAATGACCCCAACCAAATTAATTCGGTTTTACAATTTAAACTTAAGAAAATTGAACCGGACAATAATTTCGGTTCAGTTTTAAGCTAGAAGCCAGACCCATATGAACCAAACTCGGCCCTATGGCCTGATTGGTTTGAGATTGCTCCTCCAACCGACAAAAATATTTATACGGAAACGACTCGGCTACAGTCTCAGTGGTGTTGGTTCTGCTAAAACAATGTCATGTATAAATTTATCAACATTTGAAATTGCATTGGATCATGGCGTCACGCAACGGTGAATTTATTCAATGTAAATGTAAATCGTTCTCCTTCCAATAATGTTCAAGTTGTACCTGTGGAAAGGATGTGTTGTTTTCATTGTCTTCTACTCAAAAAGCCTCGTTCATATTATGCTCAATTTAGCTACATGTATAATTTAATAGATGTGGAGTTTTATAATAAGGGACGTCAATTTAATTAGAAACAAAACACTTCAATATGAGTCTTATATATATACTTCTTTTTTCTTTTTGAAAATTTGGCTGTTATAGAAACATTTCAAATATTGGTTGCTACAATAGAAATAGTACATGCCCACACACAAAGCGTGCGTGAAATATTTTTTGTTTTTAAAATCGAAGGAGTGAGGAAGAGAGAGAGAGAGAGAAGTGGGAGTGGGGAGAGAGGGAGAGAAGTTTATTTGTTTATTTGTTTATTTCTTTAAATTAGACATGATATAATCACTTGTAGGTAAGGTTTAAAAAAAATCGCAAAATTTTGTTTTGTAAAATTACGTTACTGTTCTTAACTTTTTTTTGTTGTGATAGAAGACAAAAATGTCTTTTCACTCTCTTTTGATTGACAAAGTGGATTTCATTAATATTATTGGGAGATTACAATGCCGTTTATGGAAGAGGAATTGGATATCACGGAGATCACCTTACATAAAAGTAATTTAATTATGGTTAGACTCGGAGATGACAAAGAATATAAAAGGAATTCTCATTATGGTTTAAGAGGATTGGGTCATGTTGAATTTGATCTTCAAGCCTTTGTTAGGATGTGCGATGTGGAGAGAGAAAAAAGTTTGTGAAAAAACCTTGAGGTTTAACCATAACTAGTTTTAATTAAGAATCGATTAATAAGAGTTTTTCTCACACTATCTCACTAATTAGTATTTAATGAAATGAATTGCACATATATTAACGTGAAATTTTGGAAAAACTAATGAAAATGATATCAACTCAATTAGTTTTTTTTTTTTTTTTATCGAACTGAATTAGTTAATTAAATAGGTTATGATTGACCAAGTTTTTTACTTAATTTTATGAATGAAAGACGCTGTATTGGGCCTTAAAATTAGTATCAGGTTTCTAGGCCTATTGAGCTTGTTAACTTAAGTTGTGTATGACAACTTAAATAAAATGGATCTAAAGGCCCAAGGACACCATTGACCCATTATACGGGTTTTAGATGGCTAGAATTTCACATATGACTCATCTATATAAGTAACTTTATGGCTCCATTTAGACTCAGGAGTTTTTGTAGAGAAAAATGAGAAGGATGTAATTCAGTATCTTAGTAGATTAGATGCTGAGTTTCTACTCTTGATTTCGAGTTCGAAACTCTCCTTCCCTGAAATAATATAATAGTTTTAAACTTTCTCCCTTTCTCTTAAATCATCTTCAGCCCTTAAATTAAAGGAAGTTTTAACGAAAATGCCACTGTACTGTTCACTTTAACGAAAAACAACATTTTTACACTGAAAAATCAAACCTGCTATATTCACTTTACCTTTTATTTTAAGGAAAACTAATGAAAAGGGTTTGAAAACTTTGAGTTTTAACGATAAGGATAAAATAAAGGGTAAAGTGAATAGTGCCAGGATTGACTTTTAGTGTAAAAATATGGTTTTTCGTTAAAGTAAACAGTACCATGACCTTTTCGATAAAACTCTCTTTATTTTATTATTTTCGTTAAAACTTAAAATTTTCAAACATTTTTTATTAGTTTTATTTAAATTAAAATCTAAAATATTTTTCTTCTCCATGTTGTCCAATCAAAATGGAGCTATTGAGATTGCATATGGGTGGCTGGCAACCCATCAGGCTGGGCCCCACTTCCACATTACACTGTTCCCTTTGCCTTACTTTTGGTGCGCTCCCTTGCGTTTGGTGCGTTCCCTTGCATTTTCTCCCGCTTTTCTGGCGCGTCCACGCGCAGGCAGTGCGCCAGGCCATTTACCCTTGACGGTTTCTTTGGTTAAATTTAACCAAAACTAATAAAAATGATTTGAAATTTTGAATTTGAACGATAAGGATAAAATAAAAGGTAAAGTAAATAAAATCAAAATTGACTTTTTAGTGTAAAAATATAGTTTTTTGTTAAAGTGAACAGTACCGCAGACTTTTCGTTAAAACTTCCTTAAATTTACCCCATAAATCAGTTTTGGAGGGTTGGAGTAAATTGGGGGTTTATAACCTAAATTTTAGATTCTAATTCAAGGATTGGAGTGAGTCTATCTACACTTTTTTTTGAACAAATGATATTATATAAACTAAAAGAGGGAAGAGAGATGAGTTTAGCGTCATAATAGACTAGTAATAAATGGTTTAAATTCGCAAATTAAGGGGGGAGGGGTGGGCTTAAACCTTACAATGACCTAGCAATAATGTGGTTTAAATTCATTTTCAATGAAAACGAAACTTAAAACATTTTATTTACAAATAAAAAAATACAACTATATTATAGTACTAATTGACAATCAAACTCCTTTATTTACAAAAAGAAAAGTTAAAAAAATGCAAGCACAGTTTTTACACAAAGTAAAATTTCCCTCTTTTCTATGGGCCCGCGTGAACTTTCACTTTAAGACTTTAAGTCCAAACCCAAAAGTACTGGTGGAGGATTCTTTCCCTCTTTTAGCCTCTCTCTCATTCTCTCCCTTTATATTTGAATTATCATGCTTCAACCATTTTAATATTTTATATTAATTTTTTTTTTAGAAGAAGACGTAAATAGGAGGAGACAAATTCTACTCCAAAGTATAGGCAAACAGGTAGGCCTTTTCGTCAGAGAAAGGAAATTCGTTGATTGGCGAGGAAGAGAAGAACAATTCCCTCCTCTCTACACTATTGATTTCACTTGGCTGGGAGCTTTACTTGTCAGGTTAAAGCATGATTCTCTTCTGCACATCAACCGGTTGAGATTTAATTAAATTAAATTTTTAAGTTAAATCTCAATTGCTTTTTATCGTTTTTTGATGCTTAGACCATCTCCAATGGTTTGGTTAAAAGCCAAATATTTTAGTCCGGAAAATTTAGCTTTTAGCCCAGAAGCAACTTTTCTGCTCCAACCGTTATAGTCTAAAATTTTAGCCCGGAATTATTAAAGAATGAACTTAGGCTATTTTTTTTCTTAAATTAATTTTTTTTAAAATTAAATATGAAGACTATCGTAAATTAATTTTATGAACATTTTAATCTAAAAAAATTTAAATTCCGATAAATATTGAAAAATCACTAAATTTTCTACAAAGCAAGCCTTCAACTTTTACCAATCTTTCAACCCTGGGCTAACTTTCAATTTACCAACTTTCAACACCAAATTTTCAATTCACCAACCGTTCAACACCAAACTTTCAACTTTCACCAACCATTCAACACCAAACTTTCATCAATCATCCTCTATATAAACATATGTCCAATATTTGTTGATCACACAACATTTCAACCTTCAATCATCCTCTATATTCACCAATATTTCAACTTTCAAAGAGTTTTTGTTTCCTAAAAATCCTCAATATCTCATCAATGGGGGATAGAAGAAGGCGTAGTACAGCAATGCAGATGACATAATACCAAGCAAGGATGGAGATTGAGGATGCAGAATTGTTCAACGCTGAAGTTGAACTTATCAACTCGTTTATGCAATATGAGCACCATAGCGAATCTAGCCATCGTGGTTCTGTCACAGGACGTTCATATGTGCAGCGTGATAGAGAAGAGTGTTACGATCGAATGATGAAAGATTATTTCATCAAGCGTCCGAGATTTCCTGCTCATGATTTTCGGAGGCGGCTTCGGATGAGGAGAGAGCTTTTTGAAAGCATCTTGAATGCCGTTGTCAATCATAACCACTACTTTGAAAGGAGGGTAGATGTCGCAGGCCGACAAGGTCTATCACCTCATCAGAAGCTCACATCTGCTTTTCACATGCTAGCTAATGGATGCTTTGCAGACTCAACTGACGAGTATTGTCGACTTGCAAAAAGTATTGCTATTGAGAACCTGAAGTGCTTCTGTAAGGCAATTGAAGACATATATGGAGCCACATACCTCCGCAACCCAAATCGTGAAGACTTGAAGAGGCTTCTACGCAAGGCAGAAAAAAGAGGCTTCCCTGCCAAGCATAGAGCAACATCTTCCTCACAAGTCCAATGGAAAGAAATGGTAGAAAGATATATTGAAAGAATTGTAAGAGAAATTTGAGTTTTTAAATTATTTTAGCCGTTAGATTTAAATTTGGGCTGTTAGATTTTTTTTTTTTACTATTAGATTTGATTATATTTGATCTCAGCCGTTGGATTCAATGTATTTTAAAATAACATATTTTAAAAAATCAAATTTGAATCTGGACCGTTGGATCAACCAACGGTCCTTGAAAAGCAGCCATCGGATTGAAAATGTAGCCATTGGAGGTGGTCTGGGTGGCCAACAAACCGCTGACAGCGGGGCCCACCCTGTCGGGAACAAATTGCATGCGCTTCGCGTGGGGCGCGTTGAAGCGTGAACGGGCCGAGACTGGCCCAATGGCCAGCGAGTCCAGTCGCGCGGGGAGGGGGTGGGGAGAATTCTGGGGGGTATTTGGCCCAACTTTACCTTTTGGCATTTAGCCAAATGTCTTAGCATGAGTTGGAGATGGCTTGGGGGGGAAAATTTGGGGGGTAATTTAGCATTTAGCCCACCATTAGAGGTGGTCTTAGACCATCTCTAATAGTTGGGCTAAAAACCAAATATTTTAGCCCGAAAAATTTAGCTTTTAGCTTAGAAACAACTTTTCTACTCCAATCGTTCTAACCTAAAATTTTAGTCTGGGATTATTAAAGAATGAACTTAGGCTATTTTTTTGTTAAATTAATTTTTTTTAAATAAATATGTAGACTATCGTAAATTAATTTTATGAACATTTTTATCTAAAAAAATTTAAATTTTGATAAATATTGGGTGGAGTCCACTCCGATTTCTGGGCTAAATTTTGGGGAGAATTTGGCATTAGTTTAGCATTTAGCATTTAATCCAAATTTTCCCCTTGGGTTGGAGTGGGATTGGGGGAAATTTTGGGAGGTAATTTGGCTTTTAGTCCTGAGAGGGTAAAACTCCAGTGTAATTATAATCAGTACTAGCAGCAGAGTAGACATTGGGATTCTCTTGTTTAATCCGATTACTTATGGCCGAATCAATCACTGTGTTTTTATAAGTGCTTTTCCCGAAAGCTGTTTCCCATGTAGTTGTAGTGGTTTTGAGTTTGGGTTTTTGATTCTCCTCAAAATCAAAGACTCAGAGCAGAGCTTTCTCTTTAGTGGGAAATCCAAATTCTTCATAGAAATAGTTCATTCCCAATGAATTTAGGTTTTAGGGTCTTTCATTTGGTGTTTGTGTGTGTTGTTTGTTGGGTTTTGCCATTTGGATTTGGGTCTTCAAATTCAAGTTCAAGACCAGCGGTCGTGAACATTGGAGCAATTTTCACCTTTGACTCCACCATTGGAAGAGTTGCCAAGCTTGCCATCCAGGAAGCGGTCAGAGATGTCAACTCCAATTCCAGCATTCTCCATGGCACCGAGCTTGTTGTACATATGCGGACCTCCAATTGCAGTGGCTTTCTTGGAATGGTTCAAGGTGACCACTTTTTTACGCAATTTTTGGTTGGTTTTTTTCTGTTTTCTAGATTTTGATAGTCAAGAATTCTATTTCAGAAATTGCTTTGAGATTGTACGTAATTCGTTGTTGTGCTGCTAATTAAAACTTGTGCTAATTACAGCTTTGCAATTCATGGAGACTGATATTGTGGCCATTATAGGCCCACAATCCTCTGTTGTTGCCCATATCATATCCCATGTTTCAAATGAACTCCAAGTTCCCTTATTGTCATTTGCAGCCACAGACCCTACTCTCTCGTCCTTTCAGTTCCCCTTTTTCGTTAGGACTACACACAGTGATTTATATCAAATGACTGCTGTGGCTGAAATCGTTGATTATTATGGTTGGAAGGAGGTTATTGCCATTTATATTGATGATGATTACGGACGCAATGGAGTTTCAACTTTAGATGATAAACTTGCCGAAAGGCGCTGTAGAATTTCATACAAGTTAGGAATTCCCCCTGGACATGGAGCTACCCGGGGTGAGCTCATGGATCTTCTTGTTAAGGTCTCCCAATTGGAATCTCGAGTTATAGTTCTTCATGTCAATCCTGATTTAGGTCTCAATGTTCTCTCTGTGGCACAATATCTTCAAATGATGGGTGATGGATTTGTGTGGATAGCTACAGATTGGCTATCGTCTCTTTTGGATTCTGCTCTTCCTCTTTCTCCTGAGATCATGGATACGATGCAAGGAGTTCTTGTGCTGCGCCAACACACACCGGATTCTGATAGAAAGAGGGCCTTTTTCTCCAAGTGGAACAAGCTAACTGGTGGTTCCTTGGGACTGCATTCTTATGGGCTTTATGCTTATGATTCCGTTTGGCTGGTTGCTCATGCTATTGATGCATTTTTTAACCAGGGTGGGATTATTTCGTTCTCTAATGATTCTAGGATAAATTCTGTAGACAAAGGTGGTAGTCTTCACCTTGCGGCAATGAGCATATTTGATGATGGTCCGCTCCTATTGAAAAATATATTGCAGAGTAGTTTTCTTGGGTTGACAGGCCCTGTGAAGTTTGATTCAGAGAGGTCTCTTGCTCTTCCAGCATATGATATTATTAACGTGCTTGGTACTGGGTTTCGACGAATTGGTTACTGGTGCAACTATTCTGGTTTATCAACTGTCCCCCCTGAGATGCTCTATTCAAAGCCACCTAATCGTTCAAGTGCAAGCCAAAAATTATACAGCGTTGTCTGGCCAGGCGAGATGGTGTCAAAGCCCCGTGGTTGGGTTTTCCCAAACAATGGGAAACAACTAAGAATTGGTGTGCCTATCCGGGTCAGTTACCGAGAATTTGTATCACAAGTTCGGGGGACTGATAACATGTTCAAGGGTTTCTGCATAGATGTATTCACAGCTGCTGTAAACTTGTTGCCATATGCTGTTCCATATCGATTTATCCCTTTTGGAGATGGCAAGGAAAACCCAAGCTACACAGAGCTTGTGACTTCCATTGCAACGGGTGTGAGTAAATATATTATGCATTTGGTATTTGAATTTTAACTCATAAAAGGGCAAGTTTAATCAGCTAATGCACTTATGTATATGTGTGTGCATTCATTAGCTATTTCTCTCTTATACTAATTGCAGGTCTTTGATGCCGCTGTTGGTGACATTGCCATTGTTACAAATCGTACAAAGAATGTGGATTTTTCACAGCCATACGCTGCATCTGGACTTGTTGTAGTTGCTCCGTTTAAGAAATTGAACTCCAGCGCTTGGGCTTTCTTTCGGCCATTTACTGCACGTATGTGGGTTGTCACTGCTGCTTCCTTTCTTGTTGTTGGTATAGTTGTGTGGATTTTGGAGCACAGGATAAATGATGACTTCAGAGGTCCGCCTAAAAAGCAATTAATAACCATCTTGTGGTAAGTTCTATATTTAAGTTTCTCATCATGATATTTGCTAACTTGCGCAAACTCTTTTATGTTTTTTGGCCAACTTACAAACTGATTACCTGGTTAGTTTTTCCTTTGCTATCTCACTATATCACTGCTTAGAGCACTACTATCTTCAGGTTGTCTGTGATATATGACGGAAAAGAAAATTTCGGAAATTTAAATATGATAGATATATGGAGGACATGGCAGCTGATGATTTGATGTTTATTTGAAGCCAAAATAATGATTTTGGTGCACTTTCTCTGTCACTTCGGTAACTCTCACTATTCCATTGCTTAGAACACTACTATCTTCATGGTTATGTGTATATATTATGAAAATTGGAGCACTTTCCCTCTAAATGCCTTCAGCAGTCATGATGTTTCCAACCCCTGTAACCACAGTGGGTCGGTATTAATGGACTTGCCTCAACCCATTTGGGATTGCTTTTGTAGTAAGCAATTCTGCTCATAAGCACTTGCGATAAAAGTGCTTTTATTAGAAACACGTTGAAACTAAAAGACCTTTCCCTTAGAGCTTGTTAGAAACTGTTTTCCATGCTGAAACTTTTCATGGAATCTTCGAGTAGGTTGTGGAACTTAATGTTCCTCAAAAGAATGGAGGCAACAGAGGAAGCTAGTGATGGTAGGAGTCAATCGTAGAAAGCTTCTGTACAAGAGATGAATTTCAATTTTCTGTAAAGGTTTTTTTCCCTTTCTAAAACGGAAGAGGGCTGAGGTCAATATGTGTTTAATCAGAGCTGTGTTAAAATTTGTGAGCGCAGAAACACCTCAAATGTGACTACATACCTCCTTGATGTACCATTTTTTTTATTTGGTCAGGGTGTGTGATTCGTTTTGCTTCTTATTGGAAGAATCCTGAGTGTTTGCATGGGTTTTGGCCTCCGTTTGCGAATCTGTCCATTGTATATGTCTAGAGCATGTTATAGTGCTAAGCCAATAATTTGTTTTTCACCTGAAGTCCAAGACACTTGCTTCAACATCAAATATTGGTTTCTTTTCTAATTTACTGACTTGTTTCTTAACCTTGCAGGTTTAGCATCTCTACTCTGTTCTTTTCCCATAGTAAGTGAGGCTTAGATTCTTTCTTCAAAATCCGGCTTATTTGGGCTTTATTGAAACAAATTTTCATTTATTATCTGACTTGCTTCTGTGCCCCTTCCATAGGAGAGAACACTGTGAGCACCCTTGGTCGCGTAGTGCTAATCATATGGCTCTTTGTGGTTTTGATAATCAACTCAAGTTACACCGCTAGTCTGACATCAATACTCACAGTGCAGCACCTATCTTCTCCTATTAAAGGAATTGAATCCTTGAAAAGTAGCAATGAGCCAATTGGTTATCAAGTTGGTTCCTTTGCTGAACAGTATTTGAGTGAGGAACTTGGGATACCCAAGAACAGGCTTATCGCTCTTGGGTCTCCTCAAGCATATGCGCTGGCGCTCCAGCTTGGTCCTAAAAAGGGAGGTGTTGCTGCTGTGGTTGATGAACGCCCTTATGTTGAACTCTTCCTCTCATCCCAGTGCAAATTTAGGGTTGTAGGACCAGAGTTCACCAAAAGCGGATGGGGATTTGTAAGTATTCTTTCTTAGAACATTCTTATTTTGAAAACAGGAGCATTAGATCTTTTCGAAGTTAGCCGAAATGAGAAACACAAAGTTTTGACATGTCTTCCTTTTCTTTGCCATAATAGGCATTTCCGCGGGACTCTCCATTAGCTGTTGACATGTCAACTGCAATTCTACAACTATCAGAGAATGGAGATCTGCAGCGTATCCATGATAAGTGGCTAATGCAAAGCTCTTGCAGTTTAGATACCACTGAACTTGAGTCAGACCGGCTTCATCTTAAAAGTTTTTGGGGCCTCTTTCTCATATGTGGAATTGCTTGCTCCGTTTCTCTCTTCATATATCTTTTGCAAGTTTTGAACAAGTTACGCCATGCTGAAGTCACACAACATATTTCAACTAGTCCAGGCAACTCCCAATCTGGGCGTCTCAAGAGATTTTTATCCATAATTGACGAGCGGAAAGATCAGTCCAATAGTGGAAGCAAAAGAAAGAAAATAGTTAGATCATTCTCCGACAATGTTACTGATGGCAAGTTGGAATTAAAACAAACAGAAATGACTGCTAGGAGTGACATTAATTCCGACAACTAACTCGTTCATTAGATCATCATAACTGTATCAATACATGTAAGTTCTCATCTTAACCATACCTAAGCATTAATATTATTTTGAACCATCTGCAGTGTATAATTTGTATTCTAGGAACATATTCTGGATCTATATTTATTCACTGAAATGGAAGGAATTCTGCCGTATCTCTCAATCATCGCTATGATTGTTTATATGTAATATTTGGTGTCCAAATTCAAGTTTTTGTTTCTTGATATCTCATGTTTCGTCTAGCTTTGCTTTCAGTTTTGAATCCTTGTTCTTATTTAGTTAAACATCCAGATTCAGTACCACCAGGAAAAGAAACGAAAGTTAAATATTCTGAAAAGAGTTCGTCTGCAATGTTTATTAGTCTAGATGCTGTCAGTATAAACTTACATTTTACTCGTGCACCGTTTATCCGTCGCCGTATTTGTTATATAACCTTAAGAACTACAGATCTTGTTGTATAGTTATTTTGAATCATCCAATTGTCGTAAGTTGAGTTGATCAATAGCATGACTTGTAAACTCGAGATCTTCAGATTTCGAAACTCTTTAAATATTTACCGTAGCATTACTCTTTGATGAAATCCGAATGCCAGATCAAAACATACAATTCGTTATCCTGGAAATTACTTTCTCGCTCGCTTTCGTGTGAATTCATGTTTTTTCTTCCCTTTGAATTTGCGGACTTTTTCAGAAATTCTCATTTGGTTTCAGATGAGGATTTAAGACCAGAAACTCACTTCCCTTGAAAAAGTACACAGTGAAAAAAGATTCCAAATCACAAAAGAGGCAGGACTTTATCCGGACAGAAAAGCCTTTGATTGGGGGGGCATGTCACTTTTAACCATGTGCGGTTGTGCACCCAAAGAAAAAGACCCCTCCTTTTTAGGACAAAACCAAAACCTGAACCCACCCTCAAATTTCAAACTCCTCCTCCTTTTCTTCTGTTTTACATTGGGATGGGATGGTGACATAACAAAGGCTGTGTCCTCATCATGAACATAAAAAACCAAATAAGTCTTAAACCCTAATTTTAGAAATCACAAATAGTACTCAGCATTGAAGAGTGAAAAGTCAAGATCTAGCTGTCTCTGTGTTGTAAACCACATTGTGCCCTCCTGTCATTCCTCCCTTGTTCATTTACTGTTGAGGATACCGGCATGTCCCGTAAGCTGATCGGAAATCGGAAATCACAAATCACATAATCAGTTAATAACAAGGAGGGAGATTCGAACTTAGATGCAAGGGAACGGTCACATTTGGCGTTAGTTAAAATTGTGATATGAAAATGGTAAATACTTACTTGGATCACTGAAAGTAACCAAGCCAGTGCCCTTGAAGTCACAATTCCAGTAGTTCCTGCCATGCATCTGATAGTAAGCATTCATAGCATACGATGCATGAGCAAGCAGCTTATCAGGCTCGAAACAATCACCGTGCTCGTAAATCTCCCTGCAGTCCACACCACCTGCTCCGCAGCAAAAATCCAACACAGCTTGAAGCACCTTATCATCGGCGTGTGGCTTAGCCACGCACCAAACTGACGGTCCCCTCAACACTCCCGCTACTTTCTCACCAAATCCAGAGCCTCCACCGGATCCACTTCCGTCGGTGTTGCTGCAGAATTGGCAGCTCAAATCCACATTGTACACCTTCGATCCGTCCCCATTGAAAATCCCAAAATTTCTCTCCGTCACACCCCCGTCTTTTTTGTTCTCGTTGAACAAAGCAAACACAAATATTTCAACCTTGTCATTAGGCTTCATAGGCGTCCCTTTGTTGGACTGGGCACGCTCAATCAACCTCGTGTTGTAAGTCTTGGCATTATCTGGCGTAGCCGCCATATCTCCGGAGTCACCTTTGGACGGCCACCCGGATTCCGACACCATGATCTCCACCTTCCGGTGGCCAAGTCCCAGTGCATCAATGGCAGATCGAACAGCATCAATTTGTGCATCCAGCATGTTGGTGTATACATAGCCCTTGGGGTCACGCACGCTGGTCGAGGTTGAGTTACCCAGTAATGCGTACTGTAGATTGACCATGTCGGGGTTGTCCCGGTAGGCGAAATAAGGGTAGGCATTGACCATGAAAGGGGCGTTAGTGTCAGCCAAGAAGGCGGCTATAGAGGTCATAGTTGGCACGAGATTTGTAGTGAAAGTGGAGGCTGAAGGAGGAAATGAGGATGCCAAAACCGCCATGCTGTGCGGCGTGGTGACCTTGATCTTGCGGTCCAGCCCTCGGGCTATAAGCACCGAGTGCAAGTTCTGCATTGCTTGGACCAGAGCTGCTGGGTCCGATGGGTTTGGGTCCTTCTCATCGTTTCTTGCGGCAGCCCCAGTTGTTAAGTACTCGTTTCCTACGGCAATGGCAGTGATGGAAGTGGCGGGAATGAATGGCAGGACGCGAGTGGCGAACCACTCGTCCGCGGCGGCCACTTCCGTGCTGATGTTGGGGACATGGCTGTTCTCCACAGCGACAATGAGGTCGATCCCGGTGTTGGAAAAGGCCTGGAGGATTTCGGGGTTGGTGTCGTAGATTTTGACCTTGTCTATGAGAGTGGCTTGGAGGAGCTGAGCTACTCTCTTTGGCGGTGGCAGGTTGTTTCCGAGAGTGCCGTAGTTTATGCCTACAGCTGAAACAACGGCGTTGGGGAATGGGCTGAAAATCAAAGGGTGGAGGAGGAGGAGGAGGAAGAGCGAGAGAGAGGTGGCCATGGCGGTTCAAGTTCAAGCAAGTATTGTGTTTAGGCGCTGCGGCATGAATTGTGGTGCATTGATTCATATAATATGCATCGGATCCCAATTTTGCACTTTTTACTTTGCAGTGGAAATTGTCTCACACTGTTATTTTTACAAAATTACAAGATTAGCCCTGCTATTTCAATTTTATATTACATAGGAAATGGATAGCTTGGACATTTCAGCTCGGAATATCTTCTGGACATGTCACGTGGTAGGAAGTCAGGAAGACAAATCTTTGTTGCAGGCTCCCTTCCTAAATGCGTGAGCTTGACTGATTCCAGGATTATGATATTTTTACCAATTTAATTAAGAGAGGTTTAACAAAAAGCCCACAGTTTACTTTAACGAAAAATCATATTTTTATACTAAAAAGTCAATCCTAGTACTATTCACTTTACCCTTTATTTTGTCATTATCATTAAAACTCAAAGTTTTCAAACTTTTTTCATTAGTTTTCCTTTTAATTAAGTGTTTATTTTTCCCTTTTAACTCTGAATGAGCAGCCACAGTAGCATTTCCGTTGCAACAAAGTTCTTCTCCTTCTCGTGGAGTAGACATCGATTCATGCTTCAATTTCTGTTTTTCGTTTTTTTCGGTTTTATTTTTGTTTCAATTAAGCCATTCCAAATAGACTTAAAGTAGCAGATAGAAAATCGGGAGGGTGAGACAAAAAGGCCTAGAAGTAGGAGAAGGATTTGCATAAAATATATTTATCGCCACAGCAAAATTCTGATCTAATAATACAATATCATATGTAAATTTCTTCTCACATAACATTACATTTCTGGTCCAATAATACAATATCATATGTAAATTTCTCCTCACATAACACTACATTATCGGATAAGGAGTCACAACACCACAGTGGGAGTAAATCCCTTCCATAACTTTTGCTTAATGCTTTCAAATTATAGCTCTCTAGCAACGAAATGCTATAACTAGTAATAATTAATAATCACGTTCATTCATCGTGGCACTGTTAGTGTTTATACATATGATGCAATTTCCAGCTACAATTTTTAAGTTAATTCATGGAAACAGGTCAACAATGTGGAAGGTTGAAGACAGCTTTTCTAGAGAGCAGTTACATCTGATTGCCTTTTATATACTTACAGAAGAACTCTTCCTCTTTGCAGTACCTGTATAACACTATATACACCTCGATTAACAGTTTGGGAAATCGACTTGAAAAATATCCGTCAAACCCCTCAGGAACTGGACCCAATATCTCCTTAACTTCCTCAGGGAGTTCCCTGTAGTGATTTAACTTGTTCCGTATCACTCGTAGTAAATCACGAACGCTATCAAACTTGTAACGCCTGTATCGTCCAATGTTATTTATAAATGCAGATTCCATCTTTTCATCCCACTTCCCATTTAAAGCCACCGCTGCAGTACTTTCTAATGAATTTAGTAGTTCAGACTCATTCTCCCTATCTTCCAATTCAACCCGATCACTAGCATCTCGAAGGAATGAAAGTCTTGTCTCCGAACTCCAGAAGAAAGGATGATGCAACACATCCATGGATGTTGGCCTGGAGATCATTAATTCAGTGAGAATGAACGATTTAGAGCCAAAAGGGTGTCCACATGGATGTAATGTGTCTAGACTCTAGGGGTGTGTGCGTAAGAAGAGGGGGTACTCTACATAAAATTTAGTTTTAAGTTGATGGATAGTGAATAAAGAATCTTACCGAAGATCAGGGTTGGGATTCAAGAGACGAGTAAAAAGGTCTACAGCTTCTGGTATAGTGTCTACTAAGAACAAGTCTTTGCGGTCATTCACTATATTTACATCACGCTCGATGCTATCACCATAAGGGTGTTTGCCCCCAGTGACGCAGAAAAAGAGTAGACAGCCTAAACTAAACAAATCCACTGCACGCGTTTGGCGCAGATGGAGAAGTTGTTCAGGTGCTTGCCAGCCTGAACTACCATAACCTGCAGCCAACAAACAAGTAAAGAAATAGAAGGAAATTTTAGTATCAATTAGAACACAAACAATGAGTCGAGGTTCATCAGTAAGAAAGTCTACCCAAATACTAACAGAAGTGATAATGTTGAACCAAAAGGCCATGGAAAATAAACATCAATAAAAGGTTAACTAATGGATAATTCCGGGTTGTTTTCAAATTCAAACTCACCACATTTCATCATTAGAACTCATTCATACGGGCCTAATAACCATATCTAGCACATGTTTGCCTCGAACTCAATGAACATGACCATTCAAATAGTTCCTACACTTACCAGTAGCATGCTGGGTTATGGAAGACTTGTCCCCTTGTAGGCGCTTGCTGATACCCATATCTGAAAGCTTGGCACATAAAGACCTGCCCTTTATTATCAAAACATTTTGAGGCTTTAAGTCCCGATGTATAATTCCAAGTTCATGTAAATGGGCAAGCCCAGAAACCAGATCACTGCAGAAAAAATGATTATGTCAAAATCTTGAGTACTTTATTCAGCTCTTTTCAAGACTTTTCTTTTTTCAGAATAAATCTTCACAAGATTCAAGGAACACATCAATATTAATGGGATCAAATTTCTTCATGAGCTATTACTGAAAATCAAATCTAAGATGTGCTTTCACTAAATAGGAGCAAGTACAAACTTCAATCCCTCACTTAAAACAACAATTTCAAAGGGAAATAAATTGGGAAAACAAAAATGCTGCTCTTACCACATTTTTCATACCACATTTGTACCACCTATCTGATAGAGATGGGACCCACATGTGTTGGTGGGCCCTACCTCTATTAGAGAGGTGTTACAAACGTGGTAAGTGTAGCATTACTCTTGGGAAAATAAGTTTCGATACGACAAAATTACACTAAGTCCCCTTATGTAAGTTGCCAACATTTTAAGGGATGAAGCATTAGCTGGAACAGTTTGATAAAATGAAAGATGAAGGCTATTGCAAGACATTAAACTAACCTCATTAATTTTAACAACTGGGGTGAAGGGTATCCATTTGCCTTCCACAATTCAATGTCCTTGTTATTTCCCATCATGGAATGCAATCGAGTGTTATACTCAGTCCAAAAGCGGGGTTCCTGATCCGTGGTGATTTGGCTTTGAATGGACCCAGAGTGAAAATAAATAAGATCATATAAGCTACATGTACAACGCTCCAAGGATAGATAAACAAAATCTTGATCATACTCCACTCCATGCCAACGTACAATATTTGGATGCTGATCAGAAGCAATAAGATTCTGAACCTCTTTGGAAGCCACATCATGATGAGTCCTCACAAGACGCTTAACAGCTACTGGACGACCATCATAGATTCCCTCAAGTACAATGGTACCATTACTTCCCTGAGCAATTTCATTGTTGGAAACACACAACTTGCCAATCCTGCGTCCCTCTATTTGACCATCAAGATGATCAGCTGAGGTCAAGAGAAACTTCATTTCACTTCTTTCATTTTGTATGAAAAATTTAGATTCTCCAACCTTATCTTCATGTGACGTATTGCTCATGTTCTTAACATCAATGGAATTTCTCTTATTGTTTCCCAGTCTACGGGTTCTCTTCTTCTTTGGAACCCCAGCTTGCATCTTAGTTTCCTCAGCCACCTGTTTGAGTTTATGTTGTTTTCGAAATGCTCTTGGATAGCGAAAGATACAGACCACAATGGACAATAGTGTGAGACAGAGAGACAGTAATTTTGTTACAGCTTGAGCCATTATGCCTTCATTGCCGCCAGATGGATGATTCTCGTCAATAATCGCAGGAACATGAGATGGATGATTCTCATCAATAATCACAGGAACATGAGATGGATGATTCTCTTCAATAATCGCAGGAACATTGACATTAGGGGAACGATCATAGGCAGAACTGTCTCCAGAATGGCTATCATTTATCCCAGCATATTTTGAAAGATACTCTGTCAATATGGGATCAAGAGTACGGGAGATATAAGTTTTGTTCTGACTAGGCAAAATTGAGTCGGAAACCCTGCTGTGTCTTAAAGCAAGCTCATTTCCAGCATTAGATATTTGAGGGCGAGATTCAAATGTAGCAAATGTCACGGTCCAAACAACCTTACCAGAAGAATAATGTGTGATTTCATAATCTGTTCTCACGATGTAAAGCATATGTTCAACGGTTTCCAAGCCTATGGAACCGGACTCTACCAACCCGTGAGCATCTTTCACTTTCGGAGACAGATCACTTTCAGTACTCCAAACCACTAACTTGGACGGAGTGTCAGCGGATTTATACATGTGAATTAGTTTTCCGGTTTTGGCATCAACAAGGAACACAGTGTTCCTCCTTGATCCCGTTGTGACTCCTCCCTTTGACCAATACGGAGCACCTCCTATGAATTCTTCTACACTCGATGACAATTTCTGTCATATAATGAACCATAATCAGATATAAAACAATGCAACCACAACAAAGATATTACTACAACAGAGATCCAAGCTGTGGAAAACCATCCAATTTACTGACGCTTGAATGCTGCCCACATAATCTTGGCAAAGATTGAGATCACGACTATACAAATGATTACCATAAATCATCAACGTAAAAACTAAATATCCATTACATTACATTACAAGCAAAAAAGACATATTCGAATATAATAGAAGTAAAAAATGAAACGAAAAAACGGAACACGGATTATCAAAGGTGATACTGTGAGCCGGCATACCTCTTTTCCGCTGCGGGTATGGCTATAGAGCGCCCCGTCTTCGCCCAAATCAATGAAGTGATCATCACTCCTAGTATTGTTTAAAAAACTGGCATCCTGATACGAAGTATGAATTGGGGCCCCAGAAGAGAAGCCCCACAGGATACTCCATGGGTTAGTGTTGACCATATATATGGTCCCATCCAATGCAACAACCAGCGTTATATCATTTCCACTGCATCAAATTTCAGAATTCAAAAGTTTAGGAATTTCCTTGAAATTCGACAAATTAAGCCGAAAAAATTGAGACTTTGAGAGCAGTATGTGCTTACAGCTTCGGCAGGAGAGAATTGAAGCGGTTGGAAGGCGAGGAATGTGGAATGGAGAGGGCAGTCGCGGTCTCTGGTTCTGGGACTGTGATGGCTGCTTGTCTGGTCAAACATTCAATTAGCGGAGCAAATAGGAGAAGGAAGATGAGAGGTCGTCTCATTTCTTAGATCCAAACGAATCGAGTAAATCAGAGATCTTTCAATTGGAGATTTAGGGTTTTGTGGTGACCTGGGAAACCAATTGGGAAATGGAAATTGGTGACGACAGACAGCTAAGAGGCCAATTTCAGTACGCGTATTTTGACATTTACGATTTTGATGTTTGGGTTGGATTTATTTTGTGTTTTTTTCCAACTAGGAATTTGATTAAAATAAGTGAAATTTTATTTAAATTCATATAACTTCTATCTACATTTAATTTAAATTTTAAATGTTAATTGTCTATTTCATCTTATTGCATAATTACTAAGGGTGTAAATTTTTACCAAATTACCATACCAACCGCCCTACCAACCATACTATATCAAATTATTACCAAATGGTAATGGTACGGTATTTGTACCGTACCATATTGTTTCGGTACGATACTTGTGACAGCCCGTCCCGAATTATTTGTACCGTAGGTGTGAAATGACGATTTTGCCCCTAGTGGTTATTTCTTAATTGTGTGGTTGTTTTGAGTGCTTGGTTGGTTGTATCTGAGCCACACATCCATTCTCATCTCCATCACCTTCTCCCGTATACTTTCCCTGTCCCGAAGACTCTCTCTTTCCCTCTTCTTCCTCTTTCGGACGGACAAGTACCAAAACCTTTGAAAACGTTGCGGATCGAGGTAGAAAATTATACCTTTGTGTTCGTGAGGACCATACGAGTTCAACCATACCAATTTCAGGTAAGGAATCCTTCGATTTCACGTCGAACCATGAATCTCCGTTTTGGTCACTGTTCATGCACACATGAAATGTTGTGTTTCAAGGAATTTGAAGCCTGTATGAAGCTTAGTGAGGTCCTTAGGAAGCTCGGGGTGGTTCGTTGGAAGGATTTGGACATCGGGATCGTGAGTTGCAGGTTTGGCCGGATTTTGTGAAATTTCTTCGGCGAGATTCCGTGAATTTCAGGGCTTGAAAGTGGCAAGGTTTTGTTCTACTTATTATAAGCTTCATTTTGGTACCAATTTCATGGAATTTGGTTGCAAAAACGAGTGAGAAACGAAGGTTTGAAAATTTTCATGTTTTTCAGCGACAGCGACGGCACAGGAGGTGTGCCGGAGAAGAAGACGAAATATTCCGTCAGTTTGGACGGAATATTCTTAACGGCGTCAGGTTAACTTTAATGGAATCTGTTAGTTTTAATGGAATATTCTGTTAGTTTTAATGGAATATTCCTGACGGCGTTAACTGACGCCGTCAGTGTGCCTAGCATGTGGCCGCGCGTGGCTAGCGCGTCTAGTCGTGCCTTGGCCGGCGCGTGAGATGTCAGAAAATTATTTTAAAAATATGGGGATGTTCGTGAGGTTGAGTAGATCACGTTGGTGTATTCGCATACCCTATTTGAGCATTGTATGAGAATTTATTACCTAATTTTGGTTATGTGCTTTAAATTGACGTTTTTATAGTTGTTTCGCATATAGGTGAGACCTATCTCAAGGACAAGTGCAGTCACTCGAGGCAAGGGGTTACGACCCTTCCACATACCAGTGAGTGGGCTTTTGGTTTTCCGTATATACCTATATACTTGTGGTTTTTTCCAGAAAATGAAATAGAATATTTATATGTTTTAAAATGCCATGCTTAGTGTGTGCCTATTTATTTATGCATAAGTAGTTGCATATATGTATGTTTGGTGTTGCAGACGTATAGGTAAGTGCTAGGTAAGTTATAGTTTATAGTTGTGACGTAGTAATTATGTGATATGCATAGAGAGCTTTTAACATGCACCCCCAGTGTTAGTGCTCCTGCCCAGAGTAGGGCACAGTCCTTCACGTGATGTTCACCTCCCGCACTACACACTCATCTTGGATTCAAGTTAGGTGCACAGTCCTGTCGTACAGACCACTATAAGTGGTTCCGACTCGTAGGTGACCCGCGATTATTCGCCCAGTCTTCACGTGATCGTAGCACTTGAGCGTATTTATTTACACCCAATCCTATCGTACAGACCACTTTAGGTGGTTCAGACTCGTGTGCAGGTAGTTAGTGAGTTGGGGATTTGAGCTCTAGATTCAGCCGTACAGGTCACATTAGGTGACTTCGGCTAACATGTTATGTGCATTGTTTGACATTACGTGAGTTACTTACAGTTTATGTAGAGGCATTCGACATGGCATATTTCTGAGCCTGTTTTCGATATATGTGTATATTCTATTTTCTGGGAAACTATACAGGTTTTACGGCGAGGGGTTAGAACTTTTGTTAATAAAATAATTTTGAAAAACTTTGTTTTTGCCTACTTACACTTTCTGTTTTGCGTCCCTCCAGGTTCTAGTTTGGGTTGCTCTTTTGGTGGCTTACGAGGAATCCACAGCATATCTGCAGATTATCACTAGTGTAGGACCACCTCTGGGTTTGATTAGTTAGTATTTTTCTTCTGGACTGCACTTAGACTTTCTGTGCTCTGAATATTGTTTTTCAAACTTACACTTGCACTTGCATGTTAACTACATTGTTTAGTAGTTTGGTTTTATTTATTCATACTTTTATTATTATATTTTGCTTCCGCACTGTGCACATGACTACGTCACCCTCACGTGACGGTCAGCACGCCTTGATTTCCGTCGGGGTGTGTCAGTACTGGTATCCAAAACCAGTACCGGTGGTATACTGTACCTACCAATATTATTAAAATTATATTACGTATTTATTCATATAATTATTTGAGGGCAAAATTAATAAAATTAATAATAATTATTGTAGAAGTGTAAAAAATGTAAATATATATATATATATATATATGTATGTATGTATGTATATACAATCACTCATAGTGACAATCTTTACAACTTTCATGAAGAGGTCAAACTTCAAAATCCAACACTTTAATCCATAAACCTTAAATTTATATTTAATCGTCAATTGTCATTTACGCTTTATTCTTCTTACTGAATTTTATTTTTTAAATTTTATTTTTTGAAAACATGATCATCCGGCTGATGTAAGAAGATGAACGGTTTAGATATTTGATATCACGTTTCGATAGTTACGGTTAACTGAAATATGAGTTGATGTCATATAGTTTGTAGAAACTTTATAAACATCAAGCAATATTTTCACTAACCATAAAACTCTGAACATAATATCAACAATCCAAACTGTTCATCTTCTTGCATCTTCTAATAGATCATGTTTTCAAAAAACAAAATCCGAAAAAAACAAATTTTGATGAGAAAAATGAAGAGTAAATGTAAACAACAATCAACGGTTAAATTTTGATCTATGATTTATATGATTATAATGGCGAATTTCAAAGTTAAGCTTCTCACGAAAGTTGTAAAGCTTGTTATTACGAACGTTTATATATTTTTTCTACATTTTTTACACTTCTACATTAATTAAAAAAATATTAGATTTTGGGCAAACTAAGTGGTGTAAAACAAAGTGGCAATTACCATTGGCATACTATACCAACCAAACCATTTGGTATACCGATATTTGGTATAGCGAAAGTTTGGTACGGTAATAGTAATAGATTTTGCCGTACCAAATATTTGGTATGGTAATTGGTACAGAGATTTTGGTACGGTAATGTACCAAAACCACCCCTAATAATTACTATTAAGCACAAAATGAAATTAATAATAAAACTCAAATTTCTCAATAAATCCAGACACTATAATTAAACCATAGCATCACTCTTTGTTTATCACATGTTCATTCTGGTTAAAACCCTAATAGTTTTGATAGAGAAGAACAAGTTTTTCTATTGATAGATAGTAATTTTGAAGTTTTAAATCCTCCAAGTGTGACTCGATTTATGAATGTTTTGTTTCTTCTTTAGATTAAATTTTGTACTTATTATATTTTATTGTATTTGTTTTTCTTTGCCTTCTATCTGCGCCCCAAAACACTATTGCAAGGACTTTTGATTAGTAGTGCAAAGACATATAACTTGATTCTTGGTGTAAATAAAGATTGCACAACCTCATAAACCTTGACCACTAACTAGCGGGTGACATGTCTCCATCCAAATCCAAAGCATCAAAGTCAAATGTTTTTGGCAAAGTGATGGACTAAACTGGAGCTTGCATTGCATTCTTTGGCAATTTCAAATCTATGGAAGGATCTCTTGGATCCTAAGTCTATGGATGAGTTTGGTAGCAGAAAAAAAAACAAAAAAAAAAAAGCCATGGAAATACTAGTCATATGCAATTATACAGGGGCAAAGGACGCCTCTTTGAATAAAAGAAAAAACATTCAATTAGAGATGTTATTTTATAAAGGGAATGGGTATAAAAATAACTTTACATTTTGAATTGGGTTTGAGAGGGTAGTTTAGGTAATAAATTTGGGTTTAAAGAGATATTAATTCTTTACTAAAAAAAAAAAAACAATATGGGTGAAAATAGTAAGTTGGGTGTAGAAATAAGTTAAATGGGTTCAAATAAAATTTCTCTTAAAATAAATAAGTAATTTTGTTTTATTTTTTATGGAACAGATTTGTGACACTATTTTTTTTACACAAATTTTACTTGATTTTGTGGAGCACATTTCGTAATGTATTTTTTAATGACTCAAACCGTCTGTCTTTTGAGTCCTCTCTAAAAGATCATGTCAAAAAAAAAAAACACCTAAATCTGAAACTAAATGACTATTAGATTAAGTGTTTTGTTTTCTTTGTAGAACCATATTCCTTTATTTTTTTTATTTCACTACAAATGAATGTGTTAATGGTTTTGAATTTGTTTAATTTTTTGCAAACATAATCTATAAATGATGTTCTAAAAGATAAACTGCTCAAATCCTTAAAATACAATAAGAAGTGGGCGTTACAAAAAATATGTGTAAAAAGTTAAGTAAAAAATAGTTTCATAGATCCGCTTATATATATCTTTATATATAAAGCCAAGGGTCCAATGAACAATGTTTTTTTGGTGTCACAAGCTTTACAAAAAAAAAAAAAAAAAAATTAGCCAAAAATGCCCCTTAAACAAAAAACTTCAAAAGCAATCCAAAATAATGCTTCAAATGTGGCAGGGCTAATTGACACACCCCGAATCTAAATGTGGAGCGTGCTGGCCGTCACGTGAGGGTGACGTAGCCAAATGCACAGTGCGGAAGCAAGAGAGTGAAAATAAAGAGAGAAAAAAAAAAAAGTCGCCAATATAATTAACAATAAAAGATCAGTGAGTGCTAGTGACAAACATAGAAGGAAAAATGCAAAGTAAGAGTTCAAGTATCCTATGTGCAGTCCAGAACAAACAAACACTATACAAGTGACTACTAGAAAATCCTACATGAAGGGTGCTCTGTCAGAACTGACTCGATGCCTCTTCCGTCACCCACATCTTTGCTACCTAAAACCTAGAGGGGCGCAAAACAGAAAACGTGAGTGGGCAAAAACAAAGTTGTTTTTCAAACCATTTCAATGTCAAATACTAACTCCTCTCTGTAAAACCCGTGTACTTTCCAGAAAATATTATACATACTCGTATATCAAATCATGCTAAAAACGATAAAACTCATATATGCCATGCCAGATATATGCCGTGCCAAAATATCCGATCGACAATATAAGCATCAAGCAGGTAAGATAACACAAATCATAATATGTTGATAATATTAACACGTCAGCCGGAGTCACCTAAAGTGACATGTACGGCTGAATTTATAGCTCCTTAACCACTATCCTGCACACGAGTCAGAACCACCTAAAGTGGTCTGTACGACAGGCTAGCGCCTGCCTTGGATCCAAGGTGAGCGTACGGTGGTGGAGGTGAACGATCACGTGAAGGCTAGGCCCTACTCTGGTGGAGCACAATCACCGAGGTGCAGGAATATAAGCTATAACTCAATCTCATCAACACCACATCTATCACTAACAAACATACTCACCTGACTTACCTGAGCGTCCGCGGCACCAAAGCATACATATATGCAACTACTAATGCATAACTAAATATGCAAACACTATGCATGGCATTTTAAAAACATATAAACGTTTAATTGCATTTTCTGGAAAATTCTCAAGTATATAGGTATATACGGAAAACCAAAAGCCCACTCACTGATACGTAGAAGGATCGTAAGCCCCGAGCCTCGCGTGGCTGCAGTCGTCCTCCAGATAGTCCTCACCTATATGCGAAACAACTATAAAAACGTCAATTTAACGCATATAACCAACCTTAGATAATAACTTCTCATACATTACTCAATTGGGGTGTTTGAATATACCAACGTGATCTACTCAATCCCACGAACATCCCCATATTTTTAAAATAATTTTCTGACCTCCCACGCGCCGGCACGCGTGTGGAACCCTAACGGCGTTAAGGAATATTCCGTTAAAACCCTAACAGATGTTAACGGGCATTACCTGACGCCGTTAGAATATTCCATTAACCCTGACGAAATATTCTCCTCCTTCTCCGGTGAGCCTCGCTGGTCGCCGCCGTCTGTAACTCGATTTCTTACCGGAAAACTGGAAAATTTTCAAACTTTAATATCTTCTTCATTTCTCAACCAAATTATACGAAATTGGTACCAAAATAAAGCTTACAACGAGTAGAAAAAAAACCTTACCACTTTGGAGATCCAAAACTAATAAAATCTCACCGGAAAAACTCACAATATTCCCGCCAAACCTGCAACTTCCTGAAACTGGGCTTCTCGACGTCTAAAACACTTCAAAATTTTTTTTCGAGCTTCGTGAGAAGGTTCCAAAGCTTCCTAGAACCTTAAAAACTTCTAAAAACCTCACAATCACGTGTGCATGAACAATGCACCAAAACTGGGTTCACGGGTTCTAGGGTTTTCGAAGGTCTCACGTCAATTTAAGGGTATGGATGAGCTTCTGAGCTCACAAGGAACACAAAGGTAACCTCCTCGATGTCGATCCGTGACAGTAGAAGATAGTTTGGGGTTCGTCCGTACCTTTGCAAAAGAAATGGAAGAAACTGGAAGAAAATTCGAGAGAGAAAAGGTCCACGGGTGTGTGTGATCCAGATGACAGCCACAAACAAAAACAATTCAAACAACACCCTACAATGCTAAATAACGTCCAGGGGCAAAATCGTTATTTCACACTAATGGTACAAAAATTGGGACGGGCTATCACAATATTTTCATCATTTAAACAATATTTTTTTAATAATTAATTTCTTTTGTATAGTTTTATTTAAGGAAAACTAATGAAAAAGGGCTTGAAAACTTTGAGTTTTAACGATAAGGACAAAATAAAGGGTAAAGTGAATAGTACCAGGTTTGACTTTTTAATGTAAAAATATGGTTTTTTGTTAAAGTGAATAGTACCGCGGGCTTTTAGTTAAAACTCCCTTTTATTTATTTATTAATAATTAGTACCTCACTATAGGCTAGCAATAATGTGATTCAATCAATTTTTCATTAAATATTATTTTCTCTATTTTTAAATATGTTCAAAACATCTTAAGAGGAGTGTAATGCCGATTATAAAAAAGTCTTTCGCACACGGATAATAATGTGATTAAATTAGTTGTCTAATAATTGTTTTTTCTTTTTTGAACAAACAATATTATCTACACTAAGGAGAAGGGGGTGGACTTAGTCTCACAATAAGCTAGCAACAATATGATTCAATCAGTTGTTTATTAAATATTATTTTCTCTATTCTTAATATAAATTCAATAGAGACCGATTTTATTATGTGGATTTAGCTGCTTTAATTGGTTTATGAGGGATTTCTTCTAGCATGATCTAAGATTATTCATTTACTTCAAATATTTAACTTTTCTTTTGTCAATTTACCTATATAAATACATTTAAAATATGTAAATCTCTTATAGCATGTCATGATTCGAAAAATGTTTTCTACACACACTCATACGTGTACATGAATTCTAATACACACACACATACACTAATTACTAACTTTTATGTTTAATAGTTGCAACTTGAATTCTTTAACATTGATTTGATTTATGACCCTAACTTTTATCTTTCTGCATGATTTGACTTTCTAAATGTGTGTGAATAATGAAATTAAGCAAAAATCGGTTGGGCTAAAAATCAGATTTGGGCCCCCAAAAACGCATAATATCGAATTGATAAAATCCAACTATCGTACCACGCCAACTAAATTTTGTGACATACTGAAATTTAGCATACCAAAAACTTAGAATAGCAGTGGTACTAGATTTTGTCACATCAAGGGGTTGGTATTGTAATTGAAACCGAAGTTAGGTTACAGTAATTGTACTGTACCCACCCTTTTTCTATAAAAAATGACATCAATTTTACCAAAAAAATTAATTTAAGAACTGAATTTTTAACTAAATTGTTAAAACTACTTAAGAATAAATAACTTATATTGAATGGTTTCACTTTTAATTGTACCGAGTCTTATGGTGTAAATTCCTACACTTACCTACTTGCGCAAGTAGTAAAGTTATAGATTGTTGTATATGTCAATTAGTAATAGATTATTAACCTGATTTTGAAGTTTGGACATAATTATTTATATAGATTATTAACCAGACTCTAAAATTTAAACATAACTATTTTATAAACACGTGAATGAGTAATGCCATTAAAATTATATCTTAATTGCAATCTAAAAAAAATAAAAAATTGATTCAATTCCATCGTAAGTTATTAAAAAAATAAAAAATAAAAATAAAAAACACGAAAATAATACACTTAAATCTTTTGGATCTCTTTTGATTAAAAAAATTCGAAAAATTGAATTTGATAATCCGAGAATCTCATCTGCTTTTTCTTTCTTCCTCGCTTTACCTTCTTCACCATCATTCAATCCCATTGAATAGCGCTCAGATCGCTCACTGCAACAGTGCTGCGCTCAATTGCCCGTTTGCTTTTCAAATCTTTTCCTTTCCCTTTCTTTTCTCCATTTCTTTTTTAGCTTTTCAATTTATTCCATATCAGTCGATTCCAAATTCGAAATCACTCCTCCCTTCTCTCGTTTCTCGGCAGCCAAACCCATTCGTATCTGCAAATTTCGATCTCATTAGGGTGTTGATTCCCGGTATGTTGCAAAATTCCAGCTCCTATTTTATTTATGTAATTATCAGCAACCAAATGAGCTATATATATATGTGTATATTTGTTCATTCAATTGGATTTAAATGCTATCGGGTAATCTGGTGAATTGGAATTATTGATTCGATGTATTGTTGCCTGTATTTTCTTTGCCTTTCTGTTTTAGTATTATACTGGAGTCCTTCTATGGTGATTTTGACTAAATATGGTATTCTACCCATTGTTTATTTCGATTTTGTAATTCTTTGCTCTATGTTTGGTTGCCCAGAAAATTGAGGGAGAACTTTGCTCTGTGTTTGGTTGCCCAGAAAACTGAGGGAAAACTTTGCTCTGTGTTTTCTCACTTTATGCAAGTGTAAGTATCTGTCTTTTATCGGTTAATGAGATGGAAATGACTTTAGGAGGATTCTTGTTGCAAAGATTTGCGAGGTTGTAAAATTTGAGAAATCAAATTTCTTTTCTTGTGATTAGAAAAGGAAATGCTGAAAATTAATCTCTTATTTTTCAAGGGCATAGTTTTAAATAACCTAACCAAATCTTAAGTATGCTGCTGCACATGATTTCACCGCTCGTGTTCTATATGAGTTTCTGGGAGTGCCAAACTTATATGGATATGCATGCTTATGTTCACTCTTATGCACTCTTGATTTGTATCTTATACTTGTGGTTTTGCTTCTTCTTTTAGGGTTCATGACTCTTGCAAGAGAGTGCTTTTGCTTGCTAATGACTATAGAACAGAATGTACTCTGGGAGACCGTCTGGTGAAGAATCTCTTCATCAAGATTTTGAAGCTTTGAGTGTATCGAAGTGTCTGATGAGAAATGTTAGCCAGAAGTTGAGGAAGAAGAATCAGAGGTCTGTAGGAGATGAGGACGATGGTGTGAGGGGAATAGCTTTGAGATGTCTTACTCTGTATGGAAGGGGTGGAGGTTGCAAAGTAGGTGCTGACACATGTGATGATTTTGGAGATACGAGTAACAGGAGGAGGTCAAGTGCCAGCGATGAAGGCAAGGGATACAGACCAATATGTGGTACCGAGGAATCTGGAGTGGATTGCTTCTCGTATGGGGTGAGGGAGAAATTTTGGAAGAAACATAACAGAAAGGATTTTGAGCTTGAAGAATCAATTAGAAATAGCAGGATGCACATTTTTCTTCCAGACGACATACTGGAAATGTGCTTGGTGAGGCTCCCACTAACCAGTCTCATGACTGCACGCCTCGTGTGCAAGAAATGGAAACACTTGACTACTACTACTCGGTTCCTGCAGATGAGACAGGAAGGCTCACATCAGACCCCATGGTTGTTTCATTTTGGTGCTGTTAAAGATGGTTATTGCTCTGGTGAGATACATGCATTGGATGTGTCTCTAAATCAATGGCATAGTATAGATGCTGAAATCCTAAAGGGAAGGTTCATGTTTTCTGTTGCTAGTGTCCAGGATGATATTTATGTTGTTGGGGGTTGTTCGAGCTTGAACAACTTTGGGAGGGTGGATAGGAGCTCATTTAAGACACACAAAGGGGTGATGCTGTTTAGTCCCTTAACAAAATCTTGGCGCAAAGTTGCTCCAATGAAGCATGCAAGATCAATGCCTATTTTAGGAGTCTCAGAGGTCACTTCAGATTTTTCCACCAGTCAAAGTTATCAAAGTCGCCAAGATAGACGTATTCCCAGATCACGGGTAGGTGGAGTGTCAGAGGTCTATGAAGATCCTCACAGGCTTTCTCTTAGGCGTCAACACAGACATTCTGCTGATGACAATGAGTCTTTGGTGTTGCCCAATAGAAAGTCGTATAAATTTATGAAACAAAAAAGTGATCACTCATCCATGAAGGGTTGTAGAAGGTTTGTGCTCGTTGCTGTTGGTGGTCTTGGCTCCTGGGATGAACCTTTGGATTCTGGAGAAATATATGATTCTGTTTCAAGGAAATGGACAGAAATTCAGGGGTTCCCTGTGGACTTTGGGATTGCTTGTTCTGGGGTTGTTTGTAATGGGATGTTTTATGTTTATTCTGAAACTGACAAGCTCGCAGGATATGACATAGAAAGGGGTTTCTGGATTGGAATCCAAACCACTCCCTTCCCACCCCGTGTTCATGAATATTACCCAAAACTGGTATCTTGTAATGGCCGGCTCTTCATGCTTTCTGTCTTCTGGTGCGAAGGGGATGGTCAGATAGGCCGGAGAAACAAGGCTGTTAGAAAGGTATGGGAGCTGGATCTCATGCACCTTAACTGGACCGAGGTCTCAGTACATCCTGATGCTCCAATGGACTGGAATGCTGCGTTTGTGTCAGACGGAAACATGATATTTGGTATTGAGATGTTCAAAATATTTGGTCAAGTATTGGATTTTTTTACTGTATGTGATGTGTCTGATACGGGGATGAAATGGAGTCATATCTCAAGGAACCATGTAACTCGCGAGCTGGATGCCTCTTCATGCTTGACCAAGTCAATGGCTGTGCTACATCTGTAAGTTAAAGACTGTAAAGTCCTCTGTACGTTGTAACTCACAGAAACAAAGTATTACACACAACACATGATCATCATTGGTCAATGCTCTCGTTCTCCCTCCCTTCTCAAGAGCATTTTGGGCGTACCTGCTACCGTCAAGTTCAGTGTTGAATCCATTGGGCAAAGCATTTTGTGGTGAAAAGATTTGAATGGAGATTCTTAATAAAAACCCCGACCATTGGAGAAATACGGTATGCTCGCTCATTCACTCGCTCATGTAGTCTCGGATGTAATGTAATTTGTTCACCAACATTCATGAAATTGATTCTGTAATTTAAATCTCACGTCTTTGTTAATTATTCCCACCTCATCATATTCATATGTTGCAACTCTATTGAATTGAATTTGGTCCCTCCTGCTGTTAATGATTTTGAATGGTGGATATCCTATTACTTCTAAATTGATCGACGGTTGGTCAATCTTAAAGAAGCGGTTGTTGAAATGCACTGTTAAGTTTTCCGTTGAGCATTCTGATTCTTTTTCAACATTGTATTCACTCGATCGCGCCATCAAGAAACTGAAAAAAATGATTTGAGCAAACCTCTCTTTGTAACACTTCAACCGAACCAGCAAGATTTCCCGATGGTGAGAACCAAATTCGCCTAGTTATGTATTACGGTTCGTATCATGCCGATAATTGGGCGAATTTGTGAAGATGTGGGTGCAGAGGCTCCGTGGAGGGATTATCAGAAGAACCCAAACAAGCAGACTATGCGGTCCTGGGTTGGCGAGTGTATGCGATGGTGGCGCCTCAAGCAGACAAAGCAAGCAGAGTGAGGAGAGAGGGGATGCGACTTGATTTTGGGTTCTTCGAGATTTGAAACGAGCAGACAAAGAGATTCTGGGTTCTCCCTCTGCGATTTTGGGTTGGCAAGTGTAGGCGATGTTGGCGACGCGAGCAGAGAGGAGAGAGAGAACGCGACGCGAGCAGACGTAGCAAAGATCTTAGCAATCCCATGGTTTTCAGGGGTCTTGCTAAGACCTTCTAGTGAAAGAGTCCATGCGAGTCCCATTTTATCCCATTAAACTTAGTCCGTATACATGACAAACGTAAGATTTCTTGTTCAGTTCAGTCCAGTCCAGTGAGAGTTAACGAGTCCAAACAAACGCACCATTAGTACACTTAAATTTGATGATTAAAATTCCATCCTCAAATGAAAAAATTATAATCTGAGTTTCAAGACCTTTTCAATATAATCGCCTGAAAAGAGAGTTTCTAGGTTCCGATTAATCCATTTTCAAATTTTCCTAAACTTTCTCGGTGACCAAACAGCAGAACGGAGACTCAAAACAACGATCTTTATCAACTTCTACTCCATATATATAGAATAGCCAAGAAAATAAAGAATTTAAAAGAAAGGATCGGAATAGTTACCGTTACGGGGATCGGTAAACGCTTCCGGCTTCGGACATCAGAATCGCGGAGTTGACAAATACTAAGCACACCCACCCATAGACTGTCCTATTTGGCAGCCATGTTCAGGAGAATAACTGCGGCAATCAATCAAGAAAAAAAATCGTAAGAGAAACATGTATGAATGAAGTTACAATGCATGCGTTGTCTTTTGTTTTTCCCGCTTTTTCCCGGGAACCAACCAAACAGGAACGGAAAGTGTACGAGAAACTGACCGAAATGAAGTTCAAATGTAGAGACGGACGACGTCGGAGCTGCGCTGTGGATTAAAAATATAGAAAAGCTAGGGTTTGTAGATTGACCTTTGGAAGGAGGAAGCAGAGAGAGGCTCGTTAGGTCGTCGGTCCATCTTGCATGTTGCACCACTCCCTTTTTCATGAATGGAGGAAGGACTGAATGGCTTGCACATGGGGATTGGGGCCACTCTTTTTATTTAATCTTTCCAAATAAAAAATTATTTCCTTTCAAATTTGTTTATTTTTTCGCACCACCACTTAACAATCAGTTTGATAATTGATTAACGGAGATCTATTATTGCAAGAAATTTTTAAATTGATGTATGACATTGCAATGTTTAAGATGTAAGGTATGAAATTATTATGCGGTCAAAAATTAAGATGATAAAATGTAATTTAAATAAGTAAACTCTAGTTTAGGGTCAAATTTGGAATATTTTGAGTTGCAATGGGTTTCAAAAAACTTGCAAATTCAAATAAGTGTTCAAGAGTCACTTAGTACTTCTTCACTTAGAAGTGAGATATCTTAAATTCGAATCTTATAGATGACGAATTCAATAGCAAATAAGGTTGTCCATCGTGTAGTTTAGCCGAACTCCTCCTCTCCTTAATATAAAAATGCTAAAAAAAGTGTTTTGAGAAGTACGTGTTCCAGAATTGAAATCTGGGTGTAACAGAATTTTCCTTAACAATTTGTACACAAAATGCAGCTGATTAACAGAAACCAAGTAGATGGAGACACCACCATCCTTAAAAACAAATGAAAAATCTGCATACAACAAATATATACCCCCTCCAATTGCAGCTTTGCAAACTATAACAATAAAAACCACCGGGGAAGATGCCTATCCTGCGTTCGGAAAGACACCAGAGAAGTTTGGTAACCTGTCAATGTGCTTCAGGGCACGTTCAGCAGTCTGCCGGGTTCGATAGTCACCATGCTGGAAGGCGTCAACAAGTGCGGTGCTCACGTTCGGATCTCCAGAAACTTCATAGGCTATCTCATCACTCCGCAATAGTCTTTCAACTACCCAGACTGCCCTCCTCCTCAGATTCTCTGTCCGTTTCTCTAACAACACGTCAAGAATAGGCTTCACCCCCTCTGCCTCACACAACACCATAACCCCTTGTTCGATATCAAGCCCATCATCCAACAGAGTAGAGAGTGCTGCAAGTGCTGCTTCGACCACCTTCTCGTTTGTGTGGTCGAGAAGAGCTACCAACTTTTCCACAGCATGTCCCTCCAAGAGACAAAAACTATCTCTAAGTGAACATGTCCCACGATGAAGCCGACACAAACCATTTATGGCAGGTGGGTTACTAAAACAGGAAAAAACTGAAGCACAGAAACCAGGTGTAGGCAACTCAGGCAATCTTGTCAAATTTTTGGATTCTTGTGATAAATTCTCCAATGCTGCTGCTGAACTCATCTGTACATTCTCCAGTCCGTTGGCCTGTAGAAGTTCAATGAAAAGTGCAGCAAGATTAAGTTCACGGCACAGAGAAACTGCACCTTGCTCATCAGCCAACACAAGTGTAACCCTTGCTAAAACTCGTACAAGTCCTTCTAGAAATGGCGTCACAAAGCGGCCACCCTTACTCCCCCCTTGGCGGATCTTAAGTACTCTAGAATGTACCAGCTCAAAGGCACCGTCATCTAGCATCTGCCTGGCAAGGCCTAGATCCCTCTCCGGAAGTTCAGCTAAGATGCCAATGGCTGCTGCTTGCTCTTCAGTGATTGAAATATTCTCTGATATGACTTTTATTAGGCTTCCAAGTTGGCCCACTGTGCCACGTAGGGCGTCAGCTAGCTCCTGGCCCACATGTGGGGAGAGGTTCTGGAGAAGTTTAATGGAAGCCACACGTAATTCCTTTTGTGAAGCCTCAATAAACTGCACCAAACTAATAATGGCACCGGAGCTTTTAATGGCGGCAACAACACTCAAAACAGTTGAAGGAGAGCTAGTGAGTCCAACAAGAACCTGGAGAAGCTTGCTCTCGATTGCTGGTCCAGTGTTGCTAATGAGATGTAGTAGGTTATGGACAATGTCTTCTGAGACTAGCGTTTGCTGATCAGGTCCAACCAAGATGGAATCAAAATCATAGTCTGTGCTAACAACATTAGCAAGAATTGTTGCAGCAACCTCTTTCAGTCGCATAGGAAGCTGGTTAGCCCCAACGATAAAAAGATCTTTGACCAGAGACGGAAGTATTCCTGCCTCTATCAGTACCTTGGCACTTGCCTCACAAGATGAAATTTGGTTGAGAGCTTTCAAAGCTGCTTCTCTTGACTGCATATCACCACTTCTCATGATGTTAATCAAAGCTGAGCCCACACTTTTAGCCACTATCACCTTTACATCATTGTCCAAAACTAACTCACCAAGGAAATTAGACATCGAAAGTTGGGTTTCTGGAGGGCCTGCGATCATATCAGCAAGGAAAATTGAGTTATGCTCAACATTTTTTTTTAAATTTTTGAGAGAGAAAAAAATTATCTTCATTTGAAACAATAAAAGAGAAGTATAGATCAAACTAATACCAACAGTCCACTAAATAGTAAAGCCCCCCATAAACTAAAATAATCAGAGGTGGAGGTAGAGAAAATTAATCTGTACTCGAGTTTAGACCAAGAAGTCATAGGCGGGACAGCTACATTTAATTATTAAAAAAAATAACGAATGGATAGTTGTCTCATAAGTAGGAAAACTCGTCTTGGATCAAACACTAGCAGAATCATGCAAGCTGCGGTGGACTCGAGACGCTAAGCAAGGTGCAGAAACTACAATAGTTCAATTTAGCAGTTAGCACGGTTTTTTGTTTTGTCTTTGAAAAAAAAAAATTACAAAAATGAATGTTTACCATATTTGCAGGACATGTAGTGCGAAATAAATTATCCAAAGAGCATTGGCTGTTTGGTTGTCCTACTTCTAGCAACATGCTAAGTGTAAAGATAAGAGAAAGTACAAGTACCTTCACGAATTTGTGTCAGAAGAGGCTGCAGTCTACCATTTTCAGCCATCTGTCTCACATTGTTCTCACACTTCTCCAGATTCTGTAATGTTTTATTAGCGTTCTCAACAGTCAAAATGTTATCTGATTTGCTGCTTGTCATTCCAACCAAAATAAGAATCGCTCCATTAATTGAACCAATCTTCTCACATAAGGCTTCAGATTTGGATAGTTCATACAGCAAAGAGACAGCTTTCTCCCTCTCTTTGGATTGCTCGTGATACAAGAACTTCACTATAGTTCGTACTGTATCCCCATCAGCCAATAATTCCTACAACCAAACAAATATTAATATGAGGCCCTAGAAACATCCATGTTAGCAATTTCATGGAAAATGACGAGAGAAACAGAAAAATCTAGGACTACCTTATTATCGGAATCATCCTCCACCACAGTTTTAAGGGTTTCCAAAGCTTTGCACCTTACTTTACGACTGCTCTTCAACATGTCAACTATCATAGGAATCAGCCCTGCATTGCGTGCAACGTGCTTATTTGATCTTGTTTTTTGGCAGATTTGCTGGACAAACTTCAAGGCCAAAAGAACTTCACTTTCTGAGCTGCTCAGATTCAATGACTTACGAGCCATATCAAGCTGAGCAGCTTCATTTCTGGCATTCCACTCTTCAATGGTGTTCCTCAAAGCTATGCTAGGCTTTAGATCAGCGCATTTCAATTCTTTTAGTGTCAGTGGGCAGACCAACTTCCTTCCACTCTCCTTGCATTCCCTAAACCACTTTTCAATTGCTTCTCGCTCAAATGTTTGACCGTTTTCTAAGGTAACAGGATCACGCATAACTTGCTTTGTTAAAGGACAAAAAAATGCATCATAAATAGGCTCAATGTGCAATCGCTCAAACTTATGGCTGTCATCTGATGGACTGCCGGTGTCATAATTTCCATGCCAACTTTCAGCCATCTGACCTAAATCCTCCTACTGCACCAAAGTAATACAGCATACGGTTAGAACAGCACACCAACAATCACAAACTAGCGGTAAAACCGAATCAGCTCTAAAATCAAATGGGGAACCAAAATGAACGCGTGCAAAGAGTATCGGAAATGAACTGAACTGTTTTCTAACTCCATTTCAATGCAAAAAGGATTACTTTGGATGTGCAGTATACTACAAGTGTTGCATTGCACGAATGTTCTATACAAATTATAATAGATTGGGTCAGTAAGATACACTAGAGCAGCACATTTGCAGCAAATTATCATGTTCGACTAAGAACTGGACGTCAGAATCAAACATTCAAAATTTCCTATATCCTGCAGATCATCAAAACTAATATGTGGAATCTCTAAAATCCAGGTGTTGGACGAAACACCAACAGCTTGATGTCAGCTTCTAAGGAAGAAGCTACAAAATCCAATATTTACATTTCCCACTTGAACTACAAGCGGTAGAAATAGGGAGCAAACTAAAGTAAAACACAATAAGAGGATTGGATCGATAAGATAAAGCACAACAACACAATAACAGTAACCCAGATAGAATGTGGTCTAAGAAACTGCAAATTAATGATCTTTATGTTAGTTTCTTCCACAGGGCCGAAGCGGATACAGATTGATCTCCGCGCAAATCAGGGTTTCGATTAGATTAGATAAGATTAGATTAGGGAATTACATATTTATGAATGAAAATCATGCCCAACTATTAAATTTAGTAAAAGGTTTATGCTTTCAACTAAATTACCGGGGAAAAAAAAAAGAAAAAAAAAAAAAAGAGCACAAGAAAAGAAACAAGTGCATACCTTTGAGTAGTTATGGAGTTGTTGTGGCCAAAGATGGTGTTCTAATTTAGGTCTGAGAATTGCTGACAAAATTTGAATAAGGGTTGAGGAAAGCATGAGCAAATACAAACCTAATCTTCTTCCATGGATCAAAAAATCAGATAATTTCTTCTTTTTCATTAAAATAAAAAATAAAAGAAATGGAATTGGGGTTTTCTTTTATTGTAATATGTGGTTGTTGATGATGGTGCAGTGTGAAAGTATGAAGTTCGATGATCTGAGGAAAAGGGAGAGGGAGAGAGAGAAAGAGGAGAGAGAGAGAGAGAAAAGAAGCAAAAGCTAAAAACCCAAAGGCAAGAAATCAACGAGAAGAACAACAGCAGCAAATACCAACAAGAAAAAAAAATAAAAGGAAGACAAAAATTAAATTTGATATTAGTACGCAACAATTGAAGAGAGAGAGAAGGTTGACTCGATGAGAATAGTCGTCTCTAATCTTCCAGCTTCTGCGTGTGAGAACCAGAGCCTCACCCGCCGCCCGACCCCACTTTAACCAGGCTGGCTGGCTGGCGACTTCACCCGGATGCCAACGACTATTTAACTACCGGTTAAAATTAGAACGCCAAACGGTGCCGTTGTGTCATTTTATTTTTCTACACAAGCAAACAATACTTTATTACGGGATCGAATGAACTTGTCATCTATAAAAATTGAACCCAAAATACCTTACTTATAATTTACAAATGAAATATCACTAAACGGTAATGTAATTGTCGCTTACTTTTGCATTTTCAATTGAAAAATAATATACGTTTTTCTATTTGTGAAATTTTTTCCTTCTTATTGTCACCACACCGTAAGAGGCAAAAAGGAGTATTAGGTACGTGACTTGACTTGGTTTCGAATTGGAGTAGAGTGGGTGAGTAGAAGTGGAAGGAGAATAGAAAACTTTAGCAAGACTATCAGAAATTGAAATTTTTTGAAAGTAGAATGAATACGTATATCATAGATTTTATTAAATTAAATGTTAAATTAGTTATCGATGGGTTCGAACCCACACCGTCGTGCAAGAGTGCAACTCTTTTCCACCGTTGTGATAAAGAGGCACTTGCCATCAGTCAAATAATTGAATATATATGATTGCTAAAAGGCTAAATTGAGTGGCAAAATTTAAACCTAAGTAAAGTCTGGGAAGAAGCGTATAATTTGGACGACAGCAGGACCCCAGACAGGCCAAACTTAAACTTTGTTTTTATTGGGGCTTACATATTACACCCTTTAAGTTGGGATTGATTTGAATCATGAGATTTTAAATTTTTCACATTTTAAAACTTTATCTATTTATGCCTTTTTTCTAACGAATTATTTAAATCTCAATTAAATTGATTATACGGTGAGCATGAAACATTGAAACTCTTAATTTGGGTGGACATATATAAGCCACATATGTACCAAGTTTACTAAAAAACTCATCAATTTAATGAAGAAATAGACATCAAACAGACAAAAGATGTAAACGGATACAAATTACAAAATTTTAGGCTGCATTGTGAGGAAATTGAAACCTCATGGCCATTCTAAACATTCAAAAATGCAGTTTTATTTCTTTTGCCTTTATGTAGATGTAATAAAAAAATAAAAAATAAAATAGAATTATGGAACTTGATTGAATGAATTAACTGGTGTGCCCTCAAATAAGCAACACCAGCAAATTCATCTCCATCTTAATTATTTCAAAATATTCATGTCAAACAACCAGGTCACGAATGGACAATCTTATACCATTGATCCTATCTCTAAGGAGTACATCAAGGAGATTTATGGAGAAAGAAATGACGTGTGAACGGGAAAATATAAAAGGAAAATTTCGGGATAAACAGTGTGCATCGCTGTCATAAAATTGCTTCAGCATAGGAAATCATGGCTCCGGTTGCATCTTCTCACATTCTTCTCTGATTGACTGGAAAAGAATTGTGGAGAGATAACGTTCACCAAAGCTCGGAAAGACTACCTGGAAGCAGTAAAATTCTCAAGTGCATTAATACACACAGAATTGAAAGCAATATAGTTTTGAGTGCGTGCAGATCAGACAACAAACAGCCCGAGAAAGTAGTGATAGTGTGAACAACCAGGACTACCAGCCCGTCATTATATCATGCTTCTCTATTCCATAAGCGAGATTTTACCTTGACTGCGTAGAATCCAACCAACAAGCACACATGCAAAACATGGAGTGACTTTTATCTATTTTACCAAACTGGTAAAAAGTAAGATGTCACGTGCACAATCGAATTAATTCCTCTGGGAATTCCCTAGTTTTGACTCTACATGAATTCCACAGACCTCTTGTGACAAGCTAAGTAAGATCCATGGCCTCTTTTTCTGGACAAGATCTAATCTAATATAAGAGCCAGCAACAATTGTAGGAACTATGCATCCAGGGAAACCATCTCAAGCCATCTCACATGAAAAAATTCGAAGAAAAAGTCTACATTTTCATAGTCCCACCTCAGTTGTAGGATATAAATTCTAGAGCCTATGCAATCTTCTGCACTCGGTATAATGTTGTGTGTGCGTGGTCTAAAATGAACACCTTTTATATCTTCCCAACTTGCAGTACGTAAATTCTATGCAAAAAGAATTACTTTAAGAGAAAATAGAGAGAGGATGATATACCGCTATAAGCTTCCCTGCATTCTCAGGCCTCTTACCAACCTTGATTGCAGCAGCAGCAGCTGCTCCTGAAGAAATCCCAACCTGATATGAAATAATTATTAGAAAATATTCTGAAATTGGATCTCAACTCTACATTCTACTCCATGGACTTTTTCCCTACTTGGTTTCATTCATGGGCTGTGAAAGAATGTCGCAGATGGAGAGGTTGAGGAAAGAAAGTTCATTTTTGCTCCATTGACAATGAAAAAGGTTTCATATTGTCCACTGAATGTGCTAAAATGTGCTGAAATGTGTGCAAAAAAGTGTCCCTTTAATCTAATCGTCTAAAATGTGCTTCCAATTCTTCTCCGGTTGTAATCTAAAACCTATGTGTGCAAAAAAGCATCCCTTTAATCCAATCGTCCAAAATGTGATCTCCCACTTAAGGTGATTAATCCCAACACCCAAGAATGAGGATTAAGTTAATTTTTCCTTCGTCTAAATATAAATTTAGATGAAAAGTAGAAAACACATACCAACAAGCCTTCCTGGAGTGCTAATTGCTTTGCAGTTTCAACAGCTTCATCACTTGAGATCTGCCAAAACCACAATCTGTGAGAAACAACTAGAAAGCAATTCCAAACAGACCTGATGTAATTAATGATACATAGACAAATGACAAGAAAAATAACATTTGATAGGATCAATTACAGAGTAAACATGATTTGTATTGCAAACGTCAACGTAAGCACAATTGATTGTGTAACTTGGAAAGCTAGCTTTCATGCAAGGATATTTATTTCAAGTGTAAAGAGAGAAACAAGTATAAAGAATGTAACTAGATTGAGTTGGAATAAGATCTTAGACCTCTATAATTTCATCGACAACATCCTGGTGCAAATTTCTAGGTATAAATCCAGCTCCAATCCCTTGAATCTTGTGGGGACCTACATTTTCGACAATGAATAGTAAACAAGCATGTAATTAACGAACAAATGACAGAATATTTTAGGAAAAAACACTGCATTAAGACGATCAGAATGCTGCTCTACTATCTTACCTGGCTTTCCACCTGAAAGGATGTTGCTTTCCGTTGGTTCTACGCCAATAATCTGTTAATTTTTAAGATCAGATGGTGGAAACAAAAATAACAGAATGGAAAACAAAGAAAGGCGGCGAAAAAGAAAAGGAATGCAAATGAAGAAAAATCCTCTGTTTAAAAACAATTTTCCCTCCAGCCAATACAGATATAAACCAGGATATGATTCGAGTTAACTCTTCCTTATAATTGACACATTTAAGGTGAAGCTATCAGATCCTGGTTGGTCAGCATGTTTGCGTGTATGTCTTGGAAACTGTGAATCAGAAAAACAACATACCTTTACTTTAGGATTTTTCTCTTTAAGGAACCGTCCTACACCAGAAATGGTTCCACCTGTTCCAATTCCTCCGACAAATATATCCACCTTGCCTTTTGTATCTTCCCAGATCTCTGGACCAGTTGTCTCATAGTGTATCTGCATATAGAACATCCGATATAAATATAGACATCTAACTGTATTGGAAGCCAGAATGTCATTACACTACAACTAGTTAGAAGATCTCTCTGCCAATTTGCTATCCTTATGGAAAGGTGACAAAGGTCAAACTCACATGCTTCTGGATGCCAAAAAAAGTAAAGTAGGATGCAAATGATCAAAACATATAAAAGAAGAGTGAACGTATCTACTATCTAATAAGAAAAATAATCTCCCAAGAGACAATTTTCTCTTTCTTGTGAATATCTCTGGGATTTGAGTTGAATATTATCCAATTTTCCAACTCCATATACTTCCAAGGTTAAGCTCATACACAATGTTCTTTCCAAGGTTAAGCAAAGCACTATTCTGCTTTTTGACATATAATGAACAAAATTTGGGCCGCAGGTGTTTCAGTATACTTATGCATCAAGATCAGCACTGTACAAATATTCCCATGGACAGGATATAAACACCACGTCCACCATCACTGTGGATATGTAAAACGAAACTAACATGAATTCTCTGGTCTTTTGCGTAGGCATATGACAATTACAAAAAGACAAAGAAAGAAAACCAAAACTGAAACCTGGCAGTAAATGCAAATGCAAGTGGCCGAATAGCCTAGATGCTAAAACGACCCGTGTTAAATAATAAACAGAGAAGAGATAGGAAGCCAAGACACCTTAGGATTAGCAGGGTTGTCGAACTGTTGAAGCATGTATGCATTTGGAGTACTATTGCATATTTCTTCAGCTTTCTGAACTGCTCCCTTCATTCCCTTTGCTGAATCAGTCAAAACAAGCTCAGCTCCAAATGCCTTTAAAAGAACCCTTCTCTCCAAACTCATTGAAGCTGGCATTGTTAAGATGAGTCTATATCCTTTAGTTGCAGCTATAAATGCAAGGCCAATGCCTGTGTTTCCACTCGTGGGTTCCACCAAGACACTCTAAAAAAATACGGGAATAAAACGATGTCAAGAATGTAAAGAAACTATGAAAAGGAAACAAAGTGAAGCATCACAGGCATGTCTGATTTTACATGAACCAAAACAACAAATAGCTAAACATGTGAACCATGCACTCATTTCAAGTTTTAAACAGCCAAGACTAAATTATGGGAAAAAGACCATTGCTACATGATTCCATGATTTTTTTTATAAATTTTGTTCAACACAAGTCTACACTCCACCAAGACATGGCAACGAAAAGCAGCCAATATTTGAAGGACATCCAATTACAGGTGGAAAATATAGCATGAAGCATGCACAGAAGGCCAGCATTGCAATTATGAATTATGATACTATTTAGTATATAGGCATCTTTTAGAACTAACCCTCTGCAACAGGAACCCTAATTTGAATTGAAATCAGAACCAAAGAACTAATGGCTGGTCAGAGAGCAAAAACTTAGGGAATAACCAAGGAGCCAATTAGCAATGCAACCTAATTAAAAACCATCTTACACATTAGCGCACATGCATAAGAGCTATATTCTTTTCTTAGTCTTAAAACATCATGAGATTTATATCCATAATAAGCCACCTGTCCAGGCTTTATGAGTCCTCTTTGCTCAGCATCAGTTATCATACTGTAACCTATTCTGAAGATGAACATCAAACACATTAGTAATAGTAGGAATATAAAACATATGATATTTACAATAATCAAAAGACAAATAAACACATTAGCTTTCATCATAACAAGATGTGCCATTACACAATACTCATACAAACACGACTAGGGAGAAGGCCAGTAGTGCACATTTATTGCCATAAGCTTTTGAGTTTTTTAAACCAGCAATTATTATATATGGAAATTTGCTCTCCATAACTGCTATTTATTGAAAGCTAAGCAATGAAATGTAGAGTTCATTATCAAGTAACTATGTCATTTCACATATCAATCCAGGGGTTTGTTTCTCTCATATCAGTCTGAGAATAATGTTTCAGAATCACGTTAAAAAACCAAAATAATCCTAGTGCTGAGTACCCAGACTAACAGTCAATGCTTCCTCACCTGTCCTTGACACTGCAACATGGCTCCATAATCTCAAGCTTGGCAGCAATATTTGCAACTGACCCCTTTACAATATTATTCAGGTACACCATTGGTGTTTTCCCAATAAGCTGCATCACCAAAGTAGCGATTGTAACAAATGAATTAAAAAGAAACATAAGCACTTCAAATTTAGAACAAAAAAACACATACACGTTGTAGTCACATGATTTCTAGTTATGTCTATTAACCAGAAAATGGAACGTTCAGTACTACAGTACTCAGTGTTAAGAAGGGAAATAGCATTTCCAACAAAATTCAAATAATACCATCACATAGATCAGCACTTCAACTCAACCCAAGTAACTACATTTTCAAGACTCACACCACATCAAAAAATTTCACTCATTCTCAGCTATTTGTGTTTGGTATGACATAAGGCAAAAGAACTGCCATGCTTTACTTTGAATCTTGATAAAAATATAGAAGAAAGAGATGAGTGCTTTTCTACGAACTATGAATTCTCATATTGGATTTTAGGGTGGACTGGAACAGGCCTCATCAAGGGAGACAAAACTAATCCTTTTCAGTATACTATACGTATTGAAATTTTCTTTCCCCGACAAAGACTTCTCGGTAAGAAAAACAGCTTGAAGCATCTGATATAGTGATTGAAAATATTCTGTCCCTGCACAAGAATAAATCTAAACGATATAATCACATGAAGAAACATAGTTTAAGTTTCTCAGATTTTAAAGTTCAATGAACTCCAATTTTTTTAGAGCCAATATTTATATAGAAATATAAAATAAGCATACGATTCTAATTTCCATGCAGCTAAACTAAATACTCTGACTTCCATGGATTATTCCAGAACTTCCTTGTATAACTAGATCTTGCAGCCTATTTAAGCATGTTCCAGATTTTCACAAAAGGCGATGTCTATTCATTTATTCAATCAAAAAGCAAATGCTACCCTAATCTCAGCAAGGGCCGACCTTCTCAATTCCTAATAAATTCAATTTCTAAAATGTCATAACTTTTAAATTTTTCTGATTTAAAAAAAAAAAAACAATATTGCCCATTTATAGTTTGAGAGAATTATTTACTCACCAAGTGACAGTTGATGGCATGGGAATTATCATCAAGTAGTTTAAAGGGGTAGAACCCCATTGGTGCTTTCATTAAAATTTATTTAGTTATCAGGAATATAGATAACTACATAATTTGGCACAATGCTGATTAAAATTATTTCGAACTTCATCCTTCTTTGTCTAGTGTGAGTAATCACACAGTTACCACTCTCCAGAAAGATCTCGATATTGACGATAATAACAATGAAATGGATTCACTTTCAAGCAAAACAGCTACAAAGATGACATGCTCCATCAACCTTCTGAATTTTCTTGGAGATCACGAAACTGTGCAACCTAAATAGTGGGTTAATTGAATAAAACAAAACATGAAAGATACTTTATTTGGCTATCTGTATCAAATTAACATTCCTAAGTAAGAGTTGACCATATCAAGTACACTAAATAAAAATGAAAAACAAAACTAGAAGGGCGAAAAGTACCTCTCTCTTGTTCTTACAAATGATCCTAGTCCTAGATATTGTCAAGTTTTTCAAGTTAATTAAAAGGTATCCACAGTGAATAGTAGACCTGAAGTAACTCACAACATCGTTTCTTCTCTCCACAAGGAAATCAAACCCCAAGTGAATCCACAGTGAGAGTTGACCTCACAAGCATCAATCAAAGCATCCCAAAAGTAAATAAAAACAATAACAAAACCAGTGTAAGAAAGGTAGATATTCCTAACTTCCTTATTCCGAACTTGTAATGGAGAGAAATTTAACCTTGCCATCTACAGTTTCAACAAAGCAAACCGACCATCTTCACAATTTCGATCAATTGCATGGAAAAAATGACAGTAATTCGTGACCGTTGAGCTTCACACGTGGACAACCTTGCTCTGATACCACCGTAAAACCAATTGGCAATATAAGGAGTAGCCTAAGATCATATAAGCACATGGCAAACCTTGTCCCTCACCGATATGGGACAACTCTCAACAAGTAACAAGTAAGCAGATTAAACTAATTAAATTTTAAATCAAGAATCGCATTCGAATATTGACAACAAACGTAGCAGCCAATTACCCACTGGAATTCGCATTTCGCAGAGAAAAAAAAAAAGTGAAAAATGGTTATACCTGAGTGACATCTTCGGCAATGTTGAGACCTTCAACGGCAGTTTGCGGCTTCACAGACACAGCCTTGCACACCACAGACGAAGACCAAGACTTGCCTTTCAGCCTCAAACCATTCATCTTGGTTATACTGGTGGACCTTAGGCCGGTAGTCATGGTGGGGCACGCCGCCCAGAACCGTATGGGAGCAGCGACCTCCGAGGGGCCGGAGAGGGAGGATGATGTCAGCGGATTGATCAGAGAAGCGGAAGAAGAACCCATCTTTCGTTGCTTTCGCTTGTGAGCTTCTCTGTGTGCGCGTCAACTTGCTGAGTGGTGTGGGTGCGGATTAAGGTTGTATTTAAAACCCATTAAGCCAGGCCAGCAACAAAGTTCTTGACCCTTTTGCCCTTTGAAAAACTACAATTAACTCCAAACCCAGCAGACTTTTCATTTCGTCCACGACCATTTTTTTCCATGTTGATAATGATTAAGACAGAAAATAAAACCGGAAAGAACCGAACTGCTCGAACTGTGCCGAAATTGACCCGATAAACCGGTCTAACCCGCATTGCAAGGCTGAGAATTCAAGATTGTCTTTATTTTACGAAAATTGTTATTAACACTCCAAACTTTATTGTACACTCAAGTAAACCGGTCCAGGCTAAGAATTCAAGATTGTCTATATTTTTACAGAAATTATTATTAGCACTCCAAACTTTGATATACAACAAGATTGATTATTCTCGTCAATTATTTCATATCAAATGAGAGTAATAAATTGTACACCGTATTGAACAAATATAAATGGTCTGTCATCAAATAATACAAGGCCATACAAACAACAATACAGGTTCTTCCAAGCCATACACTTACACAGAATTTATCACACAAAAATTTGGCTACCATCAACAAACCCTCAACCCTCAAACAAAATGGAGAAAACAAGTAACGAATTTTCGGCTTTTTTCACGAGGTACAGTGGATTTCCCGTTAGAAAGCGCTCCAGTTATCAGATCCTTTCTTCGATGTTTGACTCTCTGATGAGACCTTAAATGGCCCAGAAGAGCCGAATGGATCTGTCTCGTCAAAAGAATATGCACCCTGGCCAAAATCTTTGGTGCTGTCTATGGAGTCGAACCTTGTGAGCTGCGGCTCGCGACCATGACCAAAGTCCCTGCTGCTGCTCATGGAGTCAAACCGACCAAAGTCCTTGCTGCTGCTTATGGAGTCGAACCGTGTGTGGCCCCCAAAATCTCTAGTGCTATTTATGGAATCGAACCTCGAGAACCTCTCAGGCTGGGAAGAAAAGCCAACGTCATGCCTGTTGCTGCTGAAGGAATCAAACCTTGATAAATTGTCAAAGTGGTAGTCCCCAGCCTCGCTGTATCTTGGAGAGTTCTGAAATTTGGAGAGCGGAGTGCTGGGAACAGAGTCTTCAAAGAACAGGCTCTTTTTCTGAAAGCTGGTTTCTGCGTGGGGGGAACCAGTTCTTATTGGGTTGAGACCAAAGTCATCCGATCCAAAGAAATCCTTATGCTTCTCAGCCTCTGAGCCCTGCAGGTTGACATCAAATATGGGAAAGATTAGTATGTTTGGTGTAATCTAATAATCAGGAGCTAGAATGGTGTGCTTCAGCATGTCCAGGAGTACCTTGGTGTTAAAACCCCAGACGGAGTCAGTATCATCATTATTGTCAAAGGCGCCACCCCAGGTCGATTCATCAAAACTTCTGTCACCAGAAATTTATAAAATCAGCGTCAGGACTTATGGGGGAGAGAGAGTGATAAGTAAAGAAATGAATTAATTCCATACCCATGTGTTTCTGCATCTGCTTCAGAACTTTTAGCATAATGGATGTCAGAGAACTCTCCTGACGGGCTTTCTGGAGCATTCCTGGCAGCTGGACTGCCATTTGAGCTTCTTCCATATTCATCTTCACCATGGGCGAAAACAGATTCACTTCCAAAGGCATGTTCCCCATTCCTTGATTTGCCATCAGCAAATGATGATGTATCAGGAGTGGAACTACGATCAGGGGAAGTATGTTCCCTCTGAACAGATGCAGATTGTGCTTTTGCCGAGGCATCAATTTTCAGATCATTGCCAAATCCTGAAAAAGTTGTTGACATGTCCACATATAAGAATGAACAAGTATTTCTGTAACATCTCTGTTGGATTACCATGCTTTAAGTGCATCTGATCTACATATTGGAGAATAATTACTAGATACTAACTCATTAAAAAAACAAAAAATAAAAATAAAAAATCTGTGAACAATAGGACGAACCTTCATCTTCAAACTTATCCCAATCTTCATCCCAAACAGCGGCTCCCTCTTGAATTCCAGGTTGCCAGCCTTAAGAACCATCCCATGCAAAAAATGTCAGTTAAAAAAAAACCAAAATACAAAGGCTAAATTTTGGGACTTCGTAATGAACACATCAATAATGATAAATTCAAGCATAAGTGCAAAGGGTTGAACAATATATAAAGTTAGTTTCTCATATAAAAAGGGTGTGAGATTAAAGCAACTCGGAGTTTTCTTCCTTGGAAGTTTCCACAAAACTTTCCCATGCACAGGGCCACATTACACGTGCACTTTTTTTAAGGCATTAAGACTTCCATGTAGATAAACCCACATGGATAATTGTGTTATATACTAACAAACAGGCTAGTGCATCTCTTAAACTCAGTTGATGGTCTTAAGCGGGTTAAATGAGTTGGAAGATCTATGATTGCACTTGACTTGTGGAGTGGTCTTACAAGAGTGTCCCTCAAGTAAGCTTATTTGAAGGATCCCTGAACCGAAGCTCACTCTAAATATATCTGATTAGGTTATTCCTTTTCTTTATTATGAGTATACAGTGATATACTAGATTATTTGTATTCTCCTTGAATATGGGACATTGCTTAAGTGAAATAATAGAGTACAGGAAAACGAATGTGACTGTAGTACCAGTTGGAAGCTCAATTATTGCACTTGACTTCATGTTTAATCCATGTTTCTTGCATCGTTCTGTAAGAGCCTTTACTAGCTCCTCAAGATCATATTGTATACGATCAGCACGGACCTATCGTAGACACAATGCATCAGAGACAAACAAAGTTACACGCATAGTTCACCATAGCTAATGAGAAGGAGTTTACCTGAAGAATACCGTCTGCACTACCTCCTTGCTCCATTTTAACAATTGCTTGATGCAATTCCATTTTCCTCTCCTGAGAATGAGTCGAGTAATATATAAGCAATGAAATTGAAGGTTGTTGTAAAAAAGGCACGCTTCAAAGTAATAAAAGCACTCATTATACAACAAAACATTTGAATAAAGCAGCTACTGGGGGGAACTGCGTATTATTACTCGTGTATGAAAACAGCAGAAGAAAGAAAAAGAAATACATATATATGCCTGCAACAAATGGCATGGCTGCAATAAACCAATACTCCTGAAGCAAGAATATAAATACCTGAACTTCGCGAAACGTGGCCTCTTCAATGGTTAACTTAGATGCTATTTCTGCCACTTGTTTGTACTTCTCCTCATATTTTTTGGCCAGTAACTCAGCCTGCAATACAACTCATTAACATGAATTAACGGGAAACCATTCTTGCTAAATGTTAGTAGTACAATTCATCTTTGTAAGAAAATACCTCACGCTTGTCAGCAATTGCCCTTTCTGTGATCTCATTTAATCTGTTATCACATCTGCTTTTATACAGAACCTGTAAGAAATGACCAAAAGAAAGTTAAGAGAGGCAGAAACCATGCACTATGGCCAAAATTCCACTGCTTTAGAAGCTTATAACAATACCAAGCAGAAACATAGAACCAGAGGCAATGCCTGAATATTATACCTCAGAACTTAAAAGTGGACAAAGTCACTTGATTGAATTCAAGGATCCCAGTAGGAAGGTTACTAAAATCACTTTCTATAGCAATTTGTTATTTATGATCCCACACTACCATAACTAACATTATAGAATCACTAGACACCAATATAATGTGAAACAGAAGGCATTTCAACTACCCCCATGAACAAGCCCTCTATTGTCAGATCCTACGGACAAATCAATATATCAACATATACAATTGAACAACTGAGCTATACTGTAAGGAAATTTAACAGTACTCTAGACCAATGACCAGAAGAAAAACAGCCAAGGACAGAGCTACTAACAAGTTCCTGCATTTTTGTGCGATAGAACTCCATCTTCTCTCTCGAGTCCAAAATCACATTCTCAGTTTCTTCAACCTGCCATGATTAAAAGAATGATTTCTAATCCCATGAAGACAAAAATTAAAAATCTGAGAAGAAAATATAATTATCAAATTATCAATAATATGAAACCTGACAAAGCACATAATTTTCTGCAAAATCATATAAAAATTCCTCCATTCTAAGACGGGTTGGGAGAGGAATAAGAATGATTGAGTAGTGAGTACTCACAAATTTAAAGGCAAGAGACACTCAACTCCAAAAATATGTCAACACCAACAATATTGCAGGAAAATAAACAAAAAGCAAATACACGAAGCATGTAAAATAAAGAAAAATCAAGGTTGAAACAATAACCAACTTCAAGATGTTATTCTTAAACTGTTTGACTGAGGATTAATTATTTTAACGAGGAGCAACTTCCAAGACTGTTGTGCTTCATCTCCTCTTTTTTTCCAAGACTGGAGGTATATCAGATGATTCAACAAAATATTCTGTCTACAAAATATTCCTGAGATCATTTCCACATAAACAAATTTTATGAGGTTCAAAATGATATTAAGATAACAGTAATATCTCTGGTCTTTCCTTGTTCAAGATGTTGGATTGAACTGGAAATTTAGAGTGGACTCAATTTGCAATCTAACTGTTGAACAGCGTTCTATACAATATAGGACTGTACTGTGCATAATATTGACCTAATGTGATCAGGTAGGACGCTTATTGTTTTCTCATTTAGATCTCATAAAGATACTTTTGCGTATTAGAATGGCTATATGCTAGTCTTTCAATTTATAAGTTACTTAGACTTTCAAAACTGAATAAACCTTAGGCTTTCTGTCTCTGTAAAAACTAAGTTTCTTAAGTGAAAATTTTGCTTCAATGAAATGATTTATCATGCTTAGGACTTAGGAGAAAAGGAAGAAGGAAACTTGTTCGGGACAACATGACCCACTTCGAGGGGAAGGAGAGGCGGGTTATGAACTTCCTGTCTGAGATTGTTGAGTAATTCATATTTGTATTACCAATATATCAAATGACACCGCAGAAAATAAAAGAGACTGTTAAAACTTGAAGCAAGACTCTGTACGTTGGAATAAAAAGAAGAAAGGAAATTGCCTTTTTCCCTGCATCTTTAGGCTCTTTAGCTGAATCATGCTTCCCATTATCATGTTGGGTTGTATTCAAACCCTCCATCCCTCGCACTCTCAAATTCTGCTGATTTGGTTGCAATGCACCATCAGCCTGGGGAAGACTTCGTTGCATTGGTGGCCTCAAACCTGCAGCAGGTGCCACACCCTGCATTCCTTGATGTTGTCCACCTTGCATCCCTTGATGTTGTCCAAAACCTAATTTCAAGGAGAATGTGTATCTAATGAGAATCTAACGAGGCGAACACTAAATGTAAAAAGAGAAATCTAGCCATTACCAGGGTTGGGACTCCAAGCTGCATTTCCATAAGCCACTTTGGGTTGACCAGTCATTGAGAGTAGAGTCTCATCATGCATCACATTATGTGGAAGTGTGTCTGGAAGAGGACGACCTTCCCTGTAACGTTCCATCAAATAGAGAGAAAAGCAGAACTCCCTCAAGGAAAGCATGCTGTCATTATCTTGATCAGATAAGTCCCACACCTGCTTTAAAACCTCTGAGAAATGCAAAAATGGACATTATTGAGCATTTGTTGAACCAAACAGAGTCTTCAAAAAGATTGTCCAATTACATGTAAAACAAAAAGCATAATTCCATCGATACAAACATCTTGAGGGTAACGAAGATCTTGGATCAAAATTAAATTTGGCCACTGTATAAATGTAAATTAAGTGCTTGACCTGTCCAATGACGAACAGTTAAATTACTGTAAAAGTAAATTGAATGTCCATTCATAGATGAATGGAAAACTGATTTGAATCAACCACATCACCACCAAAATGTACACCTTCATCCTGAATATTTTCAACGCTTTTACTAATATAATTTTTCACATATGAAAATCCACCACGTCACCTACACAGTTTACCACTACTGAACCCCAAATATCCTATTCAAATCAGTCCCTTCACACATGTTCAATGATCACGAGGTTGAAATGTGATCTACACATTACCAATTTGATCCACTAATTCCAAGAAACTCTAACAAATAACCATATGAAATGCTGAATGATGGACTTCATTTAAAGAAAAATTAAATGGGTTACTTATTCTCCTTTTTCAAATTGTTAAATTAAAGATTAGTCATCTGACCTAGTGCATTAGTTATGCTTACATTCAAATCAAAAAAACCTTACCTCTTGGTAACCTCCAACTCAGAAACAGATTCCGTGCCTGCTCACCAGTGATTCTCCCATCTCTGTCAGTGTCTACTTCCATAAACACTTTTGTATATTTCTGGATATCAGATGGCTTCATCTTTGGCCAAGGAATCTGCGAATTTCCAGACGTAGAGTTTCCTGCTCCCACTGAACTCCCAGATGATGGAAAAGAGGAAGAAGCTGGAGCTGAAACCTGCTGGCTTGGGTTCGAAGGTCCCTGCGGCCGCTGAAACTGACTGCCAGAAGGCTGCATGGTGAATGCACTCAATGAATCAAGTGCATTGAGCTTACTGGAAGATTGGGGCCCACTGGAAACTGGAAGAGTGGCTGATGGGGTAGGTATGCTTCTAGCAGAATATATAGACCCAGAAGATTCCTGTTTCGGTTGACTGGGAGTTGCAGAAAATAAATCACCTGATAAAGCCGAACTGGATGCAATTCCATTGCCAGAAACAACTAATGCTTTGGAGTCACCAGTTGTCGGCAGGGAAGGCATGGAAACTGGACGCTGTGAGTTTGGTGTAGATGAGGGCATGGAAGGACTAACCCCTCTGGGCCCAGCAGGAGATGCACCAGCGCTTCCACCAAGCCAATTATTTGAGATGTTTGCGTTTGGAACATTGGGAGGCCCCATACCACCACCAACACCTTGTTGGGGTGGACGAGAATTCACGCCAGTAGGCATTCCAGTCGGCATGGCTTGAGGAGGTCTCATGGACTGATTTTGCTGGGGTGGAAAATAATTCTGGTTCGAGGATGCATTAGGAACTCCTGGTCCTCTAAATCCAAAATTTTGAGATGTTGGCGGGGTTCCCATACCCATCGGTGGCCTAGATGCTGCAGCCACTGGATTTGATTGAGGTGCAGATGTGGGTGGAAGATTAATCTGAGGAGCAGGAATTTTTGCAGCAGCTGGACCATATAATGCCGCCTTGACAATATCCGGAGTTAAATCTCTCTTACTCTGTGCAACAGTCACAAGTCTGAGTGCATTGTAAAATTCTGGCCGACCAAGAAAACCAGTTTTGTTCTGATCAGCATGCATCCATATCTGCAGCTCGTAAACATACAACATTTGGTCAGCCAGACGTACCATGCTAAATCAAATTCTGAATTCTATAGATTAAATAAGTCCGAATATAAGCACAAGCAAGAGCAACACAGAAAACTTTCCAACAATCTTAAGCTGTTACAACACCGTGATGTATAATACTAACAATAAGATGAACAGAACACAGAGACATATGACCAACTAGGCACAATGTTCACTGAATATCAAGTAGGACAAATAATAAACTCGTTCCAAAACAATGAAGTCGTAAAACTGTCAATTAGAACAGGGTGAGAGGAATGTGAAGTTGGTCTATAGCAATCCATTCTCTGTAACTTCCCTAGTTTCTCAAACGACAGAATTCATGCACTAATTACTATTTGTGGTAATTCAGATAGATATTCAATCTTATGAATCCACATATACACACACAGATGGATGATGATTCAAATATATATATACATAAATAGAGAGAGAGAGAGAGAGAGAGAGAGAGAGAGAGGAACCTGAGCAAGAACTGGTTTGGGCAAATTGGAACCCTGGAAGAAAGCGACGGCTTCAGCTCCGCTGATCCTGCCATCTCCATCCAAATCTGCTCTCCTGAAGTAGGCTTCCAGCTGATCCGCATACGGACCCGCCATTTTCCTCCGATCTCACACCAGATCACCACCACACCCGCTCAACACAATCGCAATCCCCGAATCCCAAATCAAATCATACAGGACGTATACCACACATATACATATAGATACACAGTGGATAGAAATTGAATCTCTCTCTCAAAAATTTCTTACAGAAAGAAACAATGGCAAGTCGAATCGAATGCGTGGGAACCAGAGGTTGGTACTTGCAGGCTGGATCGAAGAGACGACGGAGAGAGAGATTTGGATATTTATTTCTATTTAAAAATATAAACAAAAAATATTGAGAGAAAAATGTAACTACAATGCTTAGCCATGCTGGGTTGACCTCGCCCGACCCGAGACCCCGTGGGTCTTCCTTGCTTCTACAGACAGTTGGGGCGGGGCTTATTGGGCCCACTGGACCTGCAGTCCAGAACTCAGAAGAAAAAAACAATTTTATTTGTTGGGCCACGAGCCCCAATAGTTTTTGGGCCCGCTACCCGCCTTATATTTTGATCTAATATTTTATTCTTTTTCTTTAGACCGTGACGTATATCTAATAGTCCTCTAGATACTCATTCTAGAGTCTGAAAGCTACCCAAATTCACTCTACTTGTACTATACTGTATATTGTGTTTGCTTGCAGGTCATTAAAGTCAAATTGAAGTTTCGAATAAGCGTCGTTGAAATCTGAAGTTTTTGTAAATCAATATATTCATGAAAACTTGAAGATTTTCATGCTAAAATTAAACCAAACATGTATAATAGAATCGGAGTGTTCAATTTTTTTTATCTATAGATATCTTTTTTAGTACTATCCACAATCTTATTCCTTAGTCACAACGATATGTCAAACCTTACCAAACTTAATTTTACCGCTCCAAAAGTCTTTGGCAGAAACTTGCTCAAATACCTGAGGAATTTGTGGCCTCCTTGACATTTACATGTTCCTGGTTCTTATGCAGGGTTCCAATTACAGATAGGAAGCCTAACATGGGAACTTGGCAGGTATTTAAAAGTTAAAAACAATAATTTTACTTTTCCCAGTTTTCTAATTGTAAATTGCTTGGATCTCTCAACCTTGTAATCATGGTTTATACTAGGGGTTTTTGAACATTAGTCCTTGCAAAAGATTAAAATTTTAAAAAAACTTGGTGCTAGATTACATATTCAATTTAATCCATTAAAGTGTACTTTTATCAAAATTTATATTCAATTTTTGTTATTTAATGTATATTTTTATTTAATCTCTCCACATTAAATTTGAATTTTATTAATATGCACATATTTAGTTCTTTAATTATAAATGAACATAAATGAGAAAATATTAAAAGAAATTTGTGATACAAAATATATAAATACATGATTGTGCTGTGCCGAAATATATATAATTGACTTTTTTGTACCTACATGATTGTATCGAAAAATATTATAATGAACCTAAATGTGTAACATTCCACATCGCCCAGGGGAGTGGATCATGTAAGCCTTATATGTATATTCCCATCTCTACCTAGCACGAGGCCTTTTGGGAGTTCACTGGCTTCGGAGTTCATCGGAACTCCGAAGTTAAGCGAGTTCGTGCGAGAGCAATCCCAAGATGGGTGACCCACTAGGAAGTTGCTTGTGAGTTCCCAGGAACAAAATCGTGAGGGTGTGGTCGAGGCCCAAAGCGGACAATATCGTGCTACCGTGGAGTCTAGCCCAGGATGTGGTGGGGGCCCGGGCCGGGATGTGACAATATGAACTCCGAAGCCAGTGAGCTCCCAAAAGACCTCGTGCTAGATAGAGATGGGAATATACATATAAGGCTTACAGGATCCACTCCCATGAGCGATGTGGGATGTTACAAAATGTATGTACCGAAATGTATTATATTGAATTAATGTACCTAAATATCAATATTGAAATGTACGTACCGAAATGTATTATATTGAATTAATGTACCTAACTGTCAATACCAAAATGTATGTACCAAAATGTACATACCGAAATGTATGTACCGAAATATAGTATCATTGAATTAATGTACCTGAAAGTCAATACTCAAATGAGAGGTATTATGTTTGAATCTCGTGGATGGCAAATTCGATACCAAATTAAGTTGTTCATTGTGTGGCTTAGCCAAACCCCCCCTCGCCTTAGTGTAAAATATATCGTTATACTAAAAAAATAAAAACTCAAATGTGTGTACCAAAATGTATGTACCGAAATGCATATATATGTTTAATGTACCTATATGTTTGTATCAATGGATATACTGAAATATTCAAATATATTAATGTACCTAAATGAAGAGAATGCAAAATTGTTATTGGACTATATATTATAAAAATAAAAATAAAATTAGTTGCCTAAATGTAGACATTAAAATATTATGATAAATTAAATTTAAATGTAATTAATACATTAAAATAGGAATAAAAAGATAAATACAACATCAAAATATAACTAATAAATGAGATGATTAAATGTATTAGGGACTAAAATTGGATTTTAATCTTACACAACGTTAAAGTTTAAAACTCATCTTTTTTAAGGATTAAAATGAAGTTTTCTATTTATATATTATATGTGTGTCTGAATATGTTCAATTTTTCTATATATTCTTTGGTTCGTTTGTTCATGTTGAGGTATGTTGTTATTGTTGTTTCCGTAAAAGCAAATTCAAATTATGTGCCTTTGTTTCGTATGGAATCAATCAAAATATTTCAAGATTTTAGTTTCGTATAGTAAATCGTGTTTTCTCTTTAAGCATGTTGTAATGTGTAATGTATTGCTATCATCATGTGTTTTGATCAAATTTCAAGTTTTGCACCATCACCGTCAGCCTATCTTATGCAAACTTCACCTCTAAGCCTGCAACAAAAAATATCAATGTCAAGAAGCTTACAAACTTTTAGTTTATTGGGAACAAACTCGCGGATTTAACCTTTGCATATATTCTTAGCCCATTCTGTGCAATATAATTTTTGCGGTCTTTCACTTTGATGATGCTTTTTATTATTACTGTTGTTTCTAACAATGTATTTCCGTTGCCTTCCCTACCACATTCTCATTCCCAGTCCATTTCATTAAATTGCTACATCATGGTTCGGATCCTTGCTTTCCACTACCATGGAATTTGCATAACTTCTTTTGCAAGATCAACTTGTAATTTGTATATGTGATAGGTTTTGATTAAATTGATTGATTTCTGTAAATGATGTTGCCTTTCTATTGATTAAAGTCTTATTTTTTTGCTACCTCCCTTGTAACTCGAACTTAATGTTTCTTTTTTAAATTAAAATATCGCCACTTTATACCTAAAACTCAATGTTCACTTCATTGTGATGGGATTTCGTCAATTCCTGTTACATATTTGTTAAGTTGCTTAGTTGACACAAGTCTAATGCTGACTTATGATACCATCCAATAAAAAAAGCTACCTGTCATACTAAAAAGGAAAAGTATAAACACCCCATTAAACCCAAAAATCTTTTAGCACCACCACCCCTCACTGTCGAAAGTCAAGGACATAACAAAGAACAACGTCAACTTTCTCAAGTTTTTGATTACCAAAGATGAAATTTTTAGTTTTTCAAACTTTTTTAGGTAGGGGTCTGTACCCTGTGATGTTTTCTATTTTATATGAAGAAAGTGTTAGTACCTTCAAGGAAATATTAAACTTGGAAACAAAGAGAGAGAGAGAGAGAGAAGGCATGGATGAGAGAGGAAGAAGGGTTCATCGAAAAGGATGGCGTCTGAATCATGAAACAAACATGATTACATATCTTGTTTTTGTCTATTTATTCGCCTTTAATTTATTCAAACTTACTAATATTAAAACAAGAACGAAAGTAAGACGACAACAAAGGAAGAGCGGAAAAATCAATTCCTTGCTTTTAAACCGTATCGTGCCAATGTTAAATTAGGTTATTCCAATTCCAAAAAATAAAATGAAACTTGCACGTATCATGGGGCTGGCAATATACAAGTACACCGGACTTGATTTTGAGATTGTGGTAATAAATTAGAGGGGAGGAAGGAAAGCAAAAGGGAGTATAAGTGATATTTATGATATACAGCTACTTATCTGAGGATTCAATGGTTGAAAATGATGTGTAATAAGTGTCTTAGTTTTGTTTCATTTCGATGCATGTGGATGTGGTTGCCATTTTTACCAATTGTAATTAAGGATGGTATTGGTACGATTATCATACCAAAATTCATGTACCAATTACCATACCAAAATTTTGATATGACAAACTATATTACCATTACCGTGCCAAATTTTCGGTATACCGAATTTCAACATGCCAAATAGTTCGGTTGGCATGGTATGATAATGGTAATTACTATTTTGTTTTGGACCATTCTTTTGGGCGAAATTTTGATTTTTTTTTTTTAACAACCCAATTTAAGGCCCAAACGTGTTTTGGCCACTCCCTTTGGGTATCTAAATTTTTTTTATTTAATTATGAGAATTTTATAGAGATTCATTTAAGAAATAAGAAGTAAATAGATAAAAGAATTGCTAAAAGAATCTAGTATCCCCATAAAAATGGTACAAAAATTCCTAAATTCCATCTCTACATTCTTTAAAATTGTACAAAAATTAACTTTATAGACGAAGCCAGGGAGAGACATCCCAATTTGATGAAGGAGAAGATGAGATGGACTCCGGAGAGAGAGAAAGAGAGTCGCCAGAACTGGAGCAACAAAGATGAAGTTGGTGGCTAGATGAGTGAAAAGATGAAGAGTCGCAAAACAAGAAGGCTAAGGTTTTTTTATTGGGAAAGCAGGGATTAGAGTGTGAGATGATTGGATAAATGACTAGGAAAAAAATATAAAGTGCATATATAATGATAATAATACCTAATTATATATAAATAAATAAATAAATGATATAATATTAATAGTAGTGGTATGGTACGGTATACCACTGATAATGATTTTAAATACCATTACTGTACAAAAAATGTATGGTATGGTACAAATACTGTACCATTACCAATGGTACAAATTTTTTGGCACAACTTTGGTATGGTATGGTTGGTAAAACTTTTTTATTTAATTATGAGAATTTTGTAGAGATTCATTTAAGAAACAAGAAGTAAATGGATGGAAGAATTGCTGAAAGAATCCAATATCCCTAAAAAAAATATTGCAAAGATTCCTCAATTCCATCTCTACATTCTTTAAAATTGTACAAAAATTAACTTGATAGACGAAGTCAGGGAGAAAGACATCCCAATTTGATGAAGGAGAAGATGAGATGGACTCCGAAGAGAGAGTCGCTGTAACTGGAGCAACAGAGATGAAGTCGGTGGCTAGATGAGTGAAAAGATGAAGAGTCACAGTGCAAGAAGGCTTAGGTTTTTTTATTGGGAAAGTAGAGGTTAGAGGGTGAGATGATTGGATCAATGACTAGAAAAAAATATAAAGTGCATATATAATGATAATAATACCTAATTATATATAAATGAATAAATAAATGATATAATATTAATAGTAGTGGTACGGTACGGTATACCACTGGTAATGATTTTGAATACCATTACTGTACCAAAAATGTATGGTACAGTACAAATATCGTACCATTACCAATGGTACAAATTTTTTGGCACAACTATGGTATGGTACGGTTGGTATGATAACTTAGCAAAAAATTCCACCCCTAATTATCATATAATTTCAGCATTGTATCCTTATAATTTTTTAGAGGAAAGACACATGCAATTTTGACCTAAAAGTGAGTAAGTCATATGTGCTAAAAATTTTCAAGACAAACACATCCACTCAAATTTTCACAAATTCACCTCAAACTCAATTTTGGCATTCGCCGTCGTATATCTAAAAAATACAACACTTTCACTACAATGTGACGGTTGAAACTAAATATTAACACACTACAAAGTCTGAAGGTAGATCGAACTTGAAATTTCTTCTCCTTAGAAACATCCGTTGTGAGATCAAAATCAAGCTAATTGATGAACTATATAGTTGTGGCATGTTTTTTATTTAAATATTTTTTCCTAAAGTATAGCATGTTTTTTACTTGAAGACACTGCACATTGCCCTTCACCCAAAACAGCCATTTTTGCCAATAATAGCAAAAACGAGCTGTTGGTTTCTGATTGTCATTTCCGGCAATCGAATTGAAGTAAAAATGGCAATCATGGAGCACTTGAAACCATACCCTTCACCTACATTCTTCCGTCTCCACCGAATTCTCCTCCACTTTGTCCAAAGGCCATGGAGCATTCGAAATTCTGTGAAAGGGAACCTACTGCTCCCTGCACAGAAATTCTTTTGTCTCCTCCGAATTCTCCTCCACTATGTCCAAAAGCCATGGAGCACTTGAAATTCTGCGGAGGGGAACTTACTGCTCCTTGCACAGAATCTGGGGAGAAGATGAAAGGTATCGACTTGGATGATGAACGTGCTGATGCAGAGCACTTTCACACTGCTCTTGCAACATGCAATTCATCCGCTTTGCACTCTTTGAGGAAAGGCGATACATTCACTCTCGGGAGTCTAACGTTCAAGGTCACTAAAACTTTCGGAGAACGTTGTGTGGTTTCCCCTAAGATCTTTTGTCAGGGGGAACCAGTGAGAAGGGAGGATGACGTCGATGGTGTTTTGAACATTAGTCCTTGCAAAAGATTAAAATTTAAAAAAAAAACTGGTGCTAGATTACATATTCAATTTAATCCCTTGAAGTGTACTTTTATCAAAATTTATATTCAATTTTTGTTACTTCATGTGTATTTTTATTTAATTTCTCCACATTAAATTTTAATTTTATTAATATGCACATATTTAGTTCTTTAATTATAAATGAACATAAATGAGAAAATATTAAAAGAAATTTGTGATACAAAATATATAAATACATGATTGTACTGTGCCGAAATATATATAATTGAGTTTTTTTGTACCTACATTGTACCGAAATATATTATAATAAACCTAAATGTATGTACCGAAATGTATTATATTGAATAAATATACCTAAATATCAATACCGAAATGTATGTACCAAAATGTACGTATCGAAATGTATGTACCGAAACATACGTACTGAAATGTACATACCGAAATGTACGTATCGAAATATACATACCAAAATGTATTATATTGAATTAATATAATTAAATGTCAATGCTGAAATGTATGTACCAAAATGTACGTACCAAAATGTATGTACCGAAATATAATATATTGAATTAATGTACCTGAAAGTCAATACTCAAATGAAAGGTATTAGGTTCGAATCTCGTGGAAGACGAATTCGATACCAAATTAAGTTGTCTATTGTATGACTTAACCGAACCCCTCTCACCTTAGTGTAAAATATATCGTGTACTCATATAAAAAAAAAACAATGAAATGTGTATACCAAAATGTATGTACTGAAATGCATGTATATGTTTGTATCAATGGATATACCGAAATATTCAAATATATTAATGTACCTAAATGAGGAACATACAAAATTGTTATCGGACTATATATTATAAAAAAAATTAGTTAACTAAATGTAGACATTAAAATATTATGATAAATGAAAAAAAATAAAAATAAATGTAATTAATACATTAAAATAGGAATAAAAAGATAAACAAAACATCAAAATAGAACTAATAAATGAGATGATTAAATGTACTAGGGACTAAAATTGGATTTTAATCTTACACAAAGTTATAGTCTAAAACTCATCTTTTTTTAAGGATTAAAATGAAGTTTTCGATTTTTTCTTTCTTTTTATTTACATTTCTTTCAAATTTACCTTTTTTAATATTGCACCGAGAAGTGTTATTGATATTCCAAAAATCTCATTCTACACTCATCACAAGTGTATTTTTCTTTTCAAATATAAAAAATTAGGAGTGTAGAATAAAAATTTTGGAGTGCTAATAACAATTCTCTATTGCACCATCGACAATATCTTATGCTATCCTCATACCCTAATTACTTGAAAAAAAATAAACAAGCCACAACTATAGGGTTCATCAATTAGCTTGCTTTTGATCTCACAACGGATGTTTCTAAAGAGAAGAGATCTCAAATTCGATCTACGTTCAGATTTTGTAGTGAAAATTTCGACGGGGAATACTTCAAGTTTGACCCACCTCAAGAGATCTCAAGTTGTTGTATTTTTTTTTTAAAATATCTGACAGGAAGTACCAAAATTGAGTTCGAGGTGAATTTGTGAAACGTTGAGTGGATATTTTTGTCTTGAAATTCTTCAGCATGCATGATTCGCTTACTTTTAGGTCAAAATTGCATGTGTCTTTCCTCTAAAAATGATAACGAGACAACGCTGAAATTATATGACAATTGGTGAATGGTAACCACATCCACATGCATGTAAAGGAAACAAAACTAGGCACTTACTGCACCTTGATATGTGGAAGTTTTATTTATTTTTTATTTTTTTGGTATTGGAATAGTCTAATTTAACATTGGCACAATACTGTTTAAAAGCAAGGAACTGATTTATGCGCTCCTGATTTGTTGTCCTCCTACTCTCATTCTTGTTTTAATATTAATAAGTTTGAATAGAATAAAGGCTAATAAGTAGACAAAAACAAGATGAGTAGTAATACAAGCACAACATTGATCCACCTTTGGCGGGATTTGATAATCAGGAAATTAAACATTACAAATATATTACAAAGATAATTCTGAATAGAATAAAGGAGATTTTAAAATAATTACCAAAGCTTTCCAAGCTACAGGTTACCACGATATGTAATCATGTTCGTTTCAAGATTCAGACCCCATCCTTTTCAATGAACCCCTTCTTCCTTTATCATCCCCGCCTTCTCTTCTCCCCCATTATCTTGAGCTTATTTTATTGGGTGGTATCATAAGTCAGCATATGCTTGTGCCACATCAAGAAGTGAGCCCCACTTATGCAACATAAGCAAACGTAGCATATATGTAACGAAATTGACAAAATCTCGCCCAAATGAAGCGATTGAGTTTCCAGTTGTAAGTTGGGGATATTTAAGTTTTAAGGAAGAAAGTGAGATCAAGTTCGAGTTTCAGAAGAGATAACAAAAAATAAGACTTTGATCAAGAGAAAGGCATCATCATGCACAAAAATCAGTCAATTTAATCAAAATCTATCAAATATACAAATTACAAGTTGATCTTGCAAAGAAGTTATGCAAATTCCATGGTGGTGGGAAGCAAGGATCCGAACCTAACTTAATCTTCTCATGTAGATCTTATAACGTACATAACAAGTTACAAGTTGAGAGCTCTAACAATTTCAATCTAAGTAGGAGTATTCATTCTGAGAGCGTCGACAGCCATGTCTATTTCAGACCCACAAAGGATTTAGAAATGTAGCCCCTCAGATTCAGACGGCTTGTAAATCCAACCTTGACATGGTTTCATAATGAATCCAGCCTGAGAAACTTCGGAAAACTCATTGATCAAAGATCTACATGCAGCATCAAGTAGCTCCCCATCATCGGGATCAGGTAGATATACTCTTCCACACTCTGCAGATGTCTGAAATTCCTCAAGCAAGCCTTCAACGCTTCCAAACTGATAGCCTTGTACCCACAAGGTACGATCCAACGAAAAGGGCGTCTGTGTTCACATTCACTGCTACGCCATGTTATGTTATCCACTGGTTGACTCCTATTGCAATGGCTGCCAATTTCTGGTTTCCTGAAGAAAAATTCAAATATAAACATCACAGAAAAATTCCAGCCGCCAGTTCGAGTACCAATATTCTTGGGGTTTTTTTTTTTTTTTTTCCCTCTCTAAACACGACTAAATTAGGGAACAAGGAACCGTTACTTGTAAGGGAAGCTATGAGAGCAAAAACTCGGTACTGGCAATGATAATAAGCTATAATACAAAAGGAAGGAAATACATAATGCCTTTGTTTTAATAAGCATACCATGCCAAACACCAGCATGAGGCCCTCAAGCCGCGAAGCCTTGACGCAGAATGTCTTTGAAAGTGCACGGATGATCACCTCCTCAGTCAAAGGCGAAGCCTGTGATTTACTGATATGGCACTAGCACTACTAAATTAAACACTTTGAGCGACAAGGGACACTTTGTCGTGCAAAGCATCTTGAGGTCGCACAAAACCTATGGCGACGGATCAATCGTCGCGCAAAAGTCGTGAAAAAAGACCTTGCGCGACAATGAAGTGGACATTCGTCGCGTACTATGCACCGCTTTAGTACAAGTCGTGCGAAAGGTATACGGACAAAGGCTTTCGTCACACGACATAAAAGGGTACAAGATTGCTTTGTGACAAGAGAAAATTCTTGGGACGTCTACAATTCGTTTTTAAATATTTGCGCGACGAAAAACCTTAGACGCTCGTGATTTTGAGTGATGATTGCACTTGACTTGTGAAGTGGGTCTTAAAAGAGTATCCCTCAAGCAAGCTTACCTGAAGGATCCCTGAACTGATGCTCACTCTATATATATCTGATTAAGTTATTCCTTTTCCTTATTATGAGTATACAATGATATACTAGATTATTTGTATCCTCGTTGAATATGGGACATTGCTTAAGTGAAACAATAGAGTACAGGAAAAAGAATGTGACTGTAGTACCGGTTGGAAGCTCAATTATTGCACTTGATTTCATGTTTAATCCATGTTTCTTGCAACGTTCTGTAAGAGCCTTTACTAGCTCCTCAAGATCATATTGTATACAATCAGCACGAACCTATAGTAGACACAATGCATCAGAGACAAACAAAGTTACAGACAGTATTGTTCATCATAGCTAATGGGAAGGAGTTTACCTGAAGAATACCATCTGCACTACCTCCTTGCTCCATTTTAACAATTGCTTGATGCAATTCCATTTTCCTCTCCTGAGAATGAATCGAGTAAAATCTAAGCTATGAAATTTAAGGTTGTTGTGAAAAAAGGCACACTTCAAAGTAATAAAAGCACTCATTATAGAAAACATTCGAATAAAGCAGCTACTGGGGAGAACTGAGTATTATTTCTCGTGTACGAAAACAGCAGAAGAAAGAAAAAGCAATACATGTATATGCCCGCAACATATGGCATGACTGCAATAAACCAATACTCCTGAAGCAAGAATATAAATACCTGAACTTCGCGAAACGAGGCCTCTTCAATAGTTAACTTAGATGCTATTTCTGCCACTTGTTTGTACTTCTCCTCATATTTTTTTGCCAGTAACTCAGCCTGCAATACAACTCATTAACATGAATTAATGGGAAACCATTCTTGCTAAATGTTAGTGGTACAACTCATCTTTGTAAGAAAATACCTCACGCTTGTCAGCAATTCAAGGATCAATTGAGCCAGATGTCTCCCGGTAGGAAGGTTACTAAAATCACTTCCTATAGCAATTTGTTTTTTATGATCCCACGCTAACATAACTAACATTATACAATCACTAGACACCAATATAATGTTAAACAGAATGCATTTCAACGATCCCCATGAACAAGCCCTCTATTGTCGTATCGTATGGACAAATCAATATATCAATACATACAACTGAACAACTGAGCTATACTGTAAGGAAATTTAACAGTGCTCTAGACCAATGACCAGACAAAAAACAGCCAAAGACAGAAGCTACTAACAAGTTCCTGCATTTTTGTGTGATAGAACTCCATCTTCTCTCTTGAGTCCAAAATCGCGTTCTCAGTTTCTTCAACCTGCCATGATTAAAAGAATGATTTCTTATCCCATGAAAAAAAAAAGATTAAAAATCTTTGAGAAGAAAATATAAATATCAAAGTATCAATGATAACCTGACAAAGCACATTATTTTCTGCAAAATCGTATAAAAGTTCCTCCATCTCTAATATGGGTAGGGAGAGGAATAAGAATAATTGAGTACTCATAAATTCAAAGGCAAGAGACACTCAACTCCAAAAATATGTCAACACCAACAATATTGCAGGAAAATAAAAAAAGCAAATACACGAAGCATGGAAAACAAAGAAAAATCAAGGTTGAAAAATAACAGTCGTTGGTCCCTTTCAGACAAAACCTTTTTTCATGTTTAAACAATAAGCAACTTCACGATGTTATTCTTAAATTGTTTGACTGAGAATTAATAATTTTAACGAGGAGCAACTTCCAAGACTGTTGTGCTTCATCTCCTTTTTTTTCCAAGACTGGAGGTATATCAGATGATTCAACAAAATATTCTGTCTATGACATATTCATGAGATCGTTTCCGCATAAACAAATTTTATGAAGTTCAAAATGATATTAAGATAACAGTAATATCTCTGGTCTTTCCTTGTTCAAGATATTGGATTGAACTGGAAATTTAGAGTGGACTCAATTTGCAATCTAACTGTTGAACAGCGTTCTATACAATATAGGACTGTACGGTGCATAATATTGACCCAATGAGATCAGGTAGGACGCTTATTATTTTCTCATTTAAATCTCATAAAGATACTTTTGCGTATTACAATGGCCATGCTGGTCTTTCAATTTATAAGTTACTTAGACTTGCAAAACTGAATAAACCTTAGGCTTTGTGTCTCTGTAAAAACTAAGTTTCTTAAGTGAAAATTTTACTTCAAAGAAGTGATTTATCATGCTTGGGAGAATACGATTCGGGACAACATGACCACTTCGAGGGGAAGGGGAGGGCGGGTTATGAACTTCCTGTCTGAGATTGTTAGAGTAATTCATATTTGTATTACCAATATATCAAATGACACCCCAGAAAATAAAAGAGACTGTTGACACTTGAAGCAAGATTGTGTACGTAGGAATAAAAAGAAGAAAGGAAATTGCCTTTTTCCCTGCATCTTCTTCAGGTTTTGAGTTAGCTGAATCCTGCTTCCCATTATCATGTTGGGTTGTATTCAAACCCTCCATCCCTCGCACTCTCAAATTCTGCTGATTCGGTTGCAATGCACCATCAGCCTGGGGAAGACTTTGTTGCATTGGTGGCCTCAAACCTGCAGCAGGTGCCACACCCTGCATCCCTTGATGTTGTCCACCTTGCATCCCTTGATGTTGTCCAAAACCTAAATTCAAGGAGAACATGTATCTAATGAGCAATCTAACGAGGCAAACACTAAATATAAAAAGAGAAATTTATCAATTACCAGGGTTGGGACTCCAAGCAGCATTTCCATAAGCCTCTTTGGGTTGACCAGTCATTGAGAGTAGAGTCTCATCATGCATCACATTATGTGGAAGTGTGTCTGGAAGAGGACGACCTTCCCTGTAATGTTCCATCAAACAGAGAGAAAAACAGAAGTCCCTCAAGGAAAGCATGCTGTCATTATCTTGATCAGATAAGTCCCACACCTGCTTTAAAACCTCTGAGAAGGGAAAAAATGGACATCATTGAGCATTTGTTGAACCAAACAAAGTCTTCAAAAAGATTGTCCAATTACATGTAAAACAAAAAGCATAATTCCATCGATACAAACATCTTAAGGGTGACAAAGATCTTGGGTCAAAATTAATTTGGCCACCGTATAAATGTAAATTAAGTGCTTAACCTGTCCAATAACAAACACATTCATTAGTGTAAAAGTAAATTGAATGCCCATTCATAGGCGAATGGGAAACTGATTTGAATCAGCCACATCACCACAAAAATGTACACCTTCATCCTGAACATGTTCAACGATTTTACTAATATAATTTTTGACATATGAAAATCCACCATATCACCTAGACAGTTTACCACTACTGAACCTCAAAGATACTATTCAAATCAGTCCCTTATCACATGTTCAATGATCACAAGGTTGAAATGTGATATATTTGATCCACTAATTCCACGAAACTCTTAACAAATAACCATATGAAATGCCGAATGATGGACTTCATTTAAAGAAGAATTTAATGGGTTACTTATTCTCTTTTTCAAATTGTTAAATCAAAGATTAGTCATCTGACCTAGTGCATTGGTTATGCTTACATGTAAATGAAAAACCTTACCTCTTGGTAACCTCCAACTCAGAAACAGATTCCGCGCCTGCTCACCAGTGATTCTCCCATCTCTGTCAGTGTCTACTTCCATAAACACTTTTGTATATTTCTGAACATCAGATGGCTTCATCTGTGGCCAAGGAATCTGCGAATTTCCAGACGTAGAGTTTCCTGCTCCAACTGAACTCCCAGATGATGGAAAAGAGGAAGAAGCTGGAGCTGAAACCTGCTGGCTTGGGTTCGAAGGTCCCTGCGGCCGCTGAACCTGACAGAAAGAAACAATGGGCAGGTCGAATTTAACGCTAGATGCGCGGGAACCAGAAGTTGGTACTTGCAGGCTGGATCGAAGAGATGACCGAGAGAGAAATTTGGATCCTTATTTCTGTTTAAAATATAACCAGAAAATGTAACTACGATGCTTAGCCATGCTGGGTTTACCTCGCCCGACCCGAGACCCCGTGGGCTCTTCTTTGCTTCTACAGCCAGTTGGGGCTGGGCTTATTGGGCCCACTGAACCTCCAGTCCAGAACCCAGAAGAAAAAAAATCAATTTATTAGTTGGGCCAGCAGCCCCAATAGCTTTTGGGCCCGCAACCCGCCTTGTATTCCGATCTAATATTTTATTCTTTTTCTTTGGACCGTGACGTATTTCTAATAGCCCTGTAGCTATGAGGATCCTCGGCGGATTCTCTTTGTGAGGATCCTGAGAATCTTCAAATCACATCTGTTCATTATACATCATGCGGTCAGAAATATTGTAAATTTTTTTATTTAAAATTGAATATAAACAATATTTGACGAAAATTGACCGCACGATATACGATGAACGAATGTGATTGGAGGATCTCCGGGATCCTCTCTCGTCATGTAGATACTCATTCTAGAGTCCGAAAGCTACCCAAATTCACTATACTTGTTATAGATTGTATATTGTGTTTGCTTGCAAGTACCCAATGAACTGGCTCATTAAAATCGAATTCGAAGTTTTGAATAATCATCATTGAAACCTGAAGTTTTTGTAAAACAACACACCTATGAAAACCTGAAGATTCTCATGCTAAAATTAAACCAAACATGTATAGTAGAACCCAAATGTTCTGCCTTTTTGTCCATCGATATCTTTTTCCATAGTACTATCCACAATCTTGTTCCTTTTATTACAATGATATGTCAAATCTTACCAAATTCAATTTTACCGCTCTTGAAGTCTTTGGCAGAAACTTCCTCAATTACATGAGGAATTTGTGGCCTCGTTGACTTTTACATGTTCTTGGTTCTCATGCAGGGTTAAGGATGGGAAGCTTAACATGGGAACTTGGCAGGTATTTAAAAGTTAAAAACAATTATTTTACTTTCCCCAGTTTTCTAATTGTAAATTGCTTGGATCTCTCAACCTTGTAATCATGGATTATACTTGGAAAGATTTTCACTTATGCTATACTTATTACATATTTGGAGAATGGCTCATTATATCGAAGGAATAGAACTTAGAAGTAAATTATGGAATAGAACTAAATAAGAATATATTGCTAAAATATTTCAGTTATACAATGAATAAAAAGTGCAGTACGAGAGTGATAAAACCGAGTGAAGAGTAAACACTGGGCGGAGCATTATTTGGTGTACTCGCCCTATCCTCAATAGTGAAGTTCTTGTAGAAATTTTCCCACACCTTGGTATCAAGGGTGAAGGAAAAGATGCCGTAGTCATTTATTTGCCACTTGCAACGATGCATGCAACGTTTTTGATCCCTCTTCGGCTTGTATATGTTAAAAGCGGCCTTTACCCATTTCCCATCAGACCTTCGCCACTGCATGTAGCAAAAGAAGAGGGTTCTGTCCCAGAAATCGTCGTGGAACGTAAAGTTGTACGCGCCGCCGTGTGGAATTACATGGTTGCCCAAGTCGTCACTCTTGGATTTGCAGTGAAGTTCAATAACAGTGTTTGATACTAGTGTGTTCTCTACGTCAATATGGATTTTTCCGAAAAAAATTGCTGAAACAAATTGGCCTAGGGCAAGCACGGCAACAATAATGAAAATGGTCCTTGCAGCCATTAGAGTCTCTCAAACAGCTTCGTTAGGCTATTTGAACGTAAACCAGGAACAAATCAGAACAAATTGGAAACAAAAGTAAACCACACCAAAATATATATATATATATATTCTGAGAACAAAAAAAGCCAAATTCAAAGAAAGACAGAAAAAAAAAAAAAAAGAAGCTAAGTGATTGGCCAGCAAAAAACATGCACGTCCTAATTTATATTTTACTAAAGCCCAAATCTGACTGAAACCCACAAAACAAAACCCAAAACATTGCAAAATGCCCCAGACTAGGGATGGAACCGAAATTCCCAAACCGAATTGAAAATCCCAAATCGTTCGGTACCCAATCCCGAAAGGTTCTGTATTATTCGGATCTCAAACTAAACCAATCAATATTTTAATATAATTTTATATATAGTTGAATTAATAATAGTCGTTAGATTTAGTTGAGATTCAATCTCAACCGTTGGCTTAAAACTTAACTCTCTCTCCCCACTTCCTCAGAGACCTCAGAATCTCCGTTCTCTCAAACTTGGAAGACAAGTCCTGCCAAACCCCAAAACCCTAGATCCCCAACCCTCCTCATCTCCTTCTAGTGCCCAATCGCCGCCAAGAGATGCCACGCCGTGGCCAATCTGCTCAGTTCAATCTGGAGTTTTATCAACTCTATATGTCTTTTAATTCTTTCGTTGAAGCCTCCTTGCTGAATTTATACAAATTCTGACTTCTCTGCAAATGGTATGAAATGCCTAATTTTCTGGGTTGATAGAAAATCCCGAATCGTCCCAAAATCCCAAAAAAAGACACTCTCCTCTCCTCACCGATCCATTCATCAAAAAGCAAATTAAAAACACAGAGAGGTAATAGGAATAGGAAAGAGACAGAGAGATAGAGAAAAAAGCATTACCGGCGGAGAAGAAGGCCGAAGAAACAGTCGGAAGAAACAGTCGGAGTCGGCGATTCCACACCAGGCAAACAATAACAAAGGCGAAGCCGAGTGGGAGGCAGGAGAAGAATAGAGAAAGTGTGCGAGAGTGAGTAGACTGAGAAGAGAAAGTAGTCATGAATGCCAGTTTTTACGAGTTCAATTAGGTTGCCGGAAATGGCAATCACAAAGCCACCGATCTGTTTTTTTTGCTGTTATCGGCAAAAACTCTGCGCGCTTCCTTCCCTAACACCCTGACATTACATCACTCCTCTACCCTTGTGGTCCGCGTTGGCAGCATGCATTGGCATCACGCAACCAGTTTATCTGACCATGCATTGGCATCATGCCAAATTTAGGATATTTTGCTCTGTAATTACACTATCAAAATGCCCTAATTTAAATATTTGTATGTACATTGGTCACCTCCTCAAGTGATACAGAATGTCTTTGCAAGAGCACTGATGATCTCCTCAAGTGACCTGAGGTACCGACAAAGATCCATCTTGTGATTTGGTAGATTCAAAATGCATGCATCCAAGGTTAGGAAAACAGACCCTGTAACCAATTAAGTCACATGTTCCAACGGATTCTAATTCCTACTTGACCACCGTGGGCTAACAAGTTCAAATTGCAGTAAGGAACCTTCTCTTCTGCCTAGCCCATGCCTGACTAGAAGGAACCTTCTCTTCTCCTCGCACAAATCGTAGTCGACCTGGTGGGTTCCATGGGACATTACGACTATATGAAATGATTTGGAAACTGAGTCTCTAGTCTCCAGAGAGTATAAGATGTGGACAGCAGAGTTTGAACGTCTGAAACTTTATTCGATTTGGATAAGATGCGCAGAGAGAGAGTGAGAAGGAGTTGAGGAGCGGAGGAGTCGAGCAAGAACAATAAGACAATTTCCATACTAACCTTTACCATGTGGGTTTGATTATCAATTTTTGTAAGTGATATGAGAAATTTGTTGATGATTTAATTATTAATTAAGTGTTGATTAGCTGGTTTTTTTCTATTAATGAGTTGAGGAATTGTTGGAGAGAGAAGCATGATTTAAAAGAGGAGTAATGTTATTCATACTATATTCTTATTCCACATTTTTATACAACCTTAGATGTCACCCAAGAAAATGAAGGAGAAAGACTTCTCGTATACCACAATCATAATTTAATTAACTAGTTTTTCTTAATTATTAGTTTATTAAATGATGAACTAAATTTAAAATTTTGATTAATTTAAATGATGTGGCTGTCCATATCAAATGCCACCTAAGGTGGTATGAAAATGTGGTACAAAAACATGGTATGGATAGCATTACTCTTAAAAGAGTAAAAGGTCCCAAACAATGTAGACAACCAAATTCTTTTACACTATATTTGGATGAGGGAAATAAACTTGGAATTTGGATAAAAGTCAGAATTTATAAATTGACATATATTAATTCCCTTGTTTGGATTCATAAACATAGAAATTTAGAATTTTGGAAAAAAAATTGGAATTTGAAACCTCCAATTCCCAAGTTTAAATTTCATGTAAATAGGTGTCATTTCTCAATTTCTATGATTAAGAGTTTAAAAATAACAAATTATATGTTCAATTCCATTGTTTTTTTAACAAATTATATGTTCAATTCCATTATTCTTTTAGGTTAACCAAAACCAGAAAATTCCCAAATTCTAGAAAATAAAATCTCGTCATTTCAATTTCCGTCATTTTAAAATTTCTTAGTAATTTTAAATTTCTTCATCCAAACATAATGTTAGGGAATTGTAGACAATATTAATGTTTTTCATAATTTTTCAATACAACGTAACCATTTAGAGTCCAACTGATGACATTCCATTTATTTGTATTCCCAGTTGGATCAATTGACTCATAGGCTTATGCAAAAACATCCGTCAAGACACAGTTCAATTCATCAATCCTCAAATCTCCAAGATGTTGACTGTATTCTAAGTACATGATTTATTAGTCAAAATTTCACAAAAAATTCACCTATCATCTAATGACTTCTTCAAAAATTCGATTCTTTCAGATCGAAAAAAGTTTTTGGGTAAATTAACGAAACTCCACACACAACCAAATTTCGAAAATACATTATGCACTATTCGAACATCGGATTGAAGCCTAGCACCTTAGTCGGACCGATATAGGTCTTAAAAGAAAAAAAAAAAAGAAGTAAGAGAATAAATAAAACTTGAGAGAGAGAGAGAGAGAGAGAGAGATAAGAAGAACAGGTAGAGAAAAAAGGGGCGAAATGGAACAATCGAGGAACAAAAAAACAAAAAAGAGAGTGGTGCGGTTGGGAAAGAAGAAAAAACAGGCTGATAAAGAAAGATGGTGGGGTGTGTACCCAAAAGTCCAATATTTTTTGACAGACAATATTATTTAAGACCTCTCATAATAGGTTATTATTAGTATTTTAAAAAGTTTATTCTACATTTCAAATTTTCTATATTAGGAAAGAAAAATACACTTGTGAGGAGTGTAGAATAAGATTTTTGGAGTGACAATAATACTTCCCTAGTAATAATGTGGGTCAAATTTACTTTTAGCGAGAATTGAACCTAAGACCCCTCACTTGCAAAGAAAGAGAAATACAACTAGACTGTAATACGAAGTGGTAAAAGTTAACATATGTAAAAATGGGGATTTTGTAAAACGCCGTGATGAAGCTTCATCAGCTTCACCAGATAAGAAACATAGATAAAGTCGATGCCAAGATGGGAGAGATTAAGTCACAATACAAAGATGAGGGCTTTTCTTTTGAGATTTTAAATTAGTTTCTAAAAGTAATCGCGGCGTTCAACCGGGATTCCAAATAAGTTATTGTAATGTTTTGTAATATTTCAATTTCTATCATTATCATTAGTGCATTTTTTTTATGTGTGATGCTAGGGACATTAAATTTTTAAATTAAATTTGTAAACCAAATGATGTAGTGGAAAATAATTAGATTATTATTTAAGTGTTGATGCTTATTTTCTATTTATGACACATTATTTGATTTAAAAATTTAGTATTCTTAACATTATCATTTTTTTAATTCTAATATGTTTCGAGGTTAACACCCTATTCCTTCAAAATTTTACTTAAAAACAATTGATGACCCACCTGCCACCTTGGAGAGAGTTAAACCTTGCACAGCCCTTGCTTGATTTTAGGGTCAGAGAAATAGTCCAAAAAACTTGGACAAATGAATCATAGGAACCGAATCTATTACCCATTTAGAAGTTGATCAGTAAATTACAAACACCTTTTTAATTACAAGGAAGGAAACCCAAAAAATGGATGTTAGCAATGTTCAAGGGATGTATCATGGAAGAACATTTGAATTTGAATGGTGTGAAGAAAAGAATGAACTATGATTTTGTTCTTTGTTGGGAGAATAAGATGAACAATATTTTCTTTTTATTGTAAGAAATTTGTTACTCAGTACTATGGTCTGGTAGTATTCATCTTCATTTGGAAGTAAGAGGTCTTACTTTTGAATCTTGGATGACGAATTCAATATCAAATTAAGCTGCTCATTGTGTAGCTTAACCGAATTTCCCATTCCCTTAGTGTAAAAAGGTTGACGTACTACAAAAAAGAAACTATTATGATTTGTGTGGCGCACATTGAAACATTATATTGAGGTTGAACTGTTGAAGTATATGCCTTCATTCGTATGTTCACACAGTTTAAAAAAAAAAAACTAAAATTAAATTTAAATGGTGAGGTGAATTTAATTGGTCAGAATAAAATTAATGAAGATATAAAAATAGAGATGGGTCGAATTGCGCATGCATCCCAAAGGTTTATTTATTTATTTATTATTGATCATTTGGGAATTAATTACATGCATATTTTTTATGACTAAATAGAAATTAATTAAATTCTCTCATTTCTGCCACTCATATCCAATATCCCATGCTCCGTTGAATTCATTATACGTAAAAGCTGCAAGTTGACGAATGCTCCACCAACAGTGAGTTATACACCGCTTTTCATCTCTCAGGGCATTGTACACCTCAAAGCTTCCGGTGACATCTTCCCACCACATGGTGCAAAAGAACAATGTGGTGAGCGAGTTAGTTTTGAA